CATTGGTGAGCTAATTAAGAGAATGGATTGTTGTTGAGCATGCATGAAACATTTAAAAGATCATTTTAGAATTTCTCTTTAGGATTATCTGAAGACTCTCTCCGGCAGACGAACGGTCCCCCAATTGTTCATCAACGGAATCTTTGTCGGAGGTGGATATTGTAGAGTTTAGGCCTAAAATAGCTACTAGCTAGAAAATAGCTGAATGACTTGAAAAACTTTCACATTTAGGTTCCGATGACACTCGAGAGATGGATCGAAAGGGTCAATTCAAGAAAATTCTCATCGATGCCGGCGTTTTGTTGGATGAAAGAAAAAGATAATTACAAATCCACAAATTATAGGCATTTCTGATTAGTTTTCATTTATGCTTCATTCAATTTTTTGCACCATCGCTTTCCAGAAACCATTGAGTTTTACATTCCCGTTTTACCAGCAATACGTGTACATTTTGTAAATAAAAGCTTTCCTTGCTTTTACAATACGATAAAATTTAATAAAAGCTTTCATCGTATTGTTTTTTTGAAGAAAATACAGTCAAACCTAATTCAAAGCAATTTTTGAATCGCACAAAACAGAAATCCCAACTAATCAGCACACGTTAGCAATTTGAATTTAGGTTCTTTTCCAATATCGGGGGAGCGGTCCGATTATCGGGGGAGCGGAAAGAAAATCGGGGGAGCGAAAGGAAAATCGGGGGAGCAAATTTTGCCCCCTCGAAAAATGCATTTCTGGGACTTTTATTTTAACTGCAACGTTTTTTTAAACTTTAACGACGATGCGCTTCTCCGATATTTGTGCGTTCAAGGAATCGACGGCAATCGATTATTTCGCACCAAAGGAGTCACCAGTCGTGGATTTGCAACTGTGGCGAATCGATGAAAGTCCGCTCAAAGGGAAAAGATCTATTTCGCTGGGTATGTGACACTTGCGCACGGCGAAATGTCCCCAAGCATTCAAGAGGAATTCGAGTCGATAACTTTTTGCAACAAAGCAAGCTCCCGTTTGTCACAATTGTAAAGTTCATACATCTATGGAGCCAGGGACCACGACAATCAAACACTGTCAACAGGAGCTCGGCATTAGTGGCGACACCGTTGTTGAGTGGAACTACTTCTCCGCCAAGTGTGCGCTTGGAAAATCAAGAAGCTTCGATAACAAGATCGGTGGTGCCGGACTCACCGTGGAGATCGATGAACGCTGACGCAAAGCGCAAAACCACGCCGGTAGGATGCGCCAGAACGTTGGCTTTTGGTGGTCTGTGTCGTGAAACAAGGGAAGCTTCGCTTTTATTGTGCCGAACCGAACGGCTCCGGTTCTGCTTGAAGCGATTCGAAAACATATCGAAAAGGGGACCGAACATCTCTGACCAAGGGCCTCACTGACCCAAATTACGATTTTGCATGGGTCAACCACTGGACAAATTTTGTTTTGCCGGCAGATCCGACCGTGCACACGCAAACAATCGAGCGAAGTGGAAACCGTTAAGACATGAACGACGTCGACACGGCACCCACGGCACCATGGTGGATTCGTATATCGCTGAGGGATTGTGGCATCGCAATTTGCCTGCCGGAGTAAATGCATTCGAGTCGATCATGGAGGACATCGTCGATACAATCCCTTTTTACAGTTAATTTGTGATTGCTAGAAAGGTTTTGTTTTGGTTACTTTTGTTTTATTTTGGTTACTTTTCTTTTTGTTTTGGTTACTTCGCTTACATTTCTTTCGTTGTTATGATCAATTATACTATTAATGAATAAATTTTTAGGTAGCCATTTGTTCGTTCGGGATTGTGGAGCGTTCGGCAAAAAGAGAAGGCGGCCGATAGGGAAGGTAGAGGTATGTTTGGTGTTAGATATTTAAGTCACTTTTGTGATCTAATATAAAGGTTGTGAGAATAACGGGTAATTCGCGGATTTTATGGCAGTACTTTGGATAATATAGGACATATGTAGCGCTGCCAAAAAATTAAAAAAAAAACGTTGCAGTTAAAATAAAAGTCCCAGAAATGCATTTTTCGAGGGGGCAAAATTTGCTCCCCCGATTTTCCTTCCGCTCCCCCGATAATCGGACCGCTCCCCCGATATTGGAAAAGAACCTGAATTTATGCTACGAAATTGAGGAAAAATTACCTAAAATATTCATTTCACCGATTCGAATCATCGAAGAATGCCCCGAGCTTGGCAAGCTCAATCGATCGAGGTATGAAAAGTTTGTCTTTTGCAGCGAGGTTTTTCTGTTAAACTCTTGTGTTAGGTGTAGATTTTATACTTGATTCTTTTATTAACATACATATTAACATACTTTTATTAACATAACATTCCCGAATTGCAGGAATCGTATCTCATCTCTTCCTCATCTAATCAGACGTTCATGAGCATGATGTTGTTCATGGTGTTGATCGCCATCTCGTTGCAGGCTTTGGAGATTTTTTGGGAATTTTTACTCAGTAAAGTTTAGTAAAAGTAAAGTAAAAAACCAAGAAATCTTTAAATTTATGCTACCAAAATTGTCTTCTTTCAGTTCTGGCTGATCACGTCATCGTTGTTATGAAATTCGCCCGTCGGATTGCCTCTATTCAATTAAAAACTCAAGAAACCTTTAAATTTCTGCTAAATTCTCGTGAGGCTATCTGACTTTAATAAAGTTTTATAGCGATTTTATTATTCTAAAAGAAATCACAAAACATTAAATAACCTTAAAAGGAAAAAAAACATCAAGCAAACCCGTAACAAAAGGAACTTATGATTAATTAAAAAGAAAATCATCATCTCATGATGATGATATTGTTTATAAGATTCACAATCGATTCACTCATTCAATTCTTATTTTATCCGCCTTGTCCACCCTCTTGTTGTTGACTGGCCGACGAGATAAGCATGAAGATTACCACGGGAACAATGTACATCCACTAAAAGCACAGTTAGCAAAGTTAGCATAAATTTTGTCTTTTGGGAAACATTGTCTAAGAATCTTACATCATCTTTAAAGCATAAAAAAACCAACATATTTAGCCAAAAACGATCGATTATCCTGTTCAGCGCCATGTTGTCTTGCTCGTCTTTCTTTATCCATCTTGTCAAGGAACGATTGGGTGTCTGGGCTGAAAAGAAAAGATGTATCATTGTAGAATGCTAGTGTTCGTGATAGATGTGCTTCACGATCCTATAAAAATCTATTATACTTCAAAAACACCCTCCTATTTTAACTCATCTTTAAAAAAAACTTTCGAAAAACAAGACTTTGTTAAATTCAGTTTAATAAATAATTTGAACACGGTTAATAAATTTTAAATAATAAAATAAGAAACCTTTTGAGTTGTTGAACAGAGGTGACTTGCACGATTCCGACCAAATTGCTTTGTGGCAATAGTTGACAACCATCGTCCGATGATTTGAACGCCGGGTCAGCAAACACAGTCAACTAAAAGAAGAGTAAAGTCAGTGATTTGTCTTGATGTATTTTAAATTCGTCATTAATTAGGTAGCTGGTAAACGTACTAATCTACAAACTATCAACAAGCTAATTATTTGCGCTAAAAGGAATCCCTTGCATAAAGCTAAAATGAATCTTTATTAACTGTCTTATTTCTAAAATGCTTTCAAGTTAAAAACAAAAATTCTCACCGATTGAACAGCTTTTCCTGTTGTATCGAGCGACACCCAGAAGTTGTGCACAAGCTTCGTTTGCAAAATTCGACACTAAAGTGATTTAAAAATAAAACTTTCGTATTCTCCAGTGGTGGTTCTAGTAAGAATTTGAGAGCGGAACTTCCAGTACTCCACATGCCATTTAAAAGCGTTTTTCATTGTCAACTTTAATAACAATCGCATCTGACTTATTGAGCTTGATCAATTTTTATATTTACGGGCTATCAAAATTTTTACAAGTGTTCAATGAAAAGTAAAAGCTCACCGGTTCCGTAGAGCTCGATACATAATCGCCTCCTTTTCCGTAGGGTGTTCTCACTCGATACAAAGCAGACGAAGAAGCAGATTGAAGGGCATTTCCCAATTGCAGAGCATCTAAAGATAAAAATTATAAACGTCTATTGTAAAGTTGCCAAACAAATTACAAAATGATAAACAAACCGGCAGTAGTTCGAAAAACGCCCGAATAATTCCCGCTGAAGTCCTCTTTCACTTCGATCACTCCCAATTTGCCGACGGTTTTCCAATCTAAAACTAGCAAATTAGAAACAACTTTAGGAACACATCGTTGTTTCTAAAGTTATCGTTGTTTTTAGTTCTAAAAGTTAATTATTAAAGTTCTGGAAGCTTTAAATGGCATCTATTATCAACCAAGGTAAGAAACATCTCTTCTATGCATCTTATCTTTAAATCCTCCTTTGGTAAATAATAAATTCAATTAATGACACAGCAACTCTGAACTAAAGCATAGAATAAACTTCCCAGAGCTTTAAATATACCTTAAATTTAAAACAAACCATTGAGAGAGTATTCAATTGGCAACGAAAGTACATCGGCGAAAATCGGCGAGAGAAGGGAGACCACAGTCAGCAACAATGAAGAAATGATCATCTAAAACATGTGTATAGTAAGTGAATTGAAAAAAAACACATTGCAAGAAAGCTTATAATCATCGAGAGCTTCACAAAATGTTCTCAGGAATATTTTTAGGTTTTTAACCTTTTTCACAAAACAAGTGTTTTAGCCAAGTTTATTTGCGTTTAAAATGTGGTGATAAATAGCAAATGACCAGTTGACATGAAAAGGATCTGAATCTTCAATAGAACATCAAATGTTGGCGATAAACACCTTAAATAGTTTTGTTTCCGGTAATTGATTGAGCTAACGAAATACATAAATAAATAAGCTTTGGAACTCGTTTCATCACAATTTCACACAAGAGTTGCTAAGAGCACCTTTTAGAATAACTAGAACAGAAGTAATCATAAAAACATCATGATTTACCGTAATACCAGCTTACTATAGGTAACCGTAATGACAGAATGTGAAAAATGAATGGCGAAATCAATTTGGTCCACCATCTTCGGATATGAAAAGCTCTCTCACTCGATATCTTCTTCTCTTTCTCGTCTCTTTGAATCGAGCCACATCTTTTCGAGTGATCACACCTCGTAACTGGAAAGGAATAATTGATTAGTCTGTAAAACATGTCAAGTCTGCTTTGAAACGAGTTGTTAATTCTCCTTTTCTATTTCTTTTCTAACCATTTCTTTTTTTTGTTTTCTTCACTTACCCGATTCTCCTCGTTGACCACCATCAAATACCGTAATCCCAAGCCTCTAAATATTTGGTAGACGAAGGGAAGTGAAGCGTTTAGCGGAACTCGATGTGGATGTGAATGGAGAACCGGAGAGAGATCAACCCAACAACCAAAATCTTCGTTCCTCAGCCCGAGCTCGGCCACTGTCTTCTCTTTGCTAAAATTTGTCATGCGTTGTTTATTTTTATTTGATATACATACCAGTCTGTTTCATCGAGGAAATCCTCATGAGACAAAACCCATTGGCAACCGGTTCGGCCATCAGGATGAATTGTGAACGCCTGGAAAATTCATACTAACGATTGAGGTGTAGTACCGCTTAAAAGTAATGGTCCCATTTAGCTTTCGGGTTTGTGACAAAAAAACAGGTGTATATTTCACGTAACATAACGAATAGTTCAGCTGTGTACCAAAGTTGACTCTTTCCTATTACTAGGTACCTTAAAAAATCGGGTACTTTAACCGTGTAACGGGAACCTTAAGAAAAACGGGTATCGGGTAGCCTATGCAGCGATTCACCAACCAACTTTTAATTGAACAAGTGCTTTTTGGGAACAATGCAACAAAAATGTTCGAAGTTCGAAGCAAAAATGCCTTTGTTTGGGCATTAGAATAATGTTGTTGTTGGGAGAATTGTTGCGGGAAAGTAAGTTGTCGAAGACTCATTGTCGGGCATCACTACTTCCTTAAGGTTTTCTTAGGGTACTCGTTCATAATTAAATTACCCGATTTTTTAAGGCAGTAATAAGAAAGAGCCCAAAATTTTATGTGGAGTCTTTTCAATACATAAATTCTCAACCCCTGTTGAAAAACAAGTCCATAGAAGTATTTACCCTTCGCTCCAGGATCCGAACTAATTGTGATCGCAAAATAATCCCTTGAATCTGGCCATAGTCTGGCAAGTTCCCGGTCATGCTCTCTTCAATGCGATCGACGACCTAAAATAGTCCTTGGATTCTCATGTACGTTTTGCTTAGTTTTATCTGATAATCTTTTCTTTTCCAAATCAAATTTCTTACCGGAAATCCATGATGTGAAGTTGTTTCTAGAATCTCCTTCAGTCTCCCCACACGTTCTCTCCTCTCCAAAGCCACCACATCTTTTCGCATGATCTGTCTGGAATTTTAAAATCAAATCAATTTCACTGATTGAAATCATTTTAAAAAAGCAATACTCACTTTGCGTTGATATTTCGACTCATTTTGGGTGGATGCCAACCAAGTACAGGAATTCCTTGTAGATCGATCAATGAGTCATAGATACCCTAAAATTTGTTCAAATAATTGATTCTGTCATCAACAAACCTCATTGAATATATCGCCAACAAGTTTCGCCGTCATTAGCACCAACATGATTGGAAGACCAAACGAGATATCTTTTGTGGCCTCCATCAAAATGGCCGTCAATGAGATCGTCATCCGAACTGATCCGCCCAATTGAGCAGCCGCGCCAGCTAGAGCATATTTGCCTGGGTGAGTTCCAACCTGTAATTTGCTCTTTCTTCGAGTGTAAAGAGGATTTTATTCTTGAAATAACTGAAATGTGAAAGACTAACGACAGATGGGATGAGATGCGCCAAGCCGACACCAATATATCGCCCCCATGCAGCACCAGTCAATAAGAGGGGAATGAAAATGCCGGCTGGAACCTAAAGCAGCTTCTAGTTTAGATCATAAACCCCACTTTCTATACTACTTTAATTCTAATCCTGATTTTAGTTGGTAGAAGCCCTTACCGATACTCCAAAAGTCCAAGCGGTGAGGAAGAAGTATTCGACGGCGAAGATCAAAAGAGTGTACGGACGAAAAGAGTCTGAATGCTTAAATTTTATAAACAAACCTTTATTTTTCAGAATTTAAATAAAACTAACTGATTGGAGAATGGAATAGACTCTTTATTCCTCCTTCTGATCCATCGAAGAAGAGATTCGCCACAGCCGAGTACTCACCTTTCGGGCACCAGAGCTGAAAAGTGCAACTTAAAAGTTTACCCAGGATTACTATAGCTAAATAATCTTAAGCACATACCTGATTTACTGCTGTTGTTTCGGGATTGATTCCAATCGGTTGACAATCATCAACAAGAAACAGTGTCAAGAATCCGAAAAACCCCGACGTCGCAGCAATGATGATCGCCTCGAGTAAGCGCTGCTTTTTCGTCAAAATGTACCTGAAATTTGTTTTTAAACCAAATATTTTTATGCCTATGCCTAAGTCAAATTTTAAGCTCACTTTTTCCTGAATTTGGCCAAATTGATGTTAAGATAGTTGAAGAAGGCTCCACTCACTCCACCAATTACACCAATCGCCAAAAAGAATGGGATCTCGAAGAGGTTGTAGTCTTTGTCCTAAATTTATAAATAGCCTATAAATAACCTACAGTGGTCCACAAATGTATTGTCCCATTGCCATCCAAAAGTTTCTTTCGTACGAAAATCTTGCAAAATAACGATATTCCCAAAAAGTGTAGGGTATTTTGCTTACCCATAATACTCTACTTTTCAGGATTATAAGATTTATCCGTATACATTGCAGAAAAATTTAAGTATAAAACAAAAAAAATAAGTTACTTGACAAATAGCTCCACAAAAGTAATGTCCCATTTGCAAAGAATTAACAATTTTTTCAAAAAATTGATATTTGCCTGGTCCTCCTTTTGCTTTTATCGCTTCATTGAGTCGATCCGGCATGGAATCCACGAGATTTTCAAAAGACTTGGGCGGATGGTGGCCCAAAGACGTTGAATGTGAACCGATAAGGGGCCTCGAATCGAATTTCTTTCCCTTGAGGCGCGACTTCACAAATGACCACAAATGTTCAATTGGATTGAGATCCGGTGAGTAGGGAGGTGGATTGATCAATTTAACACGATTTGCCGCAAACCATCCGGGCAGACGAGCTCTGGTACCATTTTGAAGTGTCGCCAGCCGTCCCATCATCAGTCTCGACTTGTGTTTCGGGTCGTTGTCCTGGTAGAGCATCCATCCAGGAGGCATGGTTTGAGTGCAAAAGGAAGCATTTGAGTCTCCATAATGTTCTTGTAGGCCACAGATCCATCGTTGAGTTGACGTGAACTAATGGACCTACTGAAGTTCGTGACATCGCTCCTAAAGAAAAACAGTCAGGTGACAAAATACTAAAAAGGTTCTTACCCCAACACATTATGTTTCCACCGTTGAATTTCACGGTAGGCCGAATGTACTGAGTGCGTATCGCTTTCCAGTCGGTCGCCGAATAAGATGGTTTCCATCCGCGTGAAATAAATTGATTTTTGTCTCATCGGTAAATAGCACTTCGCCAAAGACGGTCGTCCAACTTCGGTAGGTCCGTACAAAGTCAAGGCGCTGCTTCCGGTGCTTAGATTTTATCAGAGATTTACGGGCAGCCCTTCTTGCATATAATCCAGCTTGATTTAATCGTCATCTGATCGTTTCCGGGATACAACCCTGTTAAATTGATCCCTCATCATTTGGCTTCCATCGGTTGGTGTTTTGTTAGGATCGTTTTCACCATTTGGATCACGGCTCGATCTTCTTTGTGGTTGTGATTGGTCGTCGGTCACTCTTGAGGCCTCGATGAAGGTTTCGGTCGACTTTTGATTGAGAAAGAATGCGCACACCGTCCTTCTCGAGCAATTAAAGAGGTTGGCCACATCCTTTCCCCGCATCCCATTTTCCTGGGCCTTGGCGATTCGGAGTGTCAAGGTTTTTCTTGCCAGCCATCTAAATAATAAAATAAAATACATTTAATGTTCATAGAACGCGGAAATAAAAAGAATAATCAAGGAGAACATCAATGGGACATTACTTTTGTGGAGCTATTTGTTAAGTAACTTATTGTTTTTGTTTTATACTTAAATTTTTCTGCAATGTATACGGATAAATCTTATAATCCTGAAAAGTAGAGTATTATGGGTAAGCAAAATACCCTACACTTTTTGGGAATATCGTTATTTTGCAAGATTTTCATACGAAAGAAACTTTTGGATGGCAATGGGACAATACATTTGTGGACCACTGTATAAATAAATAGAAAAAAATAGAAGAGCAACTTTTATCTTTTACCTCAAAAACGCCAAAATTAGCCAGCCCGTTCCAAGAAAGCCAAGCTCCAGCGCCGTGATACCAGGCCAGGATTGCACTCACAGTGAAAGAAGAGAACATCGAAGTAAAGAACTAAATATATTTTGTGCTTTATATTAAAGGTCTATCAGATTTGCTATCAATTACAAACCATTCTCCATGTCAAGCTTTGATTCCAGAAACTTGCTCCTTCTTCCAATGAAAAGAGAACACCGCCAATTGGAGCACCGAAAGCGGCCGAGACTCCAGCCGCCGCTCCCGCAGAAACAAAATCTCGCTTTTCCCGATCGTTTCTACAATTTGGCAATGAATTTTGTAAGGAATTTAGAGTTGCAAGAGGTCCCGGGTTTGATCCCCGGACTAGCCCCCAGTTAGTAACTATTTAACCTTACCCAATACCTTTTTACTCATCAATCCTTTTTCTAAAATAATTAAACACAAAACCCAAGAAGATCGCGCCGATTTGATTTGGTAGATTTTATGCATTTTAGTTGAAAGAGAATTGGTTAAGCTAAGTTTAGAAGGCAAGTACAAAAAGATTCGAAGACAATGGAGTAGAAGGGGGCCGAGAGAAACGAAAAAAGCCATTTTAGAAATTTAAACAAGAAACATGAGCAGAACAATATAAAAAAGAGGGAACGAACGAGGGGAGAGGGAGTACTTTCTTTCAGATAAACCTATTTTGAAGTCAATGGAAAAAAAGATAGAGCATGAAAAGTTAGGCATATAGGCGAACCAGCGATTGCGAATTGCTTAGATATGTCGAAAGAATTTTAAAAAAACTTGAACTTCTGCTCAAATTCGTTTCAAAAGTTACCCCAATTTGCTTAAGCATGTCTGAAATTAAATAATATATAACTTTTATTTAGAGAACTTCAATTGGCGTATTAAATATGTTTTATGGAAAATGCGAAAAAGTGTACCAACTTTCAAGTTACTAATATAATACTAGATTTTACGAAGGTGGAAGAAAACTTAGCGAGACTCGGCAGAAAAGCTGGACAACATTCACGACTCCATCATGGAATGTCGAAAAAATGAAAATGGCAAAAGGAGAATCTTTGGGCGGGGTACGGTAGCTATACGCTTTAGAAAGCAAGCCGCGCCGCTTTCGGGCCAATCCCTTTAAACCGCACGTAAATAGGATTCTGACTAAAAGAGTTAATTTTTACCTAAACTCTTTGAAGACTCCAAAATCGAGTCCCAGTGATGTGCTGCGTCCTTGCGAGATGCCAGCTGCAACGCAACCGCCACTGTGAATCATCGGTCCTTCCTTAAGTAACATTTACGTTTATTTTAGGTCAGGTATTTCAAAAACAAAAAGAATCATTCACTAATATTTCTGAATCTTACCTTTCCAGCACACAATCCTCCTCCGACTGCACAAGAGACACCCAACGCTTTTGTGATGAGTGTTTTAAAACTCACAACCTACAAATAGAAATTGTTCAAAAAGCTTTGAAATTAAATCAACTTACATCCGGAATAGCAATTCCATTGAGGTAGCACTTGATTTGTGGAATTCCCGATCCACCAGAAATTGGTGACCACCAGATTACCATAGCGGCTGCTATACAGACCTGAAAAAGTAGATTTTAACGGTTTAACTCCAAATTTATTTAAAATTTCTCTACTTCATGCGTTTTTACTCACCAAAGAGCAGTTGTAGAGAATCCAGACAAGCTCCACGTAGATCATACAATGCCCACCCATTCCCCTATCCAATTGCTGCTCACAATCAGATATCACTAAAATTGTTGAAGAATTTCTCTTTCATTGTCGCTTACATTGATTCATAATGACGTCTTGCTTAAGCCAATTTGATTTGTTGACTAAAATATCGATCCCTGCGGCGACAAGAGCTGTGCAAATTCCAATGAAAAAGCAAGCGATCCATCGATTCAAACTCAGCTTCCACAAGTTAAGCTAAAGAGAATTACGTAAAGATCTCTCTTATAAACTTTAAAACTTGAAGCCATTCTTGAAACCCAACCTGGTGACTCTCCTTTCGCTCCTCGTTTCTGTACAATTCGTTTTCACAGACTTCATAATTCAAGCTTTCGAATTTCGAAGAAATTGTGTGATGATCTCTATGTGGAGAAATCATTGGGGTTTGTTCTTGAGACACATCTTCCTACAAATTTTACAAAGTACTCAACTTTTTCCAATCCTCACCATTCTTCTCCTTCTCGCCTCAGAGTTGATATTTGATTGTGAGGCCACTCTATCCATCCCAACTACCGGATCTTCGTAGACATCAATGCTGAAGTTGATGGTCAAGTTTGGAAACGGTATTTGGTAATTTCACTGGCAAAGCTTGCTCTTATTACCTGCTTTCAGAAATGGTTCTTGGTCGGGGTGCCCGAGCTGAAGGCATTCGATGAGCTCTCCGATAGAAAGAAGCACTTGGTGGTGTGGCTGTGCCCTGGAACAATAAGTTCTAGTTAACAATAAAGTAATGCTAATGACAATTTAGCAAACTTTCTTGTTGATAAAGGTAAGTCTTACAGCCTGATTGCTACTTACATTCAGACTAATCAAAATTACTAGTGGAGTAGAAAATGATAGGTTTATTACTAAATAACTATAAGAGCTTACTAATAAAATAACTTTACGCTTAACCTTATTATATTCTTTGTCAAAACAATGATCGCAAAAATCACTCACATTTGGAGGCGTCGTGTTCTCCATCGATCCGTAGTGCGACGTTAGGGCAAGATTTTTCTCGTCAAAATGAACGGTTAATTCGTGATGTTCAGGTGAATCTTGTGAACCATACGCTAAATAAGAAATCTGGGAAAGTTACGCAAGAAATTATTCGGGTAATAATTTCTCGTGGCATTTTTGAGTAATGCTTACTAGCCGATAGAGACCCTGAAATTGTAGTTTGTTCACAAAAGCGATCAAAGAGAAATTTCCCCGAGAGCACTCTTTAGCAAACGAGTAAGCAGATGCTTGGTGAGAAATTATCTTCACAACAGTTTAGAAAGCAATTTATAAAAGAGAACTTCTTAGTTTTCCGGAAAAATGAAAAGCTTTGTCATAAAAAGCAGCAGAATATTAGGGTGTCCAGAAATTCTTTTCGTTCCTTTAATACTTCCGTTTAAAACCAACAAATGCACCAATTGAACTACGGTTTGTTTCGTTAGAAAGGCTAATTTTCTGCAAAATAATATTAAAACGGGTTTAAAATGTCTTATGGCTGGCTTTTTTGGGGAGCGTGAAGTCGGGTAGTCAAAAAGGACTGCTCGATGATGCAGTTTAGCCACTTTAGCTAAGGACACCTATCTAGGTGTCAATAGATAAAAGATAGAGCACAAAAAGTTAGGTATTTAGCCAAATTTTCAGAGAAATTCATTCAGCCAATTTCTTCGTAGAGCTTTTAAAGACTTTTTATGAAAAATACGCTTTCACTCTTGGATTTGCTTGAAAGTGAACCAAAATTGACTTAAAAAGATGGAAATTGAGCAAGAAACACTTCTTATTTAGAGCAAACTATAGGTTAATTAATGAATTTGTTATTTTTCAACGAAAGTATGAAAAGGAACGAAAGGCTTTATGAACAGCCTAATGGTTTTGAAAGTGACTATGAGCAAAACAAACAAAGCAAAACAATTTCGGAATTCAATGTTGAAAACAGATTTTGAAATCCCTTAGATAAACAAGGAATCAAGAAAACAAAAGAAAAATGCTTGCAGGACAGTTTTACTTTTCAGTTTTCTTAGTGAGAGTAGGCTTCACAAATCTGGTTTACGCTTGCTTACTTTACAGTAATTCACTACTTTACTCGAACCAAACCGACCAAAACAAAGAAATGTTTTAAAATCCAAAGAATAGAAGCTCAATCTTGTTGAATCCAACTTTTTCTCTAAAATTTCGATGTTCTGAGAACTCCTTATCAGTCTCAGACGCCCACCCAGCTCATTTAGAAAAGGACAACAAAAAAAACTTTCCTAGAAACTGACCTCTCAATTTTCTTAGAAAACTGCACTTCCGTGGTCGATCAATTTTTGCAATTTTCATAAAGCTGACAATCAATAAAGAATATTACGAATTGTTTGCTAGTCAGATTTTTCTTTGTGGAAAACTCGCACTTCAGATAAACATGATAAAAGCTAGAGACACAATACGCTCACTCAAAAACAAGCCTCGCTCAGAAGTTGCACTATGGTCTTTGGGAAATTAAAATTCAAGCTTTATGTGATTTGCTGTGAGTTGCTATTTGTCTATTTTTTATATAAAGCTTGAATAGTTCAGATCTGGACCAAAATTTTAGGAAAAAAAGGGGTCTTTCTCGGAAATTCGAATCTTTTCATTGCGAAAAGCTATTAGATGCAAAACCCAAAGCTAATTCGATTCTCTTGGAACTTTTCTTGGGACGAAGAGTTAAAATAAACTCCGCCAATAGGTTCTACGACTCTGAAAGTCTTGGGACACAAATTTTAAACACTAAATCTCATTTGGGAATCATTGTGTAAATTGATTGAAGAAGAATCACAATTCATTCACATTCTGAATCACATTCATTGATTCACTGAAAAAAAATCACTCCAGCAAAGCTTGGGCTAAACTCGATCTTTGGCCACCGTCGACGGCTTCCCAAAACGTCTCGCAGCTTGTGCAGCCTCTCATAGAAATATTTTTGAAAAGAAATAAACAAAATTGTTGAAAGCAATCTAGAGATTAATGTTAATTTTTGGTTTTTCGATGGAAAGGTTTCTAAACCATGAGTTTTGTTGGTTCGGGTCATTTTGGAACACCCTCCTTTGGTAGGTTGAACTCAAATTCCTGGTTTTAGCTTTTAGTCTAAAGATATTTTATACTTTACCTTAGAAATTTTACTGAAGCTTTTTATCAGTGCTGTGATTTGAAGGGATTAAGTCCCGTTCTGTCATTGACAAAAATTGAGCCTCTCCTTCCCCCTTTTCCCAAGAGTACCTTTTTTCCAAATGCCAAAATTTACCTGGAAGTTCGTTGCTTTTATTCATCAAACGTTGATCCAAGTCCGGCACAACAACTTGATAATCAATTTGCTTTAGTTAATAAACAACAAGATTTTCACCTATCCTAAATGAATCCTGACAACAACTTGATAAACACTTTTCAAATCTCCCCAATCCCCAGAGAAATCAAACACTTGATTCTTGACTATTTGGATGTTGCTGATGCTTTAAAGCTGCTGAAAGTGAATCACGATCTCCGAAATCAAATCTTATTCAAAGGACCTTTTCCCAAAAAAGTTAATGAGATCAATATTGAACTTTCAGCGGTTGCTTTCACGCAACGAAAACGAAATTTCGCAATTGAGGTGATAACAGAAAAGGAGAATTATGACTTTTATCTATCGGATGAAACAATATTCGATGATTGGAGAACAGTGGCCAATGTTGGGAGATTATCGATCGTTGGGCATCTCAATGGATTCAATACCATCAATTTGATCAGGAGCTGTAGGTAAAGGCATGGGAAAGGGAAAAATCTAAAAATTAAAGATTAGGGCTTTTCCAATCAACTACCAAATGTATTAAAGATATAAAGATCTAAAATAACTCTTCACAGCTGTAATTCTGATTTCAGATCACTCAAAATCAATCTCCGGTCACTCACGAGACAGGAGGAATCCCATATGGACGAACTTGTCGAAGCTCTCTTCGAGAATTACCCCTTCTTACCGTATCTTCACACAATCGCCACGTTTTCTCTCATCAGTGCAGCTCCAAGAGCAAAACTATTATTTGAAAACTTTCGACCCAGAGTAACCAAATATGCAAAAATTGAAATCCCCGATCCGAATCACGCCGAACTTACCCAAGTTATACGCAACAATTTCACACATTGCCCACTATTTCTATCTGATGATGTACAAAAAGATTGGGATTTCTTATCAAATACAAAAGCCGAAGTTCTATTCTTTCACTGTCGATCAATTAATTCATTCTTAGAGAATGGGATATTTCTATTAGAAGCGGGAATACCAAGTAAATTCGAGAAATCAGCTGCTATTCTTTGGATGGATGAGCCTTGTCAATATGAAAATGATTTACTTCAAAACGTTTTTCAAAGACTTTATCAAGCCGGAAATTTTCTGGAGATTGAGGAGAATTCTAAAGCATTCGCGCTTTTTCTCGATTCTTTTGGATCGAGCTTTCTTGAAAAGCATGGCCCTCTTGATTGGCCTCCATTCAAGTCAGATCATTTTTTGAATCTGAATTTCACTCAAAAGAGGCTTTTCAGAAGGATGATGAACAATAAATTGTATGTTTATTTGATTGGAAAAGTCGAGAAAAGGGAAATTACTTCAGTTCCCGGTGTTGAGTTTAATTTTTCTTTTCCTCAAATGATGATTCGAGTATTTGACATTGATTTTTTGGACACTTTATTAAGCTGGAAACAAAGTAATCTTGCAACAGGTGAGGTTCTAAAAAAATGAATAATAATATTCTTTACAGTTTTAGATTTAACCCAAAGCAAGAAGCTAAGTCCGATATCAAGACGTGGATCATTTGATAGAGAAGCGACTGGTGGAATGAGAAGATTCGTTGGAACGAGATTCCGTAGTGAACTCTAGATACTCTAAACTCTAGATAAATAATTTTCTGTGCATTCTGTGCAAAGTGTACATGTTAGTATGTAAAATGTCTAAATAAACTTATAGACAAATGAAAGCGCTTAAAAACAACCAGCATTTTACCACAGAACTCACAAGATCTTTGAAGATTCATTCATCAATCAAATTTAGAGAATAACGATCAGTACAACGATCAGTTTTCCATCTTATCCTTTCATTTAATTTGAAATTATTTGAAACAATCTATAAACGATCTATAAACGATCTATAAACGATCTATAAACGATCTATAAACAATCAAATCTTTTTGATCGTTATTCTCGATAACTCTACAAACCCGCAATTACCTTCAGACCGAATCACTGTACATATCTCACAAAATTACCCAAAACTTTTAAAAGTCATGCTGCAAATAATGGGTGACAATTAAATGCAAGTATTGACTGACATTGTTGTAGTGAAATAAAATCAAGATACGGTTGTTAGAACCACCAATTTTTAAGCTCGTTCGTGACCTTTTAAATGAGTATCAATTTGGTAAACTTAAAATAACCTTTTTCCTAATAAGTCTTTTCATTCCTTTTCATACTTCCGTTTAAAACCAACAAATGCACTAATTGAAAACGAACCCAAAATGACTTAAAAAGATGGGTGATTGAGCGCAAAAGACGCCGAAGTATGAAAAGAAACGAAAAGACTTATTCACCAACATAATATTGGGTTGGTGAATTGAAAACTGCGGGACTTTGAACTAAAATTTATTGAACATAAAACCATGAATTCATTCCAAATAATTTCCATTATTATTGACGACTTCTGCCCATTTTACAGGCAATTTGCGGATTCCTCTTTCGTAGTAGGATTTTGGTTTGTGTGTGAGACAAGAGTGAGACTCAAAAATGTCCCAGTTTGAGCATTTGAGCACTTTCTTCAAAAGAAACCCATTTTGGTGTCAATAGAAAAGTTGTAGAGAATCAAAAATCAAACTTATATCCAAATTTTCAGAACGATTCAAAAACTGGTTTTCAAGAGATGCCAAACTTTATAGCCAAATTTCCAAAAAGATACACTTAGTAGTTTCGCTTAAAATGCAAGTTTTGTGAAAATTCATAAGTTTGGCATCTCTTGAAAACCAATCGTTCTGAATCGTTCTGAAAATTTGGATATAAGTTTGATTTTTGATTCTCTACAACTTTTCTATTGACACCAAAATGGGTCTCTTTTGAAGAAAGTGCTCAAACGGGGACATCTCCAGTCCTCCATTTGAGCCCTCCATTGAGTCTCACACTTGTTTCACACACAAACCAAAATCCTACTACGAAAGAGGAATCCGCAAATTGCCTGTAAAATGGGCAGAAGTCGTCAATAATAATGGAAATTATTTGGAATGAATTCATGGTTTTATGTTCAATAAATTTTAGTTCAAAGTCCCGCAGTTTTCAATTCACCGACCCAATAGAAACAAAAAGAAAACAAACCCTCGACGAATTGTCCATGTTCTGACAAACCCGTCAACCCTCGGGTCAAATGTGTTCCATTCCATTCCATATTCCTATACCTTTTTGGTTTCACTTTACAGATCAACTTACCAAATAACATCCAATTCCACAGAAGAATCGGGCTAGCGAACGCTTTGATTCTCTCAAGTAAGATCAAACAGCTCAACAAAAAAAGTCGGATGAGAGATCAATACACTTTATTTTCAGCTTTTCCTGCATCAATTGTTGATGCTGATTTCCCGGCTCGATCCATTGCCAAATTTTGCTCAAAGCTCATGCAAAAGAATCGAGTTCTGCATTCAAATTTCAATAAAATTCAATGAATTCACGTGTCCCGTGTCATTCATATTGTGCTTGGAAGTCAACCTTTGGCCCGCTAACATTTTTTGATCGAAAAGCGCTCAGCCACGGCATAGCGATCCGGCATACTGTTGGACTGTTCGAATATAAATGGGACAAATGCAAAAGATTTTCTATTATTCAAGGCATATCCACTCAAAATGTACTCAACAACCTGGTGGATGATGCTCTCTCTGTTTGTGGGTGAGTTTCAATAAGTACTTTCAAAGTTAAAGTCCTGTGCAATAATCCAGTTTTTAGAGCTTTTTCGCTTTAGAGTTTAGAACTTAGAGCTTAGAGCTTAGAGATTTTTAGAGCTCGGTAATTACTGTAGGTATTAATCTATTGTTTTGATTTCCTAAAAGCTTTTTTGATCATTTCCAGGAGTCGGGCTTTGCGCTGAACCATCGGGTGTCCGCCAATTCCGCTTCTTGTCACAATGCAACAAGTTTTGTACTGTGAAACCTGCTCAGAAACCACTCTATCAACTCGGATTATGCTGCAATGTTAGTTTTTGAGTTTTTAGATCATGTTAAATGATCCGAAACTGATCCTTTACTATCAACTATATATAAAAGAGCAGTGTCTGTCTGTTAGCTGGTTTAGTTTAATCTACTTGTTTCCTTTTATAAAAGTGCTACAGAAACTGGAAACTACAGAAACTACAGAAACTATAAAGGAACTATAAAGGAACTTTAAAGGAACCAAATAGGAACTAGAAAGGAACTATAAAGGAACTTTAAAGGATCCAAATAGGAACTATACAGAAACCATAAAGGAACTATAAAGGAACTATAAAGGACAAAAGAACTTGTAAAAGGATTTACTTTCAAATTCTTTTAGCGTTACAACGCTGGCAATTGGGCAACGTGCACCAAATTCAATCAAGCAATTTGTGCACGTAAAGACGTCTCGTGGTCGAATGATGGAAATGTCGAATGCATTTCGTATCCATTCTATGGAGCGTGTGCTACTCGATATGGATTGAACAATGATGGGAAATGATTGAACTGAGCAAAACAGCTGAACAAATATCTGAATAGTTGTTATTTGAATAAAATGTTTTGAAATAGCATACAAAAACTAGGAAACTCAGCAAAAAAATCCCAACCATGGACAAAAAAGTCCAGCATGAACTTGTCTATAAAATTTGACTGCAAAAATGCATCGATTTTTTGAGCAGACATTGATAATTATTTAAAGCTTTCCGTTCCAAACTCAAATTCTGATAAGTAAATGGTCAAGGATGCTTAAATGATCTTCTTAATAGCCTTCTTAATAGCCCCAATTATAGCTAATCACTACTTATCAGTCCCTGTCTTTTTATGACATTTTTCAATCTTTTCACCTTTTCACGTGTCCCTCTGAACAAAGGTCAAAGAGCCAATAAACCCTTCACTTTCCACTTTTTTCTATTTTCATAAAAACTTAGTGATTCGTTGCAAACAAAAATTTAGCCTAAACATTTAACTTCCTTTATATCGCCATTTTACTTGAAATCCCTTTATTGGAATGGGTGCTTCAACTTCTCACAAAATGGATTCACCGATTGAATTTGGTGGTGCAACTCGTCGTGATCATTATTCCTTTGATGTCAATGTCGCCTATTTGAATCAAGGCAGTTATGGGCCTTGTCCCCGTTTTGTTCAAGATGATTTTTTGACAATTCGAAAGATTCAAGAAGGAAATCCCGATTTATGGTTTCGCAAAACGAAAGCCGATCTGTACTTGAAAGCTCTTCACATGGTCGCTGATCGGTTTGATTGTCAATTTGAACAGGTTTTATGCAAAAATCATTTCAAATCTACTGCTAACAATAAGATCTATGATTTAAGAACAATAAGAACAATAAGATCATAAGATCAATCACATAACTTAAACTAAACCAGTCTCACTTACAAGTTAAGTACCCAGTCTTGGATCTTGGAGTTTAAAACATAAACTTTTTTGTTTAAAGATAGCTCTTGTCGAGAATGTAACATGTGGAATCAATGCTGTGTTGAAGACTTCCCTTCCGTCTTTTCAAAAGCCTGGTGGAACCATTTTGTATACAAATCAAGGATATGGATCAGTGATCTACACTATCAAAGAAGCTGCGAAACAACACCAAATGAAGGTAAAGTCCTTGATAATTCAATGCTTTTAGGGTCTGAAAGTCCTTTCGTAGTTTTTGAATTGTAATTTCTTGGAAGCCAAAACATTTATTCATAATATATATTCACCATTATGAAGTATCAACTGTTCCCATTTATATGGCAAAGAGTGGACTCCCTTATCCCAGAATGAGTGGAGCTGGCGATCAAAGAAGTCGCTTAGCCATTTTTCGATTTCATCGACGATTCCAGAGTGTTCGTTCTTCAATTCAGCGGCCATTTTTCGGAAAAGATGAAAAACTGATAAGGCTAAATCAGGAGAATATGGGGATAAGGGAGAACCTCGCAGTCCAACTCCTTCAGTTTTTCTTTGATGTTTTGATGTGTGTGTTCTCGCGTTGTCATGTTGCAGAATGGCCTTCCCTTTCTTTGGCCCCTTTTTCACAACTCCAGCTGATCTAGCTGATTCGTTTATAATAATGCTGTAATAGTTGTCCCTTTAGATAGCAACTTCCAGTAAATAGGTCCTTGGGTATCTCACCAAATACCGAGCATGATCTTCTTCTAGTGGAGTTCGGGCTTGGGCCCAGCTTTGGGTTTTTTTTTCCGGACCCCACCCATTGCTTGTGTCTCCGGTAGTAGACAAATATTACCCATTCTTTGATCCACAGTAATCACATGGGAAAGAAAAGTTCGGGGATATCGTGTTACTTTTGCTCTTACTCCAATTACTCTTCTAAAGACTCTTTCTCAAATCCAAGCCATCAGGCTGAGTTAAAACTTTGTACAATAATATTAATTTCTTTGATAATTATCATACTAAAATATTAGAAAGATCCATGTTTGGCTTTTACAAAATTGTAAAGAGAGAGGCTTACCTAATAACTGAAATAGAGGGCTTACCTAATAACTGTAAATAGAGAGGCTTACCTAATAATTGACTGACCTAATCATCTTGTTTAGACTCACGAACTCGACATCAAACTGCCCATTCAAAGCAAAGACTCATTGATTAAACTTTTCGAGGAGGAAATCGAAAAGATTGATGATCTCCGACTTGCCGTCATTGATCATATCAGCAGCACTACTGCAATCATGTTCCCAATTGAAGAGTTGACTGAATTATTTCATCGTCGGGGTATCCCAGTTCTCATTGATGGAGCCCATGCACCAAATCAAGTTCTTGACTTATCATTATCAAAGTTAAAGTGCGAGTTCTACGTTGGGTCGCTTCACAAATGGATGTTTACAGCAAGAGGTTTATTTTGATTCTTTTAATACTGGTAAGCCTTCAAACTACTAGAAAACAGTTCTTTCTAGGTACGGCTTTTATCTTTGTTCGAGATCCTAATGTGGCCAATCAAATCCAACCGTCGATCACCTCATGGGGCTATCAACCGAGCCTTGCGGAACCACAATATATTCCATTTCATCTCCAGTTCTTTTATCAAGGCACAAGAGATGAAACAGCAATGTTCACAATTCCGAAATCGATCGAATTCATTGATTCTATTTGTGGCGGCTTTGAGAGAATCTACGAATACAACACGAAATTGGCTCAAAAGACAAAAAAGACATTGGATGAACGATGGCAAAATGATGGGAAGAATCTTATGCCTTTGGAATTGGAGTCACCTTTCTTGAAAATGGTATATTATAAGAGATATTCTACTGTTAATTTGATCTTTTAGGTCAAACTTCCCGATTTGATCGCTTATGAGAAGAGTGATGCAGATGCGCTTCGTTTATTGGAAGATCTTCTTCTAAAACATCAAATTGTGACTGTCATTGTACATGTGAATGGGGAATTGTATTTACGACTTTCTACCCAAATTTATAATGAATTTGATGATTATACTCGTTTAGCCGATTTGATTGACACATTTCGGTAGAGATAGTGAAACATTGAGCTTTCCTGTAACTGATCTGTTTGCACACCATCGAGTTTCTTACAAAATGTAGTACTTATTTGAAATATTTTAACTTGGACATAAAATTCTCGATTCTCGATTATCGCTTTTCATTGCGAGATACAATAAAGTTTCTATTCGTGTCTGATTCCAATGAACAATTAACTCACAAGGGAATGTTCTAAACGGAAAGTAATATCACACAGTTTCCGATTACATGGAATGGGTTGAGGTAAAAGAATCTCTGAAGTTCAATTGTTGATTAACTTATAGATCTGGTATCGAGTTCAAGAGATTCGATTTAAACGTAAATTTCGTCGAAAAGTCTACGTTGCGTCCGACGACCCGATTGTGGTGCCGGAGATCAAAAGCCGGTATTCGATTAAAGGAACTAAATATTAAAGGTCAATCTTCAATGAATGAGGTTTAAGATTGATTTAGTTACTCAAATTTCGATGTTTTTGCCACATTGGACTACCCAGATTCAACGGAAGAACAAAAACGGTATTCGGGTGAATTGTACAGGGTTTTCTTTGTCTTTTCTAATATAGGATATGTAGTTTAACTTTAACAGGCTTTAACAGGCTTTAACAGGCTTTAACAGGCTTTAACAGGCTTTAACAGGCTTTAACAGGCCTTAACAGGCTTTAACAGGCTTTAACAGGCTTTAACAGGCTTTAACAGGCTTTAACAGGCTTTAACAGGCTTTAACAGGCTTTAACAAGCTTTAACAGGCTTTAACAGGCCTTAACAGGCTTTAACAGGCTTTAACAGGCTTTAACAGGCTTCAACAGGCCTTAACAGGCTTTAACAGGCTTTAACAGGCCTTAACAGGCTTTAACAGGCTTTAACAGGCTTTAACAGGCTTTAACAGGCTTTAACAGGCTTCAACAGGCCTTAACAGGCTTTAACAGGCTTTAACAGGCCTTAACAGGCTTTAACAGGCTTTAACAGGCTTTAACAGGCTTTAACTTTAAATAGCTTTAACAAAGCAATAACTTGAACAAGAATTAAGGCTCAATTTTCAATGTTCAATATAGAAAAATTTTCCTATTGTTTTCACTATCTTCTTGTTTATGAAAATACAAAAAACGCAGTTTTTGAGATCTTCTTTTTCAGTAGTTTGAGAATAAGTTTGAATACTTTTTTATAAAGTTTACTTGAACTGAAGCAAGTAGAAAATAAGAATAAGGTTTGTTGCTTGAAGCCGGAGATCAAGCTTCAAGTCTTTAAATGGTATATGTCGTAGTCGTTTACGAAATTCAGCCGCTAACGAATGAGGGTATTTCCGGGCATCCAATCATAAAGCTTCAGTTGAACTCGGTCGCTGCTTTCACATTTGAGAATTGCTCTGAATTTGTTCCTCGGCCTCTTTCTCCTACTTTCAATGAAAAATTGTTTTAGATGGCTTTACTTTAAGAAACTACATCAAATTGGCTACAAAATGAGCTATTAGGCAAGTTTTTTGGCTGAGTAGAAAATTTTTTACAGCCATTTTAGGGCATTTTTGAACCTAAACTTTGAGGGCTCAAAAAAATTTTTCTACTGAACCAAATGAGCTAATTTCAAAAATTTATTATAAAATATATGTATTATGAACATTTTTTATGTGGGTGACTTTTTGATTGGATGCCCGGAAATACCCTCATTCGTTAGCGGCTGAATTTCGTAAACGGCTACGACATAAATAACGATTGGTGGTTTTAGTTCAAATTTGGATAGTATTTGCTTGAGATGTATTTAGCTGCAATTTTCCCGCACTCTGTAGATTGATAACTCTGAGATTCTAGATAATGGCTTATTGGGAGTGACTATTGACACAAAAATCTTGAGCAAGTGCAATTACGTTGTCTGCACCTTTTCGAGCAATGTTTGTTCTTGTGATTAACTTTCTTAACCTTCTTTAATTGCTAGATTTGTCAAATGGTTCAAGAGTTATCCTTGTTGGAAAGCCCGAATGAAAACATTGTTCAATCAATTGATATGGATTACTTTTATTATGGAGGATATCGTACGTTTTGAGCAGTTGAACTTGACTCAGAAATTTCAGCTCGAGAATTTACTGTAATTGAAGATCACAAAGCGGAGAAGGGTGAAGAGATTGAATTGAGGTATTTGTTGGATAGCAAACTTTCTAGAATTACACTCAAAAACTTCACAATTTAGAAAAGGTGAAATAATATTTTGGGAGAAAGCTTGGGAAGGTAATCAATTCAACGGATTTGCTTTGGGAACGAATCGGAGAACGGGAAAACGAGGACTCTATCCAAATTCAAAAGTAAGAAATCGATTGCACATTACGAAATAGTGCTTTTTAGGCTATGGAAAAATGGAGGACTTATAATTTTGAAATCCCCAATTAATCGTCCATTTGAAATGAACACTGAAATATTGATCTCGACGTGCATTAGCAGGCTGACACCAGGAAACCGAGTCATTTTCAAACATAATAAACATTTCAAAACATTGATATATACAAAATATAAATATTAAAAAACACGAATGAGTTATTTGAACTTGGAGGCAAGGTTCTGAGTCCAAATTCTAGATCTAAATGCCATTTGGTCCATAGTGCCGTTCGGGGATCAAAAAAATATTGAAATGCCGCTTATGGTTTGTTAAACTTGAGCCAGAAACTCGCGAAGATTATCAAGCGATTATTTATGATCGAAGTACACAAACATAACTCGAGAGAACGTACGTTTTGAAATGATTTCGAATGATATCAATCAGGCGAAAAACTCGCCTAACGGCTTTATATATTAGAGTGTGCTGTTTCCGAGTAAATTTAACTTGAATAAACTCGAGTAAAATTTGCATGAATAATTTTTACTCGATTAATCGACGCTTTTCGCGATTAATTGACGCTTTAACTACGAGTAATCCTCTTTACACGTCGAGTAAATTGAATATCTTTACATTTGAAGTGAATTTGCCACTAAATCAGTTAAACAGCTGAATATCTTTAAAAGAAAACCTATATAAGTCAGCGCTCGTGATTTTTTCGGGCCAAAAGTAGGGTAATTTTTGCCAAGTGTGCGTTTTAAAAAACGCATTACTCGCGAGGAACACACTCTATTATATATAGTAGATGTTGAACCGTGTTTAGCCAAAAGTGGAAAGATTATTCCGGATAAATGTGTTGTCTCAAAGTGATCGAAGTGATCAAAGCCGTTTTATTACGGGAACGAAGTGAGTGTTTAATGTGAACTTTTGAAGGAAACGTTAATGGATGGCACCCGGAGCGACGCCCAAACTAAATCTAAAGCCTGAATTGCACCAGAAGAAGTTTATGCTACAGATCTTGTTCTCTTCTAATCTTCTCATCTTCGGAATTGTCTTGTTTCCCGGGTTCTGATGCAAATTGGATGCAGATTGGAGATGTTTTCCTTCGTGCATTCTATTCAGTCTTTCATTATAAATATAGTCGGGTGGCTTTGGTACCTCGAAGAACTTGATTCACTTGTCATCTTGGAAACCCGTAGCCTTTCAAAACTTTAGAATCTTTCACTATTTAGCCTTCATTGTGTGTACCTAATTTTCTGCTTTTTTAAAGATTTATTCTATGAAACAATTAATGTACAAATTTTCTGTAACTCTATTAAAAAGTGAATCGTATTTTTGCTTAGCAACCAAAATAGAACTTGTTCTAATGCTCATTTCCCTGATGGACTTGAAAATATTTTTAGCTTTAGCTCTATTTCAAGATTGGGCCAAAACAAATGTGATTGGGTCACTTTAGCCCCTTTTTTCCTTTGTGGATACCTGAGGCCATGTGAAAAGTGTTAAATGGAGAAAGAGGTGTAAACAGCAAATGTTTAGAAAAAGAAAAGGACTTATGAACTTTAGAACATTTGAGTCCTTGTCTCTTCCCTTGTCTTTCATTTAAAGACCTCAAACTTCCCACCTGTTCGACTTAAAATAGACTTACGAAAAGAAAAAGAGAAAAACCTAAATTAAATAGCTTTGTTTCGGCGAAATGATTAAGTGGCCCAGTGCCTATTTTTCTAAATTCTGATTACCTTGTGAAATTCTGACATGACTTGATCCTGATCAACAAAAGTGCTTCTTTGAAAGTCAGGTGGTGAAGATTGGGGCTATATAAAACTCAAAAAAGCTTAGGTAGAACAGTCTAGAAAAATTCTACTACGATCACTGACTTGAATCTTTATTCATTCGACAAATTTGTTCAAGATGGCACCACCAATGCAACAGAAACTTCCGGTAGGCCTTTCCGGGTCCGATAAAGTATTTTATCATTAATATTCTATATCTTCATTAGCTGAAGAAAGTCCTACCGTCTGAATACTTCTATTGTCTATAGTCTATAGTCTACAGACGTCTATAATAGCATAATGTCTATAGTCTACAGACGGGAGTCTACGGGGTTGGGCAAAATTACCCGGACAACTTTTGGAAAAGCAGTTGTCACACGCTTAATTTATTTCAATTTCAAGTATTATGCAGAGAATTGTAGCCCTTAATCTTGGCTACATTTCGCTACTAAAAACTTCCCAATCGAATTTATGCAACACATTTTACAAGTCCTTGAATGAAGATTAGTCGACGCCTATCCGGCACGCTGCCATTTTCTACATAAAAAATTGTTTAAAAAAGTTTTTCTAGTATTTATTTTATGCAAAATTATTATTTAGTACCATTAATAATATGAAAGATAACTTTCAACTGTTTTGGCTAACCTTCTATAACCAAAATCAAGTGACTAACTTTGAAGACGCAAGGAAAAAGGTGAAATTTGATCAGTTTTCGATATTTAGTTCACATGAGTGTTGTTATAATGCTATATTAGCTTATATTAGCTGTTATAATGCTATGAAATTGTTGAAAATCATTTTTTAAATAAAATGCACACAAAGTTTACTAGATAAAGTCCTTTTTAGATAAAATTTTTATGCAGAAAATTGTCAAAAATAGCAGCGTGCCGGATAGGGATCGACTAGTGCTCATTCAAGGACTTGTTAAATGAGTTGCATAAATTTGATTGAGAAGCATTTAGCAGAGAAATATAGCCAAGATTAAGGACTACAATCCTCTATATAACACTTGACACTTTGAAATAAATTAAGCGTGCGACAACTACTTTTCCAAGAAGTTATCCGGGTAATTTTGCCCAACCCTGTATCTTTCAGTCTTTAAGTGAAATTAGCTTCTAAAAAGGCTGAGTTTTATAAGCTCTTTAGCCAAAGAATTTTTCCATTTTTTGAAACTAAATATAGATTGTAATATTCTCTTGTTATTTATCAGGGTATGGAGATGAAGAAATCTCGAGATCAAAGACTGGTGGATCAACCGAAAATGCAGGAGGAAGTGGTAGGAAATTGAAATTTTAAATGGCAGCCATATACACCTTAAAATTCAAAGCATTTGAAATATCCTGTGAGATATTTATTGTATTCAAATTCCAGGTTGGCCATCACATGAGCACCGGTGAAGATGTGATCTTGAAGAACGGTGAACCGTGTTTAGCCAAGAGTGGAAAGATCATTCCGGATAAATGTGTTGTCTATTTCTAAAATTTCTTTAATTGTATATTCTTTCGTCAAATCTTTTACTATTCATTTTCAAGATTACTTTACCGAATCTTTGCTCAGTTTCTCCAAAACTTCACCAAAACTAATCATGCACAGATTCATTGTCATTCGTCTTTCCGTAGCCTGTGTTTCGCCTTTATTTCAATAATGCAATTGTATATAAACTTTTAAATCTTGAAATTTTGCAAAAGCCACAATTATATCATTTAAAAAGCAATCCCTTTAAAAAAGCTAATTGTATTTTTACAAGAAAAACAAAATTTCACACATTCCATGGGATTCTAAATGGCTGAAATGAAATGAGTGTGCAACTGAACTAGTTATATACCGTATTTTCTGTAATAGTAGTGCGCACTACTATTTTTTCAATCCCCCTCCAGCCTGCACTACTATTACAGACTGCACTACTATTACAGAAAATCCGGTATATGGCTGCTGTGTTTAACTATTGGGTTGGGGAGAATGAGTCGGCGCCGAAAATCAAAAAAATGTCTAAAACTTCTATTCGACTTCGTCAAATAATATGCGTTTGATATCAGTAGAATGGTTAACTAATTCTCTACAAAATCACATTTAAAAGAAAATTCAAACAGCGCCTCCGCTCAAGAAAAAGCCATTTTTTCACAAAAACTACAAACTGTCATCTAGAAAAAACCATTGGTGGGATCTTCCTGCAAATTTGGCAACTTAAGTAGTTGAATGTGCTCTATCTTTTTTATATAAACACCAAAGAAGGTTTATGTGAAAGAAACTGTTCAAATGATGAGTCGGACTCTTTGCCATTTTAACCAGCTGCGTTTGGAAGTTCATAAACTCCACGAAAGAAAAGCTTTGTGGAATCTCTCAAAAGTCATTTTGTAGAGAAATAGTGGATCCTTTTGATGAAACCAAACGTATGTTTAAAGAAGGCTTTATGTGTGCAAAAAGTCCATTTAAAGTTTGGCGCCGACTCATTCTCCCCAACCCAATATGTTAAAGACTAAGCCATGCATTTTTTAGTTTGGTCTGTTTAGCTTTTCTGCTGATTAAGCCTTTCTTTTAGGTTCGCTTGGTTTTGATGTACTGGTATCAATAACTCGCTCTAACTAGCAATTTTTTTTCTTAGTAAGTTCAATCATCAAAAAACTGTTTGAGAGAGCGTTTTTAGCAGTTAAAGTTTATTTATAAAAACTGCAAATAATACAATTATATGAAAGATAAACATTTGTAAATTTTGAATAATTCAAATTCATGAAATTAAACACCAGTCAGTTTGACTGCTTTATGGCAAACAATAACAATTATTCGTGTCGAAGTTCATCAATAACATTGCCCAAATAAAGATAATCTTCCATGCAATTGTAAATCTGAGTGGAAATTCTCAAGAACAACTCCTCATTGATGCACACAACAACCACAACAATTTGATGGTAGCCAAGCAGAATCTCCGACAAACGGGAAGCATCCGCAACGCTTTTATTGTAACCAGGAAGATGTGGTAACTTGATCTAAAATAAAAAGTCGTTCAACATTGCTATAAATCAAGATTACAGCGTATTCTACACGGTGTTCAGTATTTACGGCGACTTCTTTTTGCTAGATTAGCTCCCAAGGTCAATTCTAATGTTCAACTCTATTCTAGTCTTGGTCAATTCTAGTCCTTAATCTTGGCTACATTTATCTCTTAAAAGTTTTCTGATTGGAGATATACAACTCATTTTACAAGCCCTTCCGTGAGTACTAGTTGATCGCGAAAAATGGCAACAAGGGATCAACTAGTACTCATTCAAGAGCTTGTAAAATGAGTTGTATATTTCGTAAATACTGAACACCCTGTAGACTTTTGTACTTACCATTTTCATGTAAGGCGCCTCCAGACTTGACGGTATCAAAGAATCTTCATTTCCCCAACGTTCATCCAACATTTCTTTTGCCTTTTGACTTAAGTTTGCATTGTACTCGTAAATTCTTTCTTTACCACCACAAATTAAATCAATAAATTCGATGGCTTTGGGGATTGTAAAAAAAGCTGTTTCATCTCGTGTTCCCTGATGAAAGAATTGGAGATGAAATGATGACGTTTTGGAAAGATCAGATGGACTTGGAACATATCCCCATGAAACAGGTGGTTGGATGAGATTTGTCGATGATTGGTTTTTGACAAACACAAATGCGGTGCCTAAACGTTTTCAGGTCAATTTCAAGAATAGTTCCTTACAGGGTGCGTCATAATTACTCATTACGCATGATCGCGAGTCATGAGTCGCGTTTCCTTCGAGTTTTTTGCAAGTTTCTTGTATTAATATGGGATTCTTTTTGTTTTGGGCATTCCAACAGGATCAAAATCTCCATCAATTAAAACGGGAACACTTCGTTGATGAAATTTGCCTATAAGACTTGTTTTGTCTGGTGCTAAAGAACTTCGCGGACTTCATCGCGTTTGTTCAATAGCCCCCGAAGTCCCCAAATCTCAATCCGATGGATTTTTCTGTTTGGTCAGTACCACGTATCAATATCATAGTAATCATAGTAATTAAGACGCACCCTGTAAAGCTTTCTCACAAACCTCTTGCCCCAAACATCCATTTGTGCAGAGAGCCTACGTAGAAATCACACCCCAATTTTGTCAGTGAAAGATTTGGTATCTGATTCGGTGCATGAGCTCCATCAATTAAAACGGGAACAGATCGTTGATGAAATTTCTCAATCAATTCTTCGATTGGAAATGTCATTGCTGGTGTGTTCGTGATGTGATCGAGCAAGGCTAACCGTAAATCCTGCACCTTATCGATTTCTGTTTTAAATAAATCAATTAATGCTTCTTTGCTCTCAATCCGTAACGGGATTTCGACTGTGTGCAGCTAAAATCTCTTCGTTTAGTCGATCACTGGTCCTTACTTGCATACCACGTTGTTGAACTGCAGCTTTAAGTGCATGAGAAACCAAATGATCCATCAGATTTGTGCATAGAATTGTACCACCCGGTTTTTCGAAACAAGGCAAAGGCGACTTCAAGATGGCGTTGACCCCATTGGTCACATTGTCGACAAGAGTTAACTGAACGGTCAGATAAGTGTATAATGCTTAAGAGCTGGATACAATCCGAATGCTCATGAATAACACCTTAATTGTATTACTTTTGGGTTGAGTACTAAATCTTGATACCACTTTTTGTCTTTTGTTTCAGCAAAGAGCAAACCATAGCTTTTTATAAGATTTTAATATGATAATCAGACACGCAATGCCTAGCTTTAGGCAAAGTTTTATCCCGATCTAATGGCTGGACTTCAAGCAGGAGGCTTTTGTTTGAAACTAGTCGCTTTGGATTCTTTGATCTTCTGTAAACTGGATTTTTCTACTATCCCTAAACCTATCCAATCAATAGTTGGCAATTTGAAGTAGATACTTTAAAAAAGATAATTTAAATAAGAACATATATATTAAGTAGTTTTTCAAGGAACTTTGTCAGCATTTCGAATTATCAAAAAGTTGCTAGAAACTGAAAAAAATCAATTTTGAAAGTTTTTTTGTTGAAAGTTGAAAGTCGAAAAGTTTATGTGGCAATGTTGGGAATTTTAACGCCGAATAAGATTATTTAGGTGTTGATAAAGTATACTGGTAAAAAAGTTTCTGGATTGGATTCTTTTCTGAAAAACTTTCTAGGGAGTCGATTTGCAAGTCACTTTTTTTTCGCTCTTTTGTTCATAGCTCAGCTTTCATTCATCAAAAAAGGATAAAAACTTGGTGCCTAATAGACAATCGAATACTAATGAATAATAACGAATAATAATAATGTTTCAAAAGTTTTATAAAAACACATAGTTCAGTCTTTGAAAAAACCCAAAAACAAAAATTTGTACGATGTGCGTTGTGCGATGGATCAGAATCGAGATGAGAATCGAGATGAGAATCGAGGTCAGAATCAAGATCAGAATCAAGATCAGAATCGACTAGTTTCAAGCAAAAGCCTCCTGCTTGAAGCCCAGCCATTAGATCAGGATAAAACTTTGCCCAAAGCTAGGCAGTGTGTGTCTGATTATCAAATTAAAAATTGATAAAAAGCTATGGTTTACTCTTTGCTGAAACAAAAGACAAGAAGTGGTATCAAGATTTAGTACTCAACCCATTATAAACTTATGCAATCAATTTTAAACGTTTGCAAATCTTATAATTAGCAATTTCATAACTGTTATATATAAAATAACTTCATTTTTACCTGCTCAAAATGACAATCCAGACGCTGAGCAACAATCTTGATGCTTTCCATATATCTCTCCAATTTCTGTCGATCACCCCAATCCTCGGGGTTCTCTTCTCGACTTTTTCGCATTTCTGTCAATTTTTCGTAGATTGATCGTGGACCTGGGCACAGTCTTCCATGAGTTAAATAAGTCTTGCTTGGATTAAGCAAATAGTGATTATAAAGAGTTTCTTTTCCGAATTCAATTGGAAAACTCATTGGAATGATTGAAATGATGAATGATTGAAAGAGAATTATTGAGAGAATAGAATGATTGAAAGAATAGAATGATTGAAAAGCTTGATGAAAATGAGAAAGAGTCGATTTTTTCGATTTTCAAAATCAGCGCTTAATTGATAAACGCCGTTTTTCCTTCCCTTTTTCCATATTTCTTATCAACTGGCCTTTTTGCCAATCAAAAATTTTGCTTTGTAGTAATGGAAACTAGGAAGTCCTAATTTATTTTTCAAAATCAAAACAGATTAACTTTGAACAGTGACAATTGTGGTAACCTTGGCTGAATTTGTTTTTTTCCTTTCGTTTCTCAATACAAATACAGCAAATAACACCAAAAATAGTTGTTTTTAAGTTTGAAGATTTTCTCATAAAAAGAAAAATGAATTTCTTATCTAGAAAAGAAATAAAAGAAAAAATACTGATTTCAAAGTTCTAAAGAAAGAAAAACAATCATTATTCCCAACGCCAAAGAAAGATCGAATCGAATGTGCTTAATAGATCGAAAGATCTATTAAGCACAATATATTGTGCTTAATAGAATAAGAAACAAATTTGTGAGCATCTAAAAGTTTGTTTTCGAAATGGAGTCAAGTTAAAAATGTATCTGAATCATAATAATTACCTGAAGCATCAATAATTTAATGTTTACCGTATTGGCAAATTAAACCGGTCGTTCGTCGCTGAAAGAACACAATCAAGTGCTAAAGTGAAGACACCCAAAGCAACAACCTGAACTTGTGTTCTTTGTTGAATTATGGATCTTATGATTGGGCAATTTTATTGTAAAAGGCTATTTGAACTACAGGATGGCCAAGAATTACCGTAACAACGTCGTATTATGTTATGAGCCCCATTTCACTTTTTACTTCCCTGTTTTTATGGTTTTTATGTATTTTTCTTATTTTATGGTATATAACTTTCAATACATTAGTATGGTTGTTTTCAGGAATGGTCAAAGCGTCTCCACATCGACAATCGATCCTTGAGCTCAAGCGGCAGCGTGTTCAGGTGAGAGAGATCTCAAAGCGCCTGAATGCCCCCAGAAGCCTCGTTTCTCGATCCATTCAACGTTATGAAACTCTGGGCACAGTTTCTGATTGCCCTGGAAGAGGTGCAAAACGAAGAGCGGTTACTCTGGCTAATGTCAAGCAAGTGCGCGATCGTCTAAGATTAAACCCTAACCAATCGGCTCGAGGAATGGCACAGAAAATGAGTCTGAAGAGAAGCTCCGTCAACACAATCATTAAGAAAAAGCTGAAAATGAAGCCGTACAAGAAGAACAAATCTCAATTACTATCAGCTGCTGCGAAGGGCAAGCGAAAAGACCGATGATGCCTATTTGCTCGCCACGATCAACGCGTTTCCCAAACGTTTGGAAAAATAGGAGGTGCAAAACGAACAGCGGTTAATTGTTAATTTGTTACTGTTATATGTTGAATAAATATATTTTAAGTGAACTTTTCGAGATGGGTTACATATTTGGTTGAAAGCCAGGCCTTTTGTGTGTTGCGGTAATTCTTGGTCACCCTGTATTTCCCGTTTTCACTGCCTTACACTGTTTTCCTGACAATGAAATGAGCCAAAATCAAACCAAAATCCAAAATCAACCACCGCTATTGCTTGATAAGCGAAGAAGTCCTGAAGATCCTCTTTCTATGTAAGAGAATCGAAAAATTGGCACTGGCTGACTACAATTCTCGTACCGTCAATCGGGAATCGATCTCGAAGCAAATTTTAAACTTACAATGATTACTGTATAACTGTACTTTAATAAAATACATAACAGGACAATGACGGACACTTTAAAGAATAGATTCTCAGTGTGACAAATCTTACAATTACTGGAAAAACCGCACTTTTTTGCTTGGTTGTAAAGTTTTACAGTTCACCCAATTTTAAGAGCAAACTTGTTTTTAAAAGTGTCATAAACCTATCGTTTTCACTTTTGAGAACAGTTCTTTTTGAGAAAAAGGGGAAATCTCTCAAATTCTCTTCCTTTTATGATGATCGATTGGGAAAAGTTTTTCCGTTATCACTGGATTTGGACAACTCAAACCAAAATTTAGGTGTTATTGCAATCTTTTCAAAGTTTTTTTTAAAATCTAAAATGAATAGAACAATATTTTTATTCAACGTTCTGTTATTTGCTGCAATGGCGGCTGAGTCATTCAAATGCTCATTTTGCTTGGTTTGTTTACTGGAAACTTTTGAGTAGAGTAACGGACTTTTAACTGGACTAAACTAAGAAGTGAGTAGTTTACTAAACATTTTTTGGTTTAAACAACAGGAGAATTTTTTGTCTTTGTATAAAACGCATTGTTATTATGACTAATTGTAAATGTAGCTTTGCTTTGATTCACAATTTTGGTTGTTCCAACTTATTAGCAAATCGAAACTGGTTCAAGAAGTCTATTAGGTAAGGTTTTCATAAAAAAAAGCTTCAAAATCAGACAATTATTGAGTTGGTGTATAAGTCATTTTGCTTCTTTTCATACTTCCATTAAACAATAACAAATTCAGCAATGGTTTGCTCTAAATAAAAAGTGTTTCTTGTTCAATTTCCATCTTTTTAAGTCAATTTTCGATTGGTTTTTCTAATGGAACAAACCGTAGTTCCATTGGTACATTTGTTGGTTTTAAACGGAAATACGAAAAGGAACTATTGAAGAACTTTTCAACAGAAGAATTTCAAAGAATTATGAAAAGAAACGAAATGACTATATCCACCTACACTACTGGGCAATGAAATATCATATTTGAAAAAAGATCACTCACTTTCGCGCGTCTGTAACTTCCTTGTCTTTACCGTATTTCTAAATATGAATATTACCATTGTGTAGCCCTTGAAAAGAGCTTTCAGAAAATATATAACACTAATAGTTTAAACTCAAAGACAACGGAGTTACAGACGCGCGCAAGTGACGATCGTTTTTCAAATATGATATTTCATTGTCCAGTACTGTATATACACCAACTCAATAATTGTCTGATTTTGAAGCTTTTTTTTTATGAAAATCTTATCTAATAGACTTCTTGAACCAGTTTCGATTTGCTAATAAGTTGGAACAACCAAAATTGTGAATCAAAGCAAAGTTACACTTACAATTAGTCATACTAACAATGCCTTTTATACAAAGACAAAAAATGTTTAGTAAACTACTCACTTCTTAGTTTAGTCCAGTTAAAAGTCCGTTACTCAAAAGTATTGTAGCCTTAAAGATCAATGACTTTTCGTTTAGGACACGGTTGGCGCAATGCGAGCCGTTTGGAGTGGACGCTATAATAAAGTGACCAACAATGAAATCACATTCTTTTTGAAAAGTCTTTGTGATCCATTCAGGGGACAAATTCCTGATCAGGTAAAAATCGCTCAATTCTTGTCTAAAAAAAACTTTCAGTCAGCTGGATGCGAGATGAAATTCTTGGGGTTGAGACCGCTTGCAGTGAATACGATTAAATGGTTGAAGATGGGAAAAACTGATACGCAAATTTGCAAACAAATGATTCGTTGTAGTTGAAGTTAGAGTCTAATTCTCAAATAATAAAGCTTTTAATAAGTTGAATGCTAAAGTTGACAATAAAAAAAGAACAGCTTCAAGATTTGACGCTTTGAAAACTCCCAAGCAAGAACAAAAGCTGAAAACTTTTGCTTTAACATTTCAAACTCATTAGTTTAGGCTTCTTTTTGTGACTTCTTTCCATTTTACAATAATTTCTCTTTTTGTTTTTAGTACAACAATTTATCTTAGATCACACCAGATCGAATTCCTTTTTTATTTTACTTTTGGAACATTCGCGATAAGCAGCTTTGTGACATAAACAATTTTCTTTCACAATTCGCAAATTTGTTTCTAATGATATCGGATAAAACTTTGAAAGTGAGTCCATTTTAAGCAGTTTCCATAATTCTTGACAACTTCTAGAAATTTGCTTTTGCTGCAGTCACTTCTTCACTAATTTTTGAGTCTTGCTTCTGCTTTTTGCTAATTATGAAATCGGTTTGTGATTGTTTTTGAGGACTGACGTCTATTTGACCAAAAGGTCTACTTGAGCATCAACTTGTGCATAACTTAAAGCTTATAAACTGGAATTTCTTATCTGAAAGTTTTCAGGAAGAGCAAACAGCAAACATGAGTGGAATCGCTTTCTTAGCAGTTATCATTTTAATGCAATTGGGTGGCTTTGCAGCTGTACATACAGAAAATATCTTTCTCATGCGAATCTATGTATATTTATGTGTAAGTGAACTATTTTAGTGTACAACACCAAGTCTCTACAACTTTTGCTAAATTTTGCTTTCAGTACGGAGCGCTTCTTTTCAACTTGGCCACGAGCGGATGGGTTTTCTTTGGATTGTTCGATTTCAAAGATGCGAACACTTTCTATAATTTTGTACGCTTTTTTTAAAAAAAACATAGACTTAACATTTCTAGACCACTGCAAAAGAGCTTGGTGCTGAGGATTTGAAAGAATGGCACTTCAAAGAAAACTGTTTATGAAACAAGTTTGATATTTTTTCTAACAATGTACCCTTTCTTTAGTGATTCTGATATTCACCTACTTAGCTCTATCTCTTGGAATTTGCATTTTAATTAGCTGTCTTTGGTCGATCAAAGCGATCAACATGTTTAGTCGGCGGCTAGTAGGAACCCGGTAAATATTACTAAAAGCTGTAAAGCATACCAACGAAAATCTGGCTCTGATCATGAGCACTGAGGTCTTGAAAGGGTTTGAGTAGGATCCAACCAGAACCTAGGGGTGTAAGTCAGGCCAGAAACCAGATCCAGGCCTGGTTTTGGTGAGCCAAGAGATTTTTGTGGGCCAGAGATTTTTTGACTTGACTCTAGGCTTGCCTGGCCTGACTCTAGGCTTGCCTGGCCTGACTCTGGGCTTGCCTGGCCTGACCTGGGCTTGCCTGGCCTGACTCTGGGCTTGCCTGGCCTGACCCTGAAAAATACTTTTGGAACAACCCTGGCTTTGAGAACGTGAGAATTTCAGAATAAAAATTTCAGTGAGAAGTAAAGCAAAGTAAGTTCTCTATCGGTAAAGGAATAACCCTGTTTAGGTAAAGATTCGTGGCTTTGCATAGCTTAGATTCCATTCCATGACTTTTAAAAGCTTTTCACTTGCAGATACACTTTCCAAGAACACTATGGTCATATCATTCCGCCACAATTCCCAATGCCACTTTCTCCGTTCGATCTTCTGACTAGGAATCTTCGCCCGCGCAACAGTAAGTCAAAACTAGACCAATGTTTTCACTGAAGTAAGCCTTTTAGGATCAGATACTAACTATACTTATCCATATCCTTCAATATCACCAAGGTACGTACCAAGAAACCAGCTTTAGTAACCAGCTTTATAAGTAATCAACCAAAAGTAGCCAGCCTTATGAACAACTTTCAGGGGTATCTCTTTTATCGATACACATCGACTCAGTCTATCTTCTCATTATCAATCTTATGGATTCAGTCAACCAAGACGCGATTCGTCTTGTTTTTTCTGATTCACAAACAGATTTGATTTCTATTTAGCTGTACATTTTGCAAATAAATTGCCATTGATCTTGCTAGCACTATGAACTTTTATTTCTGATCTTTCAGTTTTTCTTTCAAAACATTTTTGGGGAAAACGTGTTGAAAAGAAGCTTATTGCAATCATACTGCTTAAGCTGGTCCTTTTCTGTTTTCAAGATGCTTTTGAGTAACCTCTCATTCTACGTTGAAATCTGAATTACTCACCAAAAGCAAATCTCAAATTTCCTCTGGTTAAATGAAACTTTCACAACTTCAGCATATCAGCATTTGTTCCCAATTCCTTGAAGCGCTAAATCGTCTTGTTTACGAGCCGCGTAGAATCTTGATAAATTGCACATGTCAATAGGAACCAGGCAACTAATAAATTTGCAACAAAAACATTGACTCAAAGTTTCTACACAAAAAGATATGCTCGAGTTTCACAGCTGACCATCGAAATTATTTATGTGAATCGTTCCATTGGGTGCTGTTCCGCTCTTTTGCGTCTCGTTTTGCCCATTTTTCTCGAGTCGCCCCATTTGGCAGTATCCCGAATGCGAGCCGACGGGACCGAGTCCAAGATAAGCCTATAGACGATTTTTATTGGAGGTTGTGGAATACGGAATTTGTTTGCACCTTAGACCATTTTTGACTAGACTAGAAAAGGAATAAGGAAAGACATTATGGTCACCGTTGAAGTTCGATGCTCGACTCCAAGAATCGCCTCTCGGGCACCGATCCACGAGTGTTTTCCATGAAGCCGGTAGACAGGCGAGACACAGGGACCGAAGAACACCTGAAATGATTTGACTATAATTGATTCAATGTTGATCCAATGCCACTTGCTAGTACTAGTGGCGTTTGGATTTCGGATCAGTCCGTATAAAACAATTCTTCTGATTGAATTTCATCAGCTTGATGCAAATCCATTCGAAATATGTAGCCAAATCAAAGTAAAAACATCTTTGTCAAAGTTTCTTTTATAGTTAGTGAAAGGTTGCTAAAAAGCTAATCATTCAGCCGAAAGCTTTGGCTGACAAAGCTTGGAAGGCTGTCTAATATTTTTAGAGCACATTTCCTGTTATCGAATAAGTTTCTCTCTATGTGAAAAAGTATCAAATTGTATTAGCAAAAAGAATTAGACAGATTAACTCATTGCGCGCTGGATGAGACTCTAAAGTAGTTCGGGTAATCTTACCGCACTCTGTTTGGACCTCAGAATTGGCAATCACCCAGTATACATATTATAAGGATAGCACGCTATCCCTCATCCGAACCCCCTAGTGTTAGCACTATGAATTGTCCGCATTCAATCCCAGAAAAGCCTCACTTTTTTGAACAGTGTCCAGTCGGAAACTGAGCCGGAAGTTGCTCGGGCGACATCGCAATATTCCAGCCAATCCCTAAGGTAGGGAACGAAATCGACCTAAAAGCATTTCACTTTTTGAGCCGCAAATTCATTAATTCATTGCATTTCCGCTAACGATTTGTTAGTAAAAATTTCCTTGAAGAGATCACCTCAAAGTAGTGTCGATTGCTGTGTGTATAGCGTTGCCTCGCTTTCTCCTCATCTTTCGAGATACTCAATCGCATTCGGTCGACGTTCGGAAGCTGAAAAATGTTGTCGGAGGCTGAGGAAATAAGATTTATGTGGATTGAGTCTCGAAAATCGCTAAAGACGAAAGAATTGTGACAGTTATTGCGTGATAGAAGCAGAAAATGGGTAGCTTACACTAATCTCGCGAAACATTTGGGCACAGAAGAGCCGCGCTTGCATCTCGGCCACCGGGAAAAGGCCACCCCACGGCTAAATAATCATATGTATTAGATATGAAAGCATGAATGAAATTTTTTATTGAGATTGATAGTGCCTAAATGATGCGGACTTGAATGTTCGAAAATAAAGTTCTGAACCGTCGCCTGACGGACGAAGGACTCGCAGCCGAGAAAGAGAACGGAAAAGGTATCTCTAAATCCCCATCGTCCCCTTTTTACTACTCACCAAATGCCCATTATTCAATTATTATGATCATAATCAAAAAAACAGAGCTCACCATGAGCAATCCGATGAAACACAGCGTGTTTTTGTCACCTGTTTGTGGTGGAAACATATGCAAATACATTCCTGGGTGACGGTCGTTCTCTACCGGAAGTGTCTGTAAAATAGTTTCTTTGTTTCCCCCGGCAAAATTTGGAAATCCGTTTTTCGATTACTCTCTTCGCCAAAATGCCATTTAAAAAGTAATTATCCGTCCGTTTTCAATTATGTTCAAATTGTATTTGAAGCCAGTGCAGAAGACGACCTGGGAATTCGATTAATTTGCACAAAAAAAGAATGAAAGCAAAGAGGGAACTTTGGCTCGCTTTTTTTCTTTAACCGAATAACGAAAGAACTGTTTTTGTACTACAGGATAGAAGCAACTCAGTTAAACTAAAAAAACTTAATCTAGCACCGTTTGCTGTTCCATTCATATCAAGAGTTATTAGTTCGATTCATGGATTACGATGAGAAGTTCGGTTACCTCATCAACGTTTACAGCTTCAGTTCCGTCCTCGAAGACGACCGACGAGCGGGAGAACTTTTTTTGGGGGGGGGGGCGGCGCCCCGGGCCCGCAAAAAAGAGGGGGGGGGGCGCGGGGCATCACCGTCGGATGAGAACTCAACCAATGAATTTCTGATTGTCAGTAGTAGCGTACCAGGATTTGTAGTTTAAAACTCAAGTCCCCTCAAAGAATTTTTTTCAAAAAGTTGGAAAAATTTTGTTTTCGGTGCCTGGACTATGAATTCAGCATCGTTAAAAACCCTCAGATTCAGCATCGTTAAAAACCCTGTTTCCCGATAATATTTCTTTCAGAAAACTATATTTTTGCCAATTCACCTAAGCGGCCCATGCTTCGGCTTGATTCGGAACTGCTCATGACCGAAGCGCTCGTTCAGACCCTTCACGAGCATCTTGCTGAAGCGCGTCGGCGAGATGACTTTGAGCAGCACGTTGTTGGTGAATCTGAAAACGTTTGGTGTTGATCACAGCTCCTCTCATCACATTCGAAACTGAAAAGTACAAACGATCGTTGCGATCACAAATGAAACTCCATTAAGACACGTGTTAAGTGAGCGTGGAATTTCAACATGTGACGTGCCGCATCTTGTGGATTCGGCCATGGCAAGTCCAAATCTGCAGGATGGGCTGGATCTCGTATTGAAATCTCACGGTCATTGAACTGGACTTTCTTTCGTGAGGCAGACAGGTTTGATTGATGCCCTTGTGTTGTATTGGAGCAACAATTAGAACTCACGATCCGTTGGATTCGGTTTGTAGTGCCAAAGGCCACCAACTCCGTTGGATCGCTCGAAGCATGTCACATCGGCACCGTACTCTCGAGCCCATCTGAAATGCTGAGCCTTAAAAGGGTAAAAGGGCTGAGTGAGCGATGACTGCTTCCTCCTTTTTTTTCTTAGGCAAATAGGCAAAAAGATTTGGATTTTTTTGACTCTCCCCCCGGGGAAATCAACAGGTGAGATTTATAGCCTAGGGATTCATCAATTAGTTTGATAGAGTTTTGCTTTTTCCAGCTTTCTTAATCGAAGGCTTTCTCAATTCATTTAGCTTTCGAATTTTCGATTTATCGCTACGATTTTTTCCTTTATTAAGTACTAGTTATATCCCCACTAGAGACAAATTGACAAACGTTAAAAAGCAGATTTGAACCCTGAATTTGGCCTGCTCTAGAATCAGAATCCTTGAGGCTTATTATTAACCCACCTGACACACGGCAGACCTGATCCGCCGGCGCCAATCACGCAAATTCGCTTCTGCTTTGTGCCCTCCGTCCCAACAGTGTCTGGAATAAGTCTTTCGATTGTTTCCCTGAAATCAGACCCTTACTCAATGGCATTTCCGTGCAAAATCGAATCAAAGATTGAGTCTGGAATAAGTCTTTCGAATGACTTCGTGGTTCGTAGTCTTCTGCAAATTTAACTTTTAGCGAGAAGTTGCTGCAAAAAGAAAGGATAACAAATGAGTGACTTTGCCAACACAACTCTATTGTTAGGTTGATAAGAATGAAACCATCGTTTTTCTTTTTCTCGAATATCTAAAAGGATAAAAGGCATTTGGCCAAGTGTTATATATCGTTTGAAAGCTACGAACCTCAACTACAATAAAACGCAAAATAATTCACAATTGGAGATTGGAGCAACCAAATAAAACGTAGACCAAGTCTTGCAAAATTGGATATTGCCGCACAAATCGGTTTATGTAATACATGGGGTAATTCCTTTGCATATGAATTCAACTACAATGCAACTGTGGCAACGCCCACTGCACTAAAGTCAATTTACTGAAGAAAAAAAACGCAAATCCGCAAATCGAAAATTTTGTGTGATTGTGTGACTGATATGGCCTCCAATTCGTTGATTCTGTGAAGCACAAAGAAATTCTTTAGAGTCGATCCTCCTCTGCTCCATTCCTTTAAACCTCGGTGGATTTCAGCACTCTCTATCACATATTTACTCTTCCTTTGCACGTCACTCCCAAGTTTCCTTTGAATTCCTTTGCAATACTCACTCCGGGCAAATAAAGGGCAAAGCTAAGGTTTCCTTCTGGGAAATTATACACGCTTTGAAAATAGGAATTGGAATCCAGGACAGGAATTTCTAATCCAGCCAGTTGAAGATAACGTTTGCAAAGCGAAGAATTTGGCCATTATCATCAGAGGAGAAGCAATGTCAAACTTCACGATGCCCAATGGGATTTTGGTTGAGGTTTGTAGTTCTGAAACTGCAAAAATATCTGTCTGTGTCTGTGTGTGTCTGTGACAATGATTTTCTGTTTTCAGCTCTTCGATTACTTTCATCCAGAAATACTCGACACTTGTGAGATCCAATGTCAATTGAATCCGGCGTTGATGCGTCTCGAACCAAATATACCTAGAGGTTTGTGCCGAACAAAAACATAACGAGCTATCCTCATGACGATAAAGTCAGTCCCTGTAGTCAGTGATTAAGAGTGAAAATTGCTCGAAAATTTCTGGTAACTGGCCTGAACAAAGTGCTGAGTTGTCAATCTTTTAGGACTCTACTTCACTATCGTCGGAACCACCTACGAGTGCCTCTACTTTTTATGTTTGATCGCAATGTGTCAAAAGAAATTCATGAAAATCATTTGCTATCGAATACTGTAAGTTCAGCTTTATCATTTAACACTTCATTTTTCTTCAGTTTCATCATCGGCATCTTTGACATGTTGGGACTAGTGGCGAGTTCATTGCTACCAGGTAGTGAAGATAAAATTGCGATAAGAGCTCACTCTTATAGGCTATTTGTTGCTTTCGGGCCGCTCGTTTTGTCAAAGTCCAATACTGAATATGTGGATTGGATCTTGGGCATTCCGTGAGTTTAAAGAAAAACGCATTCCTCTGACTCGAATTGATCGATTCAGCGGGCTGGGCTGCCTATACGGCTTTGAGCATCTCGCTCGCCATAAATCGCATTGTCGACTCCACATGGCCGAATAAACAAGAGGTTTTTCCTCTCTTTTCTTGTGTCTCCCGTTAAACCGTCGAACAGTTCCTATCCACTGTTTTGCTTTTTACATAAGTACCTGTCATGGCGTCATCACATCGGGTCGCATCAATTGATCGGACTGATCTTGCGAGACCGATTTTCTAGTTAATACCTGTTACCCGCGTTGTTTTATTAGTCTTTATTTAGGATCGTGTCATTGGATGGGTTTCAGTCAAGTATTTAATATTTATACCGTAAATACTGCAATAGTACCCCACCCCCATAATGACGATGCGGAGTGTTACGTAGTCTAGCTTTGGACGCGTTTTTCTCGACACTGGTTTATGCTACAATGCGCGCTTAGGTATCAAAAAATAGCCCTGAATTTCAGCTATTTTTTGATACCAAAGACGCATTTTTTTGAAAGTACAGGTGCTTTGCAAAAAATGAAATACTAAAAAACCTTTGCGAGTACGCGACTGTACGAGGGCGGTGGGGTACTATTACAGTATTTACGGTATGTATGTAGTAGTAGACACGGGAAAAGATCAGCTCGCATCGGGTCAAATCGCATCGTATTGATCGGATCTGATCTTGTACGAGACTTAGCTTTTTCTAGTTTAATAACCTAGTTACCCGCGTTGTTTTTAATTAGATCTTTATTATAAGGCATCAGTGTCAATTGGAAATGGGTTTCAGTCCGGTTCGATCAGAAACCAACCGCTCAAAATTCAATTTTGTTTGCGACGGTTTGGAGCGAAACCTTTTCTGGCTCTTTCTCAACAAATTCATTCCTGTTCGACCGAAAATCAACCAAAATAGCAAAAATGTAACGAAGAATGCTTTATCCTTAGGATATTTGTTGCTTTCAGGGCGGCCCTTTTGTCAAAGTTCTTATAACTTATACCGTAAAAAGCTTATACTGTAATTCTTCTAATACATAGAATGAGAACTTCAAAAACCTTCAAAACCCCTTCCAAAAACGAAAATCAGCGAATTCTCGAAGATGTTATCTCGAAGAGATAACCTATCGATGTGGGGTCGGAAATTGAAGCTCTTGATGCCCTCTGTCCAATAAATAAAGATCCGTAACTCTCAGAGGTCGAGGATCTAATGTTTTCTAATCTAATCAAATAAGCCCCGCTCAAGAGGTTCAAAATAATTGTGCTTTTACAACCTTGTGTGGATGCTGGCGGTCACCAGTTGGTTCTAGCGATCTAAAAATGTTCTTTGAGTGTTTTAACTCGAGGTCTATCCACGAAAACACGTTTAAAAAGTTTTTTCCTGAAATCCACCTGTCTAACTTTTTTGAAAATCGATTTTTGGGGTATCAAAAAATAGAATGACATGACTTACTAATAGAAGAATTACGGTATGTACATAGGTTCCAAATTTTAGTTTAAATAAGTCAAACAGAATCTCAATTGGCTTTTTTAAATAGTTGTAGCTAACTAAATGAACTATAAGCACAGATGTAGACACAAAACAAGTAAAACAATTTCGAAACGTTTAGAGTAAAACGAAAACTCAGTGAGAACCCTAGCACCAAAGACGCGTTTTTCCAGCAACTATTTGGCGGACTGAAGATCATTTGGTGGACGGGAATCCCGGCCAGCTACGGATTGATACTCTACTTGAAACTTTCTCCAATGCTATATCACGTTCCAACGGCTAGCTATTATTTCGGAGCCGATCCAGCCAAAGCACAGGTTTTTTATATATACGGTCTTTAGGGTTAACGAGCGCTTATTTCGATTATCCGGAGGATAATAATTTCCCCCGATTATGGAATAAGCTATTTTTGACTCTAATAGTCAACTCTAGCTAATTAAATGCAATTTCTGTCTTGCCATCTTGCTAGCATTGGGCATCGGGCGGAGACGCACCTGAACCATTCTTAAACGTTAACAATCAGTTGGATTCGGAAATACCTAAGTGACAATACCCGCTTCCGCCGAAGCCTCAGTCCAGGCTCAGCCCGCCGCCAGCGCTTAGTTATCGTGCTGATCCTAAAACCATTCCCGAAAATGTCGGCGAGCGGCCAGCTGGGTGGCTCTGCTCAACAAGATGCTCCGATAATCGCTTGTCCCCTCCGCGTTAACCGTAAACATCTGCTTTAATCTATGCCGTAGATATATTATATTTAATCCCTAATAGAATTACGGTACTTGATTTCAGCTCGAGAGGGCCAGAATTGGCCAGAACTCAAGTAAAAAAATCCAGTGCTCGTTTTGTGTGCAGGCGTTTTATCCACTATACCATCAAGTCACGTTTGTGATCCGTGAGAGGACCCTTTTGAGAAAAAAGGCATCCCATATTCGGCTCCAAATGTTCGCATTTTTAAAACCAACTTAAAACACGTATAGCTTTTTATAGAAAGCTATTTTACAAAAATGGAAAGCAGACTTGGAATCAGTGTGCAATTCTGCGTCGAATGACCTATAGCTTATCTCATTTGACCACACCCTACTGTTGCCTTTCCTTTGTAAAGAGGAAAATGTTCCTAGAAATTTTCAGGCTCCTCCCTTGTATCCGGTCAACAATATGGCGGCGGCGGTGTTGGTCCTTATGCTGAACATCTTGATGTTGAGGGCGATGTTTCGAATCAGTCACACGGCACTGACAAACACACAGCGAGTGGTGAGCAATAATAAAGCGAGAAGAGCAAAGAAATAATCATTGCAGATAATGATTCAATGCCTTGGCATCAGCACAACGGGTATGTGCGGTGGATGGCTGTACGTGGCGATGCAATGGATCGTGATGCCCCAATTTATGGTCACCGCCGCCAATTTACTTTGGCAGCTAGCGAATGGTGAGCGGAGGATCGAATGTGTAGTAATTCGATCTTAGAATAAATAAATAGTGGTTGGCCAACAACACTTTTTTCTATCCGACTTTTCGGCATTTATTTTTTAGCAGCTCCTACTAAAGTGCTCAATTGTTGAATAAACTTTTCTAAAGTGAAAGAGTTAGAAAAATGAGTTAGCGGTTGGAGGCGATATGTTGTCGGATTAGCAATTATTTCGAGTTCTCATTAGCAACAAATTCTGTCCATTTTTTAGAAGATTAACAAGAAGAACCTCTAATTGCAACAGAAATGTTTCCAGGAAGCTTGGCGATTTTCTACATTCTTGTGAACAAGTCGATGCGCGGCGAGGTCATGAAATTGTTGGGGGTCTCTTCTTGTCGAAGGCCGACCATTTACACCACAGCATCCGATCAAAAAATACCCACCCTGCAGTCGAATCCTGATATGGGTTCCGCTTAAACAAGCCTCCCAGATATTCTTTTCATTCGATCTACCTACCGTAAATACTGTAATAGTACCCCACCCCCATAATGACGGTGCGGAGTGCTGCGTAGTCTAGCTTTGAACGAGGTTTTCTCGACACTGGTTTATGCTACAATGCGCGCTTAGGTATCAAAAAATTGCTTTAATAACGTTTTGTAATTCAAATTATTGTTGCTTGGGTCAACGATTCGATTCGAGGAACATATCCGATATGTAAATACCGTAAATACTGTAATAGTACCCCACCGCCCTCGTACAGTCACGTAGTCGCAAAGGTTTTTTAGTTTTTCATTTTTTGCAAAGCACCCGTACTTTCAAAAAATGCGTCTTTGGTATCAAAAAATAGCTGAAATTCAGGGCTATTTTTTGATACCTAAGCGCGCATTGTAACATAAACCAGTGTCGAGAAAACCTCATTCAAAGCTAGACTACGCAGCACTCCGCACCGTCATTATGGGGGTGGGGTACTATTACAGTATTTACGGTATAAATATTAAATACTTGATTGTCCCGTCGAACCTTTCCAATGAAATCGAACTCTTCAAGATTGTTACTTTGCTTTTCGTTTAGGTTGTTGTTGTGTTTTTTGTTTAAGCATTTGATTTGCTACTTACTGAAATATTAACGTCAAACTTCAAATTTTAATCAATTGTCTTTTACTTCTAATAAACTCTTGAATAAATTTGTGCAACGCTCGAATCAAACTTTAACCGAATTAAATTTATTCAATGAGACAAACATTGTTCATAATGAAAATCAGGTAATGAATGAATGTGAATTCGAATTCATAATGAAATTTTTAATTTGGGTCATTTCGATCGTCAATATGACGATTTAACGGCTTTGTTCAGATTTCAGCGAACCATTTATTGACAAAGTGAAAAGTCATTAAATCAGCTCATTTGCACAGGTGCCGGATGACTTAGGGAAGAGACATCGCGATGTTTTTGCATCAAAATGTTCGTAAAAGTCTTTAGAATAAAAATTATCCCTTCGTTTTTGGTTCTAGACCCTCGTTGTCGAGTTACGAGCCCCAAACTGCAGGGTACCACAAAATTTCCCATACAAAATGACCAAAAAACCGCTAAACCTAAATTTAAAAAATTTCTGTCAGAGGGATTGGAAAAATTCCTTCAGATTCGGAATCAGCACAATTTTCCGCATCTAAAAAAGGTACTCCCAGAAAAATCCTATAGAAAACGCATTTTTGCCTTATTTCGCGCCGATGTGCATCGTGACATAATCGCCAAGAACCCCGCCCTTCTGTTTACCCGTGTGTCTGTTCTGTGTATTCACACGGGCTATCGGTTAGAGAAGATATTAATTAACGGAAATTATTGGATCATTTATTTTGTATTAGGTACGGAAAAAATTAATGTCGTATTTTTTCATTAAAGTTCAAACGTTCATAAAATTTTTATTTCAAAAGCAATTTAATCGAAGTAAAAACCAGTTGAATCTATACATGATTGCCAACGTTTGGCTAAGTTTTCAATTCCTAAAGTGTAGAAGGCGGGCTCCATTGAATCGATAAACTCCTTGATGCCATTTTCGACCTCCCCTTGAGTAGCAAACATTTCTCCGATAAGAAGCGATCGAGGAACTTGAAAAAGTGGAAATCCGTAGGCGACAAATCAAGAGAATATGGAGCATGAGGGAGGACTTCAATGTGCAGCTCGTTCAATTTATGAAGACTCTTCAGTGAACAATGCGGGCGAGCGTTGTCTTGCAATAGGATAGGACCCTTCCGATTCACTAGAGTTGGATCGATCCTTCGAATTTTTTGCATACATTTCGTTTATTTCGTGAATATACTCATCAGAATTCATCGTTTTTCCGTTTGGTAGAATTGAATAATGGATCAGACCTTTCTGCGACCACCAAACACTGAGAAGAAACTTCTTTGGGTGTAGATTGGGCTTCGGAAAGGGGTTCGATGGTTATGCTTTATCTAGCCATTCGGCTTTGCGTTTTCGGTTATCGTAGAGAACCCATTTTTCATCACAAGTTACAATTCGATCCAGAAATGGCTCCTTTTGGTTACGAAACAGCAATGAATACGGTGTGAGGTAACGGTGCAATTTTTGATATTCGTTCAACTGATGAGGCACCCAATTCTTCAACTTTTTTACTTTTCCGATTTCCTTGAGATGGTTCCCAATTGTGTGTGGAGTGACTCCAAAGTGCGTTACTAATTCTGCCTCCGCTGTTCTGGGATCCGCTTCTACCAGCTCCTTTAATTCGTCATTGTCGGGACTATCATGGCGTTTTCGCCCTTCCTTGTCATTAAGATCCTCGTCGCCTTCCCGTAATCGTTTAAACCAGCGCTGAACCGCTCGAACTTCAGCTTTGTTTTCCCCAAAAACTTGATTGATGTTTTGGGTCGCTTCTAACGCATTGTGGCCAAGCTTGAACTCATACAAAAAGAGAAGGCGAAAGTCTGGATTTTTCATCGATGTAAAACAACCTGAAAAAAACCATTAAGGAAGGTCTAAGCAAAAGTGTTAAACAGAAAAGAAAATTGAGAAAAAAATACTCAAATACATAAAAAGACCCAAGGTCAATAAGCATTTGCAGCCGCGTAGGCAACACCGGAAAGTAGGACCCACAAATACGACATTAATTTTTTCCGTACCTAATACATTAACAATTATAAACCAACTATCAAGTTCGAATCGGCCACCATTAGCATTTGGGCAGGCTCGCAGGCGTTTCGGGAAGGCGTCAACGGTAGCGACCAAATAGGCTGGATCGAGAAGATCCAAAAATTCCCACACTTTCAACTGTGATTTCTTCAAGCTTTCGATGTTTTGTGGGACTTTGAACAAGCTTTAGCTTCTAGCACCGACCACACTGGAAAATAGCTTTTCACCTGAAAATTTGTCCCCGGGGGTTTTCGGGAACGGCGGATCGATTGACATTATTTATTTTAATGGTTACCCATCGGAAACCGGGGGTTTTGCGCACATTTTCTGACAAAGCATGCACAAAGCGCAGAAATAGGTGATAGGGGAGTGGTATCCCATCAGAATAACAAGTGTTTTATAATTTCTTGCTGTGAATTGATAATTTCTGAGGCACGCAAATCATCTCTTGAACGCTTTCGAAGTTCTGGAAAAATATGAATCCATAACTTCTCGAAATCTCAACCGCATTCGATTCGGAGCAAAAAGACTTTCGACTTGACAGAACATCGGACGTACTCACTGCGTTTTTCAGACGTTTTTCAGACGTTTTTTGGATTTTTTCAATAAATCTTAATCGGAAAAATAAAATACGGTAAAATAAAAGAAAAAACAAAGGCTGACTGTATGCTTGGTGGTGCTAGCGCGATTTTCTGTGCGGAGCTTTTGTAAGTATTCTTTCTGACCACATAAAAACTCGGTGTAGTTATTTTGAGAGCGAGGTTCACTCGAACGCTAATCTGTTGTCGTTATTTTTGTTAGATTAGATTTTTCATGTAATTATCCAAAATCCCGGATAGTTCCAGTAAATCTCTGAGCCGAATATCGTGAAGTGAATTAAATGCTTCACCGGGTGTCCTCAAAGCCCTGGTTCATTTGAGTTGTTAAGTCGAATGCTATTCTGTGAAACACCCACGGTTTGTGAAGGGTAAGATTAGTTCAAAGTGAGGTCTTTGAGGTGCAATGAGGTGAAATAAGATTTTTTTTTGTGCGAAATTACCCTGTGAAAGCAGCGTCGCCCGAACAACTCTCAAATTTCCCTGAATAATCCTGTGATTTTTGGTTTCTTCTATAGTTCCTGCGGATTTTCTTCAAATTCCATCTTTACAGTAGCAAATAATAGTTGTTTTCTTTCATTTCTATAATTAAATGCAGGTTCCTCACTTTCCAACGAAATACAGGTTCCCCCTCCGTGGAAAAGGAAGGCGGGAAAAGTGAGAAAAGCGGGAAAAGCTCATCGTTTGTTTGAGATTTCTCTGATTTCTTTCTAACTTAATGAGAAATGTACCTTTTTCACAATTCTGGATTCCATTTCGAACCTCGATTTCCTTCAGTTAATTAGAAACGTTCAACAATGAGCAAAGAGATGCTCGTTTCCATAATTCTTCTTAATTTCCTTCGGTTACCGTTTAGAAACCGAAGAATTCAATCACTGCCTCAGATTCATTAAATCATTGCCTCAAATCGATGATAAACTTCATTATTCCCAATGACACTTGGGTTAAGGTTAGTAATTTGGAAATTGCAAAAAAGTGTTTAAGAAAGGAAAAACTTCCACTCCAATTCTAGAGCCACTTCTAGAGCCTCAAAAACGAGTTTTCTGCGACAGATTATATACCTAGGTAATATGTTTTCAGATCTACAATTTCCTTCATCCACAACTGCTCGAAGTCTACACAAATCAGTGTCAATCAAATCTGGCACTGATGCGACTTGAGCCGGATGTCACTAGAGGTGACTATCCAGATCACTAGACTATCCAATAATAACCAAATTCTAGGAATAACCTATGGTCTCGTCGGGATCATCTACGAATGCCTCTACTTTTTATGCATGATCGCGATGTGTCAATGGAAATTCTTGAAAATCATTTGCTATCGAATACTGTAAGTTCAAGTTTCCTTATTATTGGGTTGGTGAATTGAAAACTGCGGGACTTTGAACTAAAATTTATTCAACATAAAACCATCAATTCATTCCAAATAATTTCCATTATTATTGACGATTTCTGCCCATTTTACAGGCAATTTGCGGATTCCTCTTTCGTAGTAGGATTTTGGTTTGTGTGTGAGACAAGTGTGAGACTCAAAAAGGGAGGACTGGAGATGCCCCAGTTTGAGCATTTGAGCCTTCTTCAAACGAAACCCATTTTGGTGTCAATAGAAAAGTTGTAGAGAATCAAAAATTAGGCTTATAGCCAAATTTCCAAAAAGATACACTTAGTAGTTTTGATTAAAATGCAAGTTTTGTGAGAATTCATAAATTTGGCATCTCTTGAAAACCAGTTTTTGAATCGTTCTGAAAATTTGGATATAAGCTTAATTTTTGATTCTCTACAACTTTTTCATTGACACCAAAATGGATTTCTTTTGAAGAAAGTCCTCAAACTGTGACATATGACAATAGCCCGCAGTTTTCAATTCACCAACCCAATATTACATTTGAAAGCTTATTTTTGTTCAGCTTCGTTATCGGCATCTTTGATATGTTGGGACTGGTGGCGAGTTCGTTGCTACCAGGTAGAGAAAGCAAAGTATCCCTATCAGAGTTTTACAGGATATTTATTGATTACTGGCCGATCTTTTTGCCAAAGTCCACTACTGAATCTCTTTGTTGGATCGATGGCGTTTCGTGAGTTCGAGAGAAATTCATTTATTATAGATCAGCTGATAAACCCTGTTCTCGAAAATTTTCATTTTTCCATTAGAGGTAACAGACAGGCACACTGAAACACAAAAACAGATGCTTGACAATTATACAGTCATGGACAAAAGTCTTTTAACGTTGGTTTTTAGAAGTTTGTCCTTTGTATATCTTGGTCCAAATCCGACCAATTTGCAAACGGTTAAAAGATTTAAAGAGCTTATTATCTTTAATTTTAACATTACAAAAAGATGGATTTGACAATTTATCAGGTGCCATGAACTTTTTAATAAAACAAAAATTGAGCCAAAAAACGATGGACAAAAGTCTTTTAACATGTGAGAAAAACATTATGAAACTCAATAATTAGTAGGTCCTCCGCGAGCCGCAATTACTGCTTGAATTCTCCTTGGCATGCTGTCAACCAGATCGCGTAGAATTTGGGGTCCAATAGTTGTCCAGACTCGACGCATGACGTACCAAAGGTCCACTTTTGATCCGAATAGTTTCCCCTTCAATCTCGACTTCACAAACGCCCATAAGTTCTCGAACACATTCAAATAAGGATTATAGGGAGGAGCAGACACAAGTTGAATACGGTTTGCTTTGAACCATCCTGGCACCAGAGCCGTTCCTCCATTGGCGAGTCGAACACGGCGTCCCATCAGCAGCTGTGACTTGTGGCACGGGGCATTGTCCTGGTACAACAACCAACCTTGGCCCATATTTGCTTTGAACTTGGTCGGATTTGGATCAAAATATACAAAGAACCCACTTCTAAAAACCAACGTTAAAAGACTTTTGTCCATGACTGTATTAGGGTTGGAAAGAAAGTCCTCGGGATTTTCTTTACTTTTGGTTTATTAACTTCCTCGAACACGCAACGCAGCTGTTGATAAATGATCTTGTTTACATCAAGTCTCATTGATTGACTACACACAAACATAAATGAAATACTGCTATTTTCTTGCTTTATTTTTTATTTCTCTGGGAGCTGCTCAGAAGCTTTCCGAGGGTCATTTTGTTCTTTGTCAAGAAAAAACTTCCACTCAAAGAAGTTCTTGAGGAAATCTATCCTATTTATGGGCAAGGCTCAATAAGTTTATCGACAGTTTATAAATGGTACGATTGTTTCAAAAGAGAAGACTTTTCCATGGGAAGATGGTCCCCGCGGTCAGGTCGCCCGACTGACTTCGATGAAACAGCTCTTGCCGCTCTCTTGCAAAACGATAACAAGCTGTCTACCCGGAAATTGGGAGAGCAGCTTTCAACCTCTATAACAATTCAAACGCATCTTTACTCAATGGGATATGTCAACAAATTTGGCTCCTAGATTCCCCACACTCTGACTGACGTGTGAGATAGCAACGCCTTTCAGTCTCATCTGCCCTTCTCTCAAGATACAACCGATATTCTTTTTGCCACATGTGATGACTGGGGATGAAAGTGGGTGCTGTATGTCAACTATCGGAGACACAAGCAATGGGTAGGGCCTGGAGAAAAACCAAAACCTGAACTCAAGCCAGAATTGCACCAGAAGAAGATTTTGTTGAGTATTTGGTGGGATCTCGAGGGACCTATATGTCGTAGCCGCTAACGAAATTCAGCCGCTAACGACATCGTTAACGGCTAGCCTGACGAACATTCGTTAACGGCTGCCGCTGACGAATCATTCGTTAACGGCGCCGCGACGAATCATTCGAATCGGCTAGCCGATTACGAATGAAATTTTTGCTAGCCGTGCACGATTTGTAATCGGCTTCTGCGAACATGGCTCAATCAAATTAGTCTTTGATTTCAAACTAATGCAAAACGCAAATCAGCAAACTAATCACAACGAGTGAAATAAAATTTATAACATAACATTTATAACATTGTTGTTATGACATTGTTGTCAATATGTTCACAACACGATTTTTCGTCGTAGTATATGCGTTCGCTTTTTCAGAATTGATACGCGTTCGCAACATATTGACATATTGACCGCAACATATTGACCCAATTTCAGAAGGCTTATTGATGCGAGTCAGCGGTGTAGAAATCGAGTTAGCCCTCCTGGAATCACAGCCAGCTTCGAGTGTTGCTGAATTCAGCCTTGACATTATCGGTTATGACAGCGAGCTGAGTCCAACACGAGCACTGATTCTTCGGATTTGGCCACCGGATTTGCTCTTCGCAACCAAATTTCATCGACCACCCTTGACAAGTCCGAATTCATCCACCCTGTCGGATTAGCTTTGATGATCACACCGGGAAAAATTCCTTTAGGAAGAGTCTTGCGCTTGAAAATGGCACGGTGAATCGCCCTCCAGAACCCATGCCTTCAGATCTTCTCCACATCCGGCCATTTTGCCCTCAATCCTCGGAAAGCCGATATTTTTTGTGAAGTCATCATGCCGGCCAGCTGTTTCCAGCGGAAACACTGTTCGGCGACTTCAAATTCGATCGCAGCCGCGTTCGTTCCAAATTTCTCGCAAATTTGACCGCTTCGAGCTTCGTTTCGGCGGTGTACGACTTTCTCCTCATCGTATCTAAAATGAAAAAGTTAGTAAAAAAAAATGAAAAAAACAAAAAACAATAAAAATAAAGAAAGAAAATCCATCAGAGCCCTAAATGAAATTACAGAAATTATACTCGCGACTTTAGGGTACAAAGATTTCGTACACATCTAGTGAAAAATTTCATTCGTAATCGGCAGCCGTTAACGAATCATTCGTAACGGCTAGCCGCTAACGAACATTCGTAAACGGCTAGCGAAAAATTCATTCGTTAGCGGCTAGCCGTTAACGAATCATTCGTTAGCGGCTGAATTTCGTTAGCGGCTACGACATATATACTGGGAGTTGCTGCCTGAAAAGACAACAGTTACAGCTTTACTTTATACAAATCAACCAGACCGACTCGCCGAAGAAATCAAAAAAAACAAGACCAAAGAATGGAAAAGCCCTCCTTCAACACGATAACGCGAGACCCCACGTTGCAAATTTGACTCATAAAAAATTGAAGGAGCTAGACTGGGAAGTTCTCCCTCATCCACCGTGCAGCCCAGACTTTGCCCCTTCCGATTTTCATCTATTCCGGAAGCTGGCTTCAGAACTCGATGGAGAGCACTTTGGAGACCGAGCTGAGGTCGAAACCTGGCTACGTGACTTTTTTGACAGCCAAAGAATTTCTGGGAGAAGGGAATCCGTGCTGTACCAAATAAATGGCAAAAAGTTCTACTTAATAATGGGGAATACCTTGAATAAACTTTCTTTTCTAGTTTTTGAAAAATTACAGTACAAACTTTTCCCGAGAACTTTCTTTCCAACCTAATAATATAATGATTATAATTTTATGATTGAACTGCTTCGTTTAGCTGGTTGGGCCGTCTATAGTGGGCTGAGCATCTCACTTGCCATAAATCGTTGTGTTGACTTCATGTGGTCGAATAAACAAGAGGTTTTTGAATTCAATGGATGTCTGAAAAAGTCTTTCAAGGAGAGACGCTGAGCTCACGGTTTTATGAATAATTATGGATAATACAAAGCTCATGTTTTTAAATTTAGCTAATGAAAAGCAAGAGCCCAAATCTTAAAGAAAAAAACCATTTTTTTGTCAGAAAATATTCGGTGGAAAGATGATGATCTTGTGGACAGGAATCCCGGTCGCATACGGATTGATACTCTATTTGAAACTTTCTCCAATGCTATATCATGTTCCAACGGCTAGCTATTATTTTGGAGCCGATCCAGCCAAAGCACAGGTTCTAGTCACAGCAGACGATCATTCACGTGCTAACTAGTGACGAATGCTAACTAGTGATGAATTGCTAACTAGTCAAAGGTGTTGTTGTGGTGAAAAATTAGCCTTATGTTCATTGTCAGCACCACAAGTAGAGCTATAGCAAATTTAGGCTCCAATCATTTATCCGATCAACAATGGCGCGGTGGCGGTGCTGATCCTTCTATTGAACCTCGCGATGCTATGGGGGATGTTCAGAATGAATCATAGGACAATGACAAAAACACAGCGAGCGGTGGGTTAGGACACAAAAATCGACTGTAGGTACTATGGGACCATTTGATAAAATTATGAGGCAAAAGGTTAAGTTCCACCCATAATGGGCGGGGTTTAGGTTTTTAGCCAACAACTTTGCGTGGATATTACATTTTGAGTTAATTTTGGATATCATTCGAGGCGCAATTTTATTCTGCATCAAATGATAGTCAAAATAGTCAAGATCGAAGGGTTGATGCTGAGAAAAACACGAAAAACCTTAACTCGTGGCAAAAAAGACGACAGATGTTTTTGTTACAAGTCTAATTTGTATTTCCACTAAATCTGATTTCAGATAATGATTCAATGTCTTGGCATCAGTATGTCCGTTCTGCTCACTGGATGGTTGTACGTGGCGATGCAATTCATCACGATGCCTCTCTTCATGATCACTGTGGCCAATTTGTGCTGGCAGTTCTCAAATGGTAGGATGATCAGACAATTCCTATGCTCTTTTAGAAAATAGACAATTCAGGTACCGTAGATATCCTATTAGGCACTAATTATTAGCCCTATGTAGAGAACGCCACCCAATATTAGCTCAAATGTGTCGGGATCTTTCTTCTGTCTTTCTCTCTTCTGGTCTTTTTCTTTCTCCTTGATTCTTGTGTATTTACCATTGGGCTATACATACGTTGCAAGCAACCGTTTTGGGAAAATCGATTAAAACTTGTAAAAACTCAAAAGTAACATTTTTTTGATCAGGCGATGTTTGAATATTGACGGCCACCAGTATTTCTAGCAATCTAAAAACTTGTTTTTTTTAGTGTCTCAGCCTATCTCAAGGTCATTTATTGAGGTCTTGATCATAGAATTTTAATTATTTTCTCTACATGGCTCGAAAAAATAGAACGCCTATTAGGGTATTTACGTTAGCTGTTCTAACACATCTGAACTGCCTAACCATTCTAAAGGAAATCCAAGAAACAATCTAATATAATACTCTAATCACGTTTCCAGGTAGTTTGGGAGTTTTCTACATTCTTGTGAACAAATCTATGCGAGGTGAAGTGCTCAAATTGTTGAGGATCTCTTCTTGTCGGAACTCCTCTATCTACACCGCATCCACCGATCAAAAGATAACCACCGCTGTGACGAATACCGAAAATCGATGACGAATACCATTTTCATGCATCACCTTCACAGCGATAGCGTTCCCATCGTTCGAGAGGAAAAATTAAAGCTGCAATTATATGTATTTTCAGTTTGCCAATAGACGCCTTTTGTGTGTGATAATTTGCTGTTTGACGTTAGTGTTTCAAATGACGTTAGTGTTTCAAATGACTAGTCAATAAACAAAATGAACGTCAAATCTCGCAACTAAGCGAAGAAGAGAAACTAAAGACTGGAACTTGTCTGTCCCGTGTTTCCACACTCGGCCAATCATCAAATCAATAAATGTATAAAACAAATAAACAAAAAATACTGAATTTCTGAAATTCTGACTTAATAATGTACAATTTTCATGGCACAAAAGTCCTGGCGAACAACGTCAAATCGGGCGTCAAAGTTGACCACGCAGAGAATTCAGAGCACTAATTATTCGAGTGGTCAACTTCGACGCCCGATCTGGTGTTCTCTAGGACTTTTGTTCCTGTTTTCTTTTTATGAAATCATCATCTGCTGCCTTTGAGCCAACGATCCCTTGTCAAAAGTTTTATCAAACCCAAGTTTCAATTCGACTTTGGATTCATTAGCAAGTGACACTAGAGTGCAGTTGAGCAACAGACTGTAAAGTATGGCAGACGCTAAAGGGAAGATCACGCTTGAATCGTGGAAACGACGATAGAAATGCGGTGGTTTGATGACGGCATTATGCGTCTTTCTGAAAACTCTTATAGCAAAGTAATAGCTCAAGAACATTCAAAAACGACTTACCCATTTCTGGGAAAAGTAACCTTTGTGCCGCATCTTGCAGCGTTGACTTCAGCCCCTCTCGATAAGGTTTGTAAAGCGTTAAAACGGCGATCGTATTGGCGAAGCCGTGTTGTGAATAGAAAAGCAACAGGATCGGATTGTATCCTGTAGATTTTCCATGTAAATGGAGTTCAAATCGAAAATTTCTCTACTTGAGTAGGCGGTGGTGCCGGAGAAAACGCTCAGCACGCCAAAAAGAGTCGGCAAAGCTAAAGTGATCGCCGGGATAGCCACCTGAATAGAGAAGAAGATTCCATTGCCTTTTCTGGATAATCTCTCAAACTACCCACTTGTATCATCAGCGCTTTCACCAAACGCCGCTGGCTATTCACCAAACGCGTTTCAAGAACTTTTTCCTGTTGTCTCAGGGAGCTGATGCAACCAAAAGATAAAGCTGAACAAAGTGGAATATTCTAGGCTACCGTTGCTCAATCAACCTGATCCAAGAGCAAACATGCTGACCACAAAAGCGCTTAAATTGGCCATCAACAAGAAAACTCGACCCTCCGGCACACCATAGAAAATGTCCAATTCGATGAATTGACGAAATTCCGGGTATAGCTGAACGTAAAATTCTGTTTTGATCATCCGATGCCTGCTTTTCTTTACTTTTCTTTTTGGCATCTCATATAGATTTTGATTTCTATTCTTACGATTAGTAGAACAATTGGGAGCTCACCCTCAAATAATAGGCCTTCGTCCCAGCCACATTCTGATCACGACCAAACAAAAACATCAAATTCATGTGTAAGTACGGAAATACATTCAACGCCACATAAGAAGCGTATCGAGCCCTGAAAATAGTGGAATTTTGAAAAGATATGGACTCACCGAGTTGTCAGCTTGAAATAGTGTCCTTGCGGGAGGATGAATTGAAATCTTGCGAGAAATAAACAAACGGTGGCACCTTGGATTTGGCCCATCAAGCCACCAACATACACCTGAAAGCTGAGAGAAACTGTTGTCTATATTCTGATTTACTGACACCCTGGACTTCGCTGCGAACACCAATCAGAGAAAGCCAACCCAATGAAATCCCAGCTGTTGCTGGGAGTAACATAAAAGCCGTTGCAGCATCGGCGGCTATGTGGTCACCGAGGATCGCAATCACCTGTAAAGTTGAAAGGATTCTATTAACGCGAATTTCATTAATCACTGATTTCACTTTCCCAGCCTCCATCCAGCTTAGAACTTTCTTAGGAGCTCGGGATTTGGATACCTATCCGAAAAAAAACATTTTTGATTTGGAGATCGTTTTTAAAGGCATATTTTGGTGCATCAATTAGAATTGTTTGGCGAAATTTCTGATACTTGAAGATTGATGAGAACAAGCGAGTACTCGCGCATCTCTTTTGGCGAATATCGCAGCAATATGTAGAGACCGAGCAAGTTGATCGCTGAGCCCAAAACTGAAGACGGATCGTTGGATTTTAAATTTTTACGAAAGATCACGACAGTGATCTGACTCTGAACTGATCTGAAAAACTATATAAACCTCTAATTCTAATCGAGGGAGAAAACTAAGTCGAACTGTTCTTAATGTTCTTAATGCCGAACTGTTCCAGTATTTGACTGTGACTGTGACTGTATTAGTTTATTGACTGTGACAAACCGGATATAATTCGAACAGTCGCAAACCAGGTATCTCCACTGTGCACATCAAGCTCCTCGGCCATTAGAATAGAAAAAAAGTCAATGAGTAAAACGCTCTCTGAGCCATCGATCTCTTCAAGTTTCTTGGCAAGGACAGGTGATTTTTTGGCTTTCATTTTAGGCCAAAACGGTCAAAAGCAGTAATTGTTACAAATTGTATTTGGTTGTCCGGAATGAAAATACCCTCAACTTTGATGGCAATTTTTTCGGTGTAGCGAACAGCTTCGCGTCTGATTTTTGTTTTGTTTTAACTAGTGAAATAGCTGTTTGTTTAAATTGTGCAATACTTCATCAACGTTAAATTGTATATATTCAAATCATAGCACACCAACAACGACAATGGCAACAAGAAAAGAAAGAGAAAACAGAGCACAACAGGCTTCGGCTAGCTAGTTTTGAAATAAGGTATTAATCCAATAAATTTATCATCCTAGGATTCAAGTTGTACAGTTATATATCTTTTCTAATTTGATGTTTTAATAAAAATTTCGAACAAGAAATGAGCCACTCATCAGTTCGGATTCGGACGTCCGATTCCGAACCGGATGTCCAGTTCAAAATCGGACTTTTCAAAATTACCTAGTATTCCTGCAGGCTGCCGGAATCCACCCATGCAATCAATCAATCCATCCATGCAGGATATCTAGTGTTCCTGCACCAATTGAAAGTTGAAAATTGGCCTCACCGTCATCTTGGATTGAATCTTCTTTCTAAATAAAAAGAATTCCATTTAAAAACATAAATCATTGAAAACTTACATCAATTATTTCTTTCGTTCCGGCTCCTCTTCGATCCTTATTTCTTTCGCTCCGGCTGTCCCATCGATCCCCTTCTTGTTCCTCTTTCTCCTCTTCGTGAAAGTCCGCGCAAGGCAAATAAGTCTTATGTGTAAAGAAAACCGCATCCGGCATCCCCGGCGTATATCTATCTACATTTAAGTCTAAACAATTGAGTTAGCGAATATTTCGAGTTCTAGAGCAGTTTCATCATATCCAACAAAAGACGCATCATCCTAAAACACAAAATTTAATACAATCAGAATTTCTATCATCTCCTCGTATTGAGGTTTTACGCGGGAAGCAGAGGCTTCGGTGACCTTGTAGATACTCGTCGAGGTCATCAACGAGCGTCTCTTCCATCTTACAAAATATGAAATTTTAACGGCAAAGCGAAAGATAATGTATGCGTCGTTAAATAGACGATCAAAATGACCAAATTCAACATTTAATTATGAATTCGCATTCACATTCATTCATTACCCGATTTTCATTACGAACAATGTTTGTCTCATTGAATAAATTTAATTCGGTTAAAGTTTTATTCGAACGTAATGCATAGTTGCACAAATTTATTCAAGAGTTTATTAGAAGTAAAAGTCAATTGATTAAAATTTGAAGTTTGACGTTAATATTTCAGTAAGTAGCAAATCAAATGCTTAAACAAAAAACACAACAACAACCTAAACGAAAAGCAAAGGAACAATCTTGAAGAGTTTGATTTCATTGGAAAGGTTCAAAGGGACAATCAAGTATTTAATATTTATAAGTATTTAATAGTATTTAATAGTATTTAATAATCTGAGTATTTAATAACGTTTTGTAATTCAAATTATTATTGCTTGGGTCAACGATTCGAGATCAACCATTCGAGGTCAACGATACGAGGAACATATCCGATATGTAAATAGATAGATCGAATGAAAAGAATGTCTGGGAGACTTGTTTAAGCGGAACCCATATCAGGATTCGACTGCAGGGTGGGTGCTTTTTGATCGGATGATGTGGTGTAAATGGTCGGTCTTCGACAAGAAGAGACCCCCAACAATTTCATGACCTCGCCGCGCATCGACTTGTTCACAAGAATGTAGAAAATCGCCAAGCTTCCTGGAAACATTTCTGTTGCAATTAGAGGTTCTTCTTGTTAATCTTCTAAAATAATGGACAGAATTTGTTGCTAATGAGAACTTGAAATAATTGCTAATCCGACAACATATCGCCTCCAACCGCTAACTCATTTTTCTAACTCTTTCACTTTAGAAAAGTTTATTCAACAATTGAGCACTTTAGTAGGAGCTGCTAAAAAATAAATGCCGAAAAGTCGGATAGAAAAAAGTGTTGTTGGCCAACCACTATTTATTTATTCTAAGATCGAATTACTACACATTCGATCCTCCGCTCACCATTCGCTAGCTGCCAAAGTAAATTGGCGGCGGTGACATAAATTGGGGCATCACGACCCATTGCATCACCACGTACAGCCATCCAGAGAACATAGCCGTTGTGCTGATGCCAAGGCATTGAATCATTATCTCGATGATTATTTCTTTGCTCTTCTCTCTTATTATTGCTCACCACTCGCTGTGTGTTTGTGAGTGTCGTATGACTGATTCGAAACATCGCTCTCAACATCAACATGTTCAGCATAAGGACCAACACCACCGCCGCGATATTGTTGACCGGATACATGAGAGGAGCCTGAAAATTTCTAGGAACATTTTCCTCTTTACAAAGGAAAGGCAACAGTAGGATGTGGTCAAATGAGATAAGCTATGGACCATTCGACGCAGAATTTCACACTGATTCCAAGTCTGCTTTCCATTTTTGTAAAATAGCTTTCTATGAAAAGTTATACGTGTTTTAAGTTTGCTTAAAAATGCGAAAATTTGGAGCCGTATTTGGAGCCTTTATAAGATTTATAAGGGTTCTCTCACGGATCACAAGCGTGACTTAATGGTATAGTGGATAAAACGCCTGCACACAAAACGAGCGCTGGATTTTTTTGCTTGAGTTCTGGCCAATTCTGGCCCTCTCGAGCTGAAAGCAGGCTGAAATCAAGTACCGTAATTCTATTAGGGTATCTATGGCATAGATTAAAGCAGATCTTTACGGTTAATCTTTACGCTCACGTGGGGGGGACAAGCATGTTATTGAGTAGTTGAGTAGTGGCCTAGCTGGCCGCTCGCCGACATTTTCGGGAATGGTTCTAGGATCAGCACGCTAGCTAAGCGCCGGCGGCGGGCTGAGCCTGGACTGAGGTTTCGGCGGAAGCGGGTATTGTCACTTAGGTATTTCCGAATCCAACTGATTGTTAACGTTTAAGAACGGCTCAGGCGCGGCTCCGCCCGATGCCCAATGCTAGCAAGATGGCAAGACAGAAATTGCATTTAATTAGCTAGAGTTGGCTATTAGAGTCAAAAATAGCTTATTCCATAATCGGGGGAAATTATTATCCTCCGGATAATCGAAATATGCGCTCGTTAACCGTAAAGACCGTATATATAAGAAACCTGTGCTTTGGCTGGATCGGCTCCGAAATAATAGCTAGCCGTTGGAACGTGATATAGCATTGGAGAAAGTTTCAAGTAGAGTATCAATCCGTAGCTGGCCGGGATTCCCGTCCACCAAATGATCTTCAGTCCGCCAAAGAGTTGCTGGAAAAAACGCGTCTTTGGTGCTATGGTTCTCGCTGAGTTTTCGTTTGATTCTAAACGTTGTTTTGCTTGCTGTGCTTGCTGTTGTTGCTTCAAATTGCTTCAATTGTTTTGTGTCTACATCTATGCTTATAGTTCATTTAGTTTAAACAGTTTAAAAAAGCAAAATGAGATTCTGTTTGACTTATTTAAACTAAAATTTGGAACCTATGTACATACCGTAATTCTTCTACAGTGCGTTTCAAATTCTTAAACGCACCCTCTAAAATAGCGAATTTTGCATTTTAACCACCTCTACAACTATTAATCTTTTTCTATTAGAAAGAGCATGTCTTAAAACCTAAATAACACGAAAAATAAGCCTACTGTAAAAAATAAAAATTTTCAAAATAGAAACTTTTTGCTAAATCAACCGTTTCAAATTCTTAAACGCACCCGCCTTTGCTTTTGTTATTTGAAATTTTTCGTTTTGTTGTGCATATTTTTTTATTAAATTTATAATTTTTGTTAATTTTCAGGTAAATGGCACACGGAAAGCTGCTCACGGATTATGATAAAGGCCAGATTGATGCCCGTTTGAGGATTGGCGACTCACTAAGGAAAATCGCAAAAAATTTGGGCCGATCCGACTCTGCCGTGCGAAATTATATAAAGTTCGAGTTCGTTTCTGCACCAAAGAAGAAGCCAGGACCAAGACCAAAGCTTACACCGCGTGCTAGACGTCATATTGTGAACAACATCCACGGAAAAACGATCAATGAAGTGAAAACGGAACTGAAAATCGACGCTTCGAAGTCGACAATTTGGCGAGCCGTCACGGAAAATCCACATATCGATCGACACTTGTTGAACAAGCAACCGGCTGTGACGCTTTTGCACAAGAAAGCCCGATTGGCGTTCGCCAAGGCTCATATGGATCAGGATTGGTCTATGGTTAGAAAGCCGCTTATGTTTTACTATTTTTTTGCGTTTAGGTGATCTTTTCCGATGAGAAGAAATGGAATTTGGATGGCCCCGATGGCGTTGGCTACTATTGGAGGGACCTTCGACGTGATTCGATGGTGTTTGGGACTCGAAACTTTGGCGGTGGTTCTGTGATGGTTTCGGCCGCCTTTTGTGCTGATGGAACGGTCGCTCTGAAGATGATTTCGAATCGGATGACTAGATAGATATCTTGAACAATTGCTTGTTGCCGTTTTTGCTCCTAAATCCAACCGTTCCTCATGTGTTTCAACACGACAACGCGCCAATTCATCGAGCCGGAGACACCCGAGACTGGCTGAACAGCAACAACATTGCAACTTTGGACTGGCCCGCTCAGTCTCCTGACCTCAATCCGATAGAAAATTTATGGGGAATACTTGTCCGAGCTGTCTACAAGAATCATCGTCAGTTTCAAGATGTTTCTACACTTAAAGCAGCAATTTTTTCGGCCTGGAGCGATCTCGACGTCTCTGCTCTTCAAAACCTCATCAATTCAATGCCAGACCGCATTTTTCAAGTAATTAATCGTTCTGGTGCCTGTACAGATTATTAGTTTTGATTTTTTACCTTTGTTTTTTAATTTGTGTCAATAAATAAACATATTTTCATAGTGTGTTTAAGAATTTGAAACGGTTGATTTAGCAAAAAGTTTCTATTTTGAAAATTTTTATTTTTTACAGTAGGCTTATTTTTCGTGTTATTTAGGTTTTAAGACATGCTCTTTCTCATAGAAAAAGATTAATAGTTGTAGCGGTGGTCAAAATGCAAAATCCGCTATTTTAGAGGGTGCGTTTAAGAATTTGAAACGCACTGTATTAGTATGTCATGTCATTCTATTTTTTGATACCCCAAAAATCGATTTTCAAAAAAGTTAGACAGGTGGATTTCAGGAAAAAAACTTTTTAAACGTGTATTCGTGGATAGACCTCGAGTTAAAACACTCAAAGAACATTTTTAGATCGCTAGAACCAACTGGTGACTGCCAGCATCCACACAAGATTGTAAAACCACAATTATTTTGAACCTCCTGAGCGGGGCTTATTTGATTAGATTAGAAAACATTAGATCCTCGACCTCTGAGAGTTATGGGTCTTTATTTATTGGACAGAGCTTCATCAAGAGCTTTAATTTCCGACCCCACATCGATAGGTTAGCTCTTCGAGATAACATCTTCGAGAATTCGCCGATTTTCGTTTTTTGGAAGAGGTTTTGAAGGTTTTTGAAGTTTTCATTCTATGTATTAGAAGAATTACGGCATCAGCTTTTTGAGGTATAAGTTATAAGAAGTCTGACAAAAGGACCACCCCGAAAGCAACAAATATCCTAAGGATAAAGCATTCATCGTTACATTTTTGCTATTTTGGTTGATTTTCGGTTGAACAGAAACGAATTTGTTGAGAAAGAGCCGGAAAAGATTTCGCTCCAAACCGTGGCAAACAAAATTGAATTCTGGGCGGTTGGTTTCTGATCGAACCGGACTGAAACCCATTTCCAATTAACACTGATGCCTTATAATAAAGATCTAATCAAAAACAACGCGGGTAACTAGGTTATTAAACTAGAAAAAGATCAGTCTCGTACAAGATCAGATCCGATCAATCCGATGCGATTTGGCCCGATGTGATCTGATCTTTTTGCCATGTCTACTACTACATACATACCGTAAATACTGTAATAGTACCCCACCGCCCTCGTACAGTCGTGTACTCGCAAAAGTTTTTTAGTATTTCATTTTTTGCAAAGCACCTGTACTTTCACAAAAATGCGTCTTTGGTATCAAAAAACAACCCTGAATTTCAACTATTTTTTGATACCTAAGCGCGCATTGTAGCTTAAACCAGTGTGGAGAAAAACTCGTTCAAAGCTAGACTACGCAACACTCCGCATCGTCATTATGGGGGTGGGGTACTATTACAGTATTTACGGTAGGTACTTATGTAAAAAGCAACCCAGTGGATAGGAACTGTTCGATGGTTTAACGGTAAACACAAGAAAACAGAGGAAAAACCTCTTGTTTATTCGGCCATGTGGAGTCAACAATGCGATTTATGGCGAGCGAGATGCTCAAAGCCGTGTAGGCAGCCCAGTAGAGTCCTAAAAGATTGACTTTGTTCAGCACTTTGTTCAGGCCAGTTACCAGTTACCAATTTTCGATTTGCGGATTTGCGTTTTTTTTCTTCAGTAAATTGACTTTAGTGCAGTGGGCGTTGCCACATTTGCATTGTAATCAAATTCATATGCAAAGGAATTACCCTATGTATTACATAAACCAATTTATGCGGCAAAATCCAATTTTGAGAATAACTGTCGCTTTTTTCAATGTTTAAGTCGAGTTTTTTTTGTACTTTTTGCACTTTTTTTGCTGAGAAAGTTTGAGTATTGAATTTTGCTCATTTTGATTTTGGATCTCTGATATTTCGTTCAACTGGTTCAACTGGTTCAACTGGTATCCTTGAAAATGGGAAATTTTGGCGGCTAATTCGATCATACGCATATTTGCGGCGGCAATGCATTTTTCTTTTCTTTTTTTTGTTCACTAAGGGGATCTCAGGTTCTTTTTGGCTCGATTGATAGGATGAGTGAATTTTGGAGGAGGAAATGTTGGGAATTCGGTTCGGTTTGCAACCAGATCATTTTTGCGGATTTAATTCGAACCAAACTGGGCCAAATGACCGTTTTCCCTTTTGACCCAAGCTCTGACTAGTAGCAGAACTTTACTTTACCAACTTTACAAGACTCTGGACTCTTGCACTCTTAAATTAGTCAATCAAATTCTATTAGGGTAGTAGGAATAAAGCCTGTGCTGTTTTGCAAATATTTCAACAGATGAAAGACATTTGAACAAGCGTTATAGATCGTCGGAAAGCTACGAATCTTCTCTACAATAGATTGCAAACAGATTCTTGATTGGAGCAATAGGCAAAGATTGGCATTGAGGCAAAGATTGACCTCTTCTAAGCCATATCAATTTCAATTTTCGAACAAAATTAGAGATCTATAAAAACAACCAGTTTTCAAGACTTGGTCTACGTTTTATTTGGTTGCTCCAATCTCCAATCGTGAATTATTTTGCGTTTTATTGTAGTTGAGGTTCGTAGCTTTCAAACGATATATAACACTTGGCCAAATGCCTTTTATCCTTTTAGATATTCGAGAAAAAGAAAAACGATGGTTTTGATTCTTCTCAACCTAATAATAGAGCTGTGTTGCCATTTGCTATCCTTTCTTTTTGCAGCAACTTCCCGCTAAAAGTTAAATTTGCAGAAGACTACGAACCACGAAGTCAATCGAAAGACTTATTCCAGACTCAATCTTTGATTCGATTTTAAACGGAAATGCCAATGAGTAAGTGTCTGATTGCAGAAAAACAATCGAAAGACTTATTCCAGACTCTGTTGGAACGGAGGGCACAAAGCAGAAGCGAATTTGCGTGATTGGCGCCGGTGGATCAGGTCTGCCGTGTGTCAGGTGGGTTAATAATAAGCCTCAAGGATTCTGATTCTACAGCAGGCCAAATTCAGGGTTCAAATCTGCTTTTTAACGTTTGTCAATTTGTCTCTAGTGTAGATATAACTAGTACGTAATAAAGGAAAAAATCTTAGCGATAAGTCGAAAATTCGAAAGCTAAATGAATTGAGAAAGTCTTCGAGTAAGAAAGCTGAAAAAGCAAAACTCTATCAAACTAATTGATGAACGCCTAGGCTATAAATCTCACCTGTTGATTTCCCCGGGAAGGAGGAAGCAGTAATCGCTCACTCAGCCCTTTTACCCTTTTAAGGCTCAGCATTTCAGATGGGCTCGAGAGTACGGTGCCGATGTGACATGCTTCGAGCGATCCAACGGAGTTGGCGGCCTTTGGCACTACAAACCGAATCCAACTGATCGTGAGTTCTAATTGTTGCTCCAATACAACACAAGGGCATCAATCAAACCTGTCTGCCTCACGAAAGAAAGTCCAGTTCAATGACCGTGAGATTTCAATACGAGATCCAACCCATCCTGCAGATTTGGACTCACCATGGCCGAATCCACAAGATGCGGCACGTCACATGTTGAAATCCCACGCTCACTGTCTTAATGGAGTTTCGTTTGTGATCGCAACGGTCGTGTGTACTTTTCAGTTTCGAATGTGATGAGAGGAACTGTGATCAACACCTCGAAAGAAATCCTGGCCTATTCTGATTTCCCTCCAGATGAGGTATCTAGGAAAAACAGAATGTGCTGAGTCTATTATGAATGCAACCAAATTAATGACAATTTTCAGAAGTATTTTCAGAATCTCCCCAATTTCATGCATCATTCGCTTTTGCATCGCTACTTGGAGGACTATTGCACGCATCACGATCTCTGGAGAAACATCAAACTTCAGCACAAAGTTTGTGCTTTTTTTGCATGTTCAAAAACTGAAAAGCCTTAAAAATTCACCGATGTGAAGGGAAAGAAAATCATTCTGGAAAAAATGATATTGAACTCTTGATTCTAGGTAACGAGCGTCGAGAGAACGGCCGACTATTCGGATACCGGCCGATGGAATGTCACATTCGTTGACTTGTAAGTCTTTTCTGCTACACACCGTCATTATTCTAATAGAAGATTTGTCCAAACTAAGACTACCAAAAAGAAGTACACAATAACTTGATTACAAACTCCAAAACTTGTTTTTCTTAACGTGCTAAGGCTAAGCTGGACGTAAAATAGGTTGATTTAGCTACTTTTGAATAAATTCAAGCGAACAATCCACGTTTTATTCTTGTACAATGTTAGCTTTCTATGTTAGGACGACGGGAAAAGAAGGAAAGCAAATATTCGATGGAGTAATGGTTGCCTCGGGACATCAGGACACTCCCTATTACCCGCCGCCTTTTCCCGGACAAGAGACTTTCACCGGCCGAATCTCTCATTCGCATGATTATCGGAGCACAGCAGGTTGCAAATATGTACCCTGACAACAACTCTTGAAAAAAACTCCTATCTATTAGGTGGTCTCATAAAGCCCGCACATTTTCAAGGCCCTCGAGTAGTGATGATAATGCAACTTAAGTTGATCTTCATCACAATTTTGTGGAGGCGATTCTCAACTACAAGAATCCTTTTCAGTCATTTCGTTTAGTGGTTGGAATCAAAAGCTCAAAGTTTCCGTGAATTTTAAATCACATTTGACCATCAGGTTTCGGTTATTTTGACAAACCCAATATTGAAGTAAATCTCTTGGTCAGTAATTTTGTGGAGGCGATTCTTAACTACAAGAATCCTTTTCAGTCATTTCTCTCGGTTCCACAAAATTGCGATTAAAATATGAACAGGTTCGACGACTACAACCCCCATTTCTTTGCAGGATACGAAGAAAAAACGGTGATCGTGGTTGGGATCGGAAATTCGGGAGCCGACGTCGCCAGCGAATTGGCCAGAGTCACCAAGAAGGTTGGGTGGTCAGGTCGCCAATTTTATAGAAATTGTGTCTCTTTTGAGAAATATATGTCACCAGCTGAAAAAAGCTTAGAGTAGTCGAAGCTTAAAAGCTTATGACTATTCCTTCTCCAGCCGGAGAATTAGCATACACAAAAATTAGCATACAAAATTTTCTCTCCCCTCCTTTCATTTTCTCTGGTCAGGTCCATCAAAGCATCTGGTCAGGTCGCCAATCTTATAGAAATTGTATTTCACCCCGATAACGATCTCAAAATGCAAATCTGATGATTTTCCCGCGATCCTCGGTCCCGATTACCCTACTTGCACCCTTTCCTCTCCACTAATGCCAAAGCTAAGGGAAAAACCTGGTAAGAGACGACACGTTTTCAAAATTATAATATAGTAAAAGCTGAAACCAGCTGAAAACCCCCCTTTGCAGTGTTTTTCAACTGCTGCAACTTCACCAAACATTTGCTGGCAAACCCGCCGCCTTTTCCCGGACAAGAGCCTTTCACCGGCTGAATCTCTCATTTGCATGATTATCGGAGCACAACAGGTTGCAAATATGTAAACAACAACTCTTCTTTTCCTGGCAACTTTTGCTAATTCTCAACTTCCACTGCTCCCCTTCCCCTCCCTTTGAAACCACTAAAAACAATAGAAATATTCAGTTAGTATCCCTCAAACAATCAGCATATGAAATCAGCATATCAGCCCTTCTCAAAACTTTCTTCCCAAAAATGTATATACAAAATTCTCCTTCTACAAAATTCGCAGAATCATTCTGCACAATTTCAACAAAATCATGTCGGTCAGTTCGTCGGTCGGCTCATCAATTTCAACAAAATCGCGTTTTTCACCCTGATAACGTCGTGAAATTGCAAATCTGATAATTTCCTCGTGATTCCCGGCCCTGATTATCCCCACTTACACCCTTTCCTCACCGCTAAAGCTAAAAACCGAGGCAAAATCGCGGTAACAGACGCACAGACACAAAAGACTCGCTTTCAAAATTATAATATAGTAGATTATCATCATTACACTACATAGGTCTACTTGGTCTGCCGACGCGGCGGTGCCTGGATATTCAATCGAATGGTGGAACGTGGCGTTCCCTATGACTATGTTTTGGCAAACAGGTAACGAGGATCAGAGGCGTCAGAAATGTCAGAGGCGTCAGAAACGTTAGAGACGTCAGAAACGCCACTTCGTCGCACGAGAGTGCATTTTTAAAGTGGTGCTTCTGATTCGGCGATCAGATTTTGAAAAAATCACCAAGCGGAAGTCTGATGCAAAATAAGCAACGATCGCAAATTGGCAGCGAATGTCCGATGCAAACGTTTTCAGATTCACCAACAACGTGCTGCTCAAAGTCATCTCGCCGACGCGCTTCAGCAAGATGCTCGTGAAGGATCTGAACAAGCGTTTCGATCATGAGCAGTTCCGAATCAAGCCGAAGAATGGGCCGCTTAGGTGAATTGGCAAAAATATAGTTTTCTGAAAGAAATATCATCGGGAAACATTTTTCTGACGGTTTTTAACGATGCTGAATTCATAGTCCAGGCACCGAAAACAAAATTTTTCCAACTTTTTGAAAAAAATTATTTGAGGGGACTTGAGTTTTAAACTACAAATCCTGGTACGCTACTACTGACAATCAGAAATTCATTGGTTGAGTTCTCATCCGACGGTGTGCGACGAGCTGCCGCTTCGATTGATGGCTGGCACGGTGATTGTGCGACCACAGATCAAGAAGTTCTCGCTCTCGTCGGTCGTCTTCGAGGACGGAACTGAAGCTGTAAACGTTGATGAGGTAACCGAACTTCTCATCGTAATCCATGAATCGAACTAATAAATCTTGATTGGAACAGCAAACTGTGCTAGATTAAGTTTTTAGAGTTTAATTGAGTTGCTTCCACCCTTCTATCCTTCTAAAAAACTGTTATTCGGTTAAAGAAAAAAGCGAGCCAAAGTTCCCCTGTTTGCTTTCATTCTTTTTTTGTGCAAATTAAACGAATTTCCAGGTCGTCTTCTGCACTGGCTTCAAATACAATTTGAACATAATTGAAAACGGACGGGTATTTTTTTAAATAGCATTTTTTAAATAGCATTTTGGCGAAGAAAGTAATCGAAAAACAGCAAGTGCAAAGGGTTCAAGTTTAAAGTTTAAAGGGATCAAAGACTGTAGCGAAAGCTAATGTTTTAAAAATCAAGTACAAAAGAATAGAATACAGTTCAACTTCAAGGAAATACCCGCGACGTCCAGATGTAGGAAAAATGACGAGAAGAATTTGAGTAATTGAGACATTGGAAATAGAAGCAGCATTTGAAAAGTTAAATGAAATCATTGATTTGACAAAAGATATCTTTCAAAAAGAAATCCTTTGAACTTTGCTTAAAGCTGAATGCTTAAAGCTGAACGCTTAAAGCTGAACGCTTAAAGCCTTTGAGTGCTTCGAGCTTTGCAGATTGCCGGGGGAAACAAAGTAACTATTTTGCAGACACTTCCGGTAGAGAACAACCGTCACCCAGGCATGTATTTGCATATGTTTCCACCACAAACAGGCGACAAAAACACGCTGTGTTTCATCGGATTGCTCATGGTGAGCTCTGTTTTTTGATTACGATCATAATAATTGAATAATGGGCATTTGGTGAATAGTAAAAAGGGGAAGATGAGGATTTAGAGAAACCTTTTCCATTCTCTTTCTCGGCTGCGAGTCCTTCGTCCTTCAGGCGACGGTTCAGAACTTTTCGTTTATTTTCGAACATTCAAGTCCGCATCATTTAGGCAGTATCAATCTCAATAAAAAATTAGATTCATGCTTTCATATCTAATACATCTGATTATTTAGCCGTGGGGTGGCCTTTTCCCGGTGGCCGAGATGCAAGCGCGGCTCTTCTGTGCCCAAATGTTTCGCGAGATTAGTGTAAGCTACCCATTTTCTGCTTCTATCACGCAATAACTGTCACAATTCTTTCGTCTTTAGCGATTTTCGAGACTCAATCCACATAAATCTTATTTCCTCAGCCTCCGACAACATTTTTCAGCTTCCGAACGTCGACCAAATGCGATTGAGTATCTCGAAAGATGAGGAGAAAGCGAGGCAACGCTATACACACAGCAATCGACACTACTTTGAGGTGATCTCTTCACGGAAATTTTTACTAACAAATCGTTAGCGGAAATGCAATGAATTAATGAATTTGCGGCTCATGCTTTTGGTGAAATGCTTTTAGGTCGATTTCGTTCCCTACCTTGAGAGATTGGCTGGAATATTGCGATGTCGCCCGAGCAACTTCCGGCTCATGTTTACCGACTGGACACTGTTCAAAAAAGTGAGGCTTTTCTGGGATTGAATGCGGACAATTCATAGTGCTAATCACTAAGGGTGTTCGGATGAGGGATAGCGTGCTATCCTTATAATATGTATACTGGGTGATTGCCAATTCTGAGGTCCAGACAGGGTTCTGAGGTCCATACAATCTATAAGATTACCCGAACTACTTTAGAGTCTCATCCAGCGCGCAATGAGTTAATCTGTCTAATTCTTTTTGCTAATACAATTTGATACTTTTTCACATAGAGAGAAACTTATTCGAGAACAGGAAATGTGCTCTAAAAATATTAGACAGCCTTCCAAGCTTTGTCAGCCAAAGCTTCCGGCCGAATGATTAGCTTTTTAGCAACCTTTCACTAATTATCAAAGAAACTTTGACAAAGATGTTTTTACTTTGATTTGGCTACCTATTTCGAATGGATTTGCATCAAGCTGATGAAATTCAATCAGAAGAATTGTTCAGATCGGATGCTTTTTTATACGGACTGATCCGAAATCCAAACGCCACTAGTACTAGCAAGTGGCATTGGATCAACATTGAATCAATTATAGTCAAATCATTTCAGGTGTTCTTCGGTCCCTGTGTCTCGCCTGTCTACCGGCTTCACGGAAAACACTCGTGGATCGGTGCCCGAGAGGCGATTCTTGGAGTCGAGCACCGAACTTCAACGGTGACCATAATGTCTTTCCTTATATCTGTTTTAGCTAGTCAAAAATGGTCTAAGGTGCAAACAAATTCCGTATTCCACAACCTCCAATAAAAATCGTCTATAGGCTTATCTTGGACTCGGTCCCGTCGGCTCGCATTCGGGATACTGCCAAATGGGGCGACTCGAGAAAAATGGGCAAAACGAGACGCAAAGGAGCGGAACAGCACCCAATGGAACGATTCACATAAATAATTTCGATGGTCAGCTGTAAAACTCGAGCATATCTTTTTGTGTAGAAACTTTGAGTCAATGTTTTTGTTGCAAATTTATTAGTTGTCTGGTTGCTATTAATTGCTAAATATAATTATTCACACAAAAAACTTTTTCAGTTTGGCCTAAAGTTCAAAATGAACTCAGAGAGAAAGGATGATCTGATCTCAACAAGAACAATACTTACTAGTGCACTTACTAGTGCAAATTGATGAGTGAATGAAAGAAAAGATGTGAAGATAGAGAAAAAAAAGTGTAATCGAGCCGTCTAACTGCTCACTTCAAGAGTTTTGAAAATTTGGGATTCGGGATAAACGAAAAAAGTTGTATTTCGTGCAATTCAAAGCTAATGATTGTTGTTTCTATGACTGCGCTGTGATCCCTTTTCATTTACGCATTCTTGCCACATCTACATGGTCCAAAAGAAGAGAATTATCCTTTGGATTTCTCTTCTTTGGAATCAATCCCAGAACCCGCTGTTCTTTACTTTCGAAGAAGTATTCCAGCCAACAACACCCTGGTTGCATCACTCAACGGATGTGGAATCCATTTTCCGGCGTGGATTGCCTTTCCAAATCGAAATGGTTGTCTGATCAACAACAAACATATCGGCAAGCTGACGAGTGGAGACGCATGAGTTTCCATCAACGATTTTGCGCAACTCCAAGCCATCGATTACTGGTGGTGGATGGCCTCGATCCTGGTCTTCAAGATCCTCATTCCTTTCGTGAAATCGTTGGAATCAAGCTCGACATTGTCTTTCGGAGATTGTTGATCGGCCAAATACAATTACAATGACTCTATGGCAATTCACTGCCGTTTTTCCTTGCTTGAAGCCATAAAGCATACAAACTCGAATTCGATACTTCAAATCGTTCATCCTGAAAATTAGCAAGGTAGGAAGATAAATGGAGGAACCAAGAAAACAGGTTTTAAGTAACATAAAATATATTGATTAGATAGCCAGCAATCAACATTTAACGACAAAAGATTTTATACAAAAGATTTTGGCGGTTTCATTCGGTTCAACCTAATAGTAGTCGATTCTCAGAACCAGATATGATCTGTCTAACTTTTTTCTAAATCCTCTCAGCGGGCTCAGAAAAAAAATTCGACCGGCTCTTCTACATATTGGGTTGATGAATTTTTGTGTAAGTACGGAAATACATTCAACGCCACATAAGAAGCGTATCGAGCCCTGAAAATAGTGAAATTTTGAAAAGATATGGACTCACCGAGTTGTCAGCTTGAAATAGTGTCCTTGCGGGAGGATGAATTGAAATCTTGCGAGAAATAAACAAACGGTGGCACCTTGGATTTGGCCCATCAAGCCACCAACATACACCTGAAAGCTGAGAGCAACTGTTGTCTATATTCTGATTTACTGACGCCCTGGACTTACTGACGGTGCATGTCCCGCTGGTCAAACATGCTATGCTCTCAACAACATGGATCGGTGTTACTTCAATTGAGCGATACTCCTATTTCATGTCTATTATCGAGGGAATTGAATCGAATCGAACCCGGTATTGATCATTCTTTAGTTACACCATTATTTAGTCAATTAACCCCAAATTTCTTTGCGATTCCTTTCAAAATCCCAAATTTGTGATAAAATATAATTGGATAAAGCCTCAGTAAAATCCACATAATATAAATTCCAAGAACTACCCTTCGAAAGAGATGGCGATAAATCAATCAAAACTTTTACTAAGAGCACTTCAGCTTCTGGAATGAAAAAAGTGAAAAACACAGAAACCAGAAACTGAAATATGACGGTTTTTTTGATGGCGATCTCCTTTTTACTTTTAGAAAATCCATATGACTTGAATAAGAATCTAAAGTCTAGAATTATTAGGTTGTTCAGATATAAACGAGCCTTTGCACTGCTTAACTCACGAGGAAGCCATTTCCCGCATCAGATCGTCTTTCCAATGGCGTAGAGATGGAGTAGAATTTGAACATAGAAACTGTTGAGCAAGTTCACGCGTCGTTTGACATGGATCTGCAGCCCTCAAAGTATCGTTGTCTACCGTTTGAGGTCGACGAGAGTGTTAATCATCCTCGAGACTTTCATCACCATTCCGAAGGCGTTGGAACCAGGCTCGGCATCGGCTTTCGGACAATACATCATTCCCAAATGGTTTGACCAAATCTCAATGGGACTCCGCGACTGTTTTGCCCAGTTTGAAGTCGGAAAGTAGACGCGAACTTGACGCGTAAAGCAGACGCTGAAGCCGGTCATCTACAGCAAGAAAAAAGATCTTAAAAATAAGAAATTATCCGTTTAAAAAGATTCCAAATATGCACAAGATAACGTACTTTTAAATACAGAAAGACATGTTTTAAAAGCTTCTCTCACAACAATAAGTTTAGCAACGCTTGTTTATATCCGAACAAACTAATAGAATGGAAATGAGTAGAAAAGTAAAAACAACGCTTGTTTATATCCGAACAACCTAATAAAAAGCTGAAATCTATAATCTGAATAAGAATCTAAAATCTAGAATTAAAAAGCCAAAGACGGCAAAAAAAATAGCTAAAAATAGCTAAATTTTAATTTATTGACAGTTTAAGTCCCATTTTTTAAGATTTTTTTTTCTCAAATCGTTGTTTACGGAATTTGGCACTACTGAAATTTTTACTTTACGAAAAACGAGCCACGGAAAGCCTCCCATCATGTCGAAAGCTTCAATGAATGAATGGCTAAAAGAGTGTGCAAATATCCCAGAGTCTTCTAGAAGCAAGTTGCTCCTTTTGGATCGTTGGATTTCATTCAAAGATCACCAAGCAATATATTCTACGAATTTTCATTAGAAGTTCTAAATATACCTGCTGGAGTTACGGGTGAAATTCAACCATTGGATTTGTACTTTTTGTTTGTACCATTCAAAGGCATGGTTAGAAGTTTCCTGGATAACGGCTAAGGGTCTAAAACCTGTGCTCCTCCCTAAATTTCCTCACATAAAGGCAAACTTTTGCAAATGAATCTCATTGTAGCCACGATGTAGCCTGAGGATTTTGCTAAATTTTTGATGTAAATTGATTGGGGGCTTCTGAACGAAGCTCTAGTCATTCTCCAAACGAACGAAGCTCCAAAAAACACCGAAATTCTGGCTGAGGACCTGAAGCCGATTATCCCAATTTAGCACTTTTGTCTGAGTTGTTCATGAGAACCTCTACAATTTCTACTCTACAATGTAGAGAACCTCTACAATTTCTACTCTACAATGTAGAGAACCTCTACAATTTCGCTGCTGAGCAAGTCAGAGGAGAATTTGATCAGGTTTATTTTATCTTTGAATGATAGGATTTGAATTTAAGGATCAGCTTTAAAATTGTGGCAGGAAGGAAGTTACAAAAAGAAAATTACAGAAAAACGACTTGAAAATGATCACTTCTTTGTTAAAGATTATAAAAGTTCCTTTGTTTTAATCGTGACAATGTTTCATGGCCTAATTGAAAGTGTTCCAAAACCCTGACAGTCAAATCTCTAGAGACAAAGAGCTTTTGTGTTTTGTGCATCCATTAACAGATAAATTTTTTGATTCTGCTTATTGCACCGAGTTATTTTCGATTCGGAAAATGTTCATTTTCTTGGAATCCTTTTTTGTTTTTATTTTCCTGGAATCCTTTTTTTGTTTTTTTGGGTGTTCTTGCACTCAATTACTTCTCATTTCCGAAACAAATTTCCCGATAATCAGTTTTTAATGGTAAACATCATTCCCCATATCCAACTAGAGTAGATTTTTTCGTTCATTTTGCAACTTTCTTTTTGTTTTATGAATAACTCATCTCTAAACATTGATATTCAACATTTTACGAACGTTCACTTTTACTTTACAATCTTTGCAGGTAAAAATTAGCAACATTAGCAACATTTTGGTGACATTTAGTAGCCTGATTTCCTAAGCTTTCCAGGACCCTGTGTTTTATTGAATTTCTACGGTTTACTCGTTATTTATGTAGCCACTCCACCTCAAATGGAGTCCTTTCAGCGATATATTCTCACAGTTCAAGTAAACTATGCAATTACAGAATAATCGTCGAGCTTAAACAAGTTTAGCAACAAGTTTAGTATCTTGGCATCCTCAATGATCTCATTTTATCATACGGTGTATTTGTGATTTTCTCCTTTCCTGCTTGGGGCCTTATCCCGATCGGTCTTTTTGTCGCCTTTGGTATCCCAACACAGATCGAACTGGTTTATTGACTCGAACTATTTTTTATGTGCCTCTTTTAGATAGTTTGGTTTGGTTGTGTAACAACCTTTATCGCTGCCTTACTTGTTGCTCTATTTCAACGACAACAAGCCATCACACCGGTTGATCATTGGGCAAAGCTTTCAAAAAGGTTCACAAAGACCAGGGGAATTCAAATTTCAATGAATTAGAATCTAAGAAATGAATCTAAGTTTAGAACAGTGCAAGTGATTGAGCTGGCTGTCTACTTGCATCCATTCTATTCAGTAGTTCCCATCATTTATTATCTTTTCACTCTAAATGATCTGAATGTGGCTATTCAGTACAACTATCAGGTAGGTTGAAGATTAGTTTGAGTTTGATAATATTATTTTGAGCACAATATTTATCGGTAAGCAAGCTCTTTCAGAGTTGGCCGCAACTTCAGCAATTCTATCAGTCTCCATCTTATTGGACAATGCAAGGAAATATTGCTGAAATATTTGGACATGCTATTGTAGGAAGATATGTCAATGTTATTCTTTTAGTACTGATTGGTGAGGATAAATGATTGAGTCATTGTAATCTTTGATTTAGTTCTTTACATTGTTATCTATTGGACTCTTTACAAGCTCCGACATATTTTCAGTGAACGGACGTTGATGTTACAAAAGAAATGGATTCGGAATCTCAATACTCAGGTGATTTGGTAATTCAATGGCAAGATACCGTAAAAATTCTAATACAAGGACATGCTCTAATAAGCGGACACTCTAGGGGATACTTGAAAAATAAACGGACATATCCGTGTGTTATTGGGTTGGTGAATTGAAAACTGCCGGACCTTGAACTAAAATTTATTGAACATAAAACCATGAATTCATTCCAAATAATTGTCCATTATTATTGACGACTTCTGCCCATTTTACAGGCAATTTACGAATTCCTCTTTTGTAGTAGGATTTTGGTTTGTGTGTGAGACAAGTGTGAGACTCAATGGAGGGCTCAAATGGAGGACTGGAGATGTCCCAGTTTGAGCGCTTTCTTCAAAAGAAACCCATTTTGGTGTCAATAGAAAAGTTGTAGAGAATCAAAAATTAGGCTTATAGCCAAATTTCCAAAAAGATACACTTAGTAGTTTCGCTTAAAATGCAAGTTTTGTGAAAATTCGTAAATTTGGCATTTCCTGAAAACCAGTTTTTGAGTCGTTCTGAAAACTTCGGATATAAGCTTGATTTTTGATTCTCTACAACTTTTCCATTGACACCAAAATGGGTTTCTTTTGAAGAAAGTGCTCAAACTGTGACAAATGACAATAGCCAGCAGTTTTCAATTCACCAACCCAATAGAAGTTTTACGGTAAGCTTTGTTTATTGAAGAGTTAACCCAAATCAAGGAGGAATGGTAAGAGAGTTTAGATGACTACCATATTTCTCATGTTTTTTGTCCCTTTTGCTTGGCTCGTATCGGTTTGGATTCACAAGAATTATGACTTTTGCCGTAAGATTTGTTTTGATAGCAAAATATTTGAGAATTTTGAACTATGTACAGTATTGGACAATGAAATATAAAGAAACACAGCTTTGTAAATCAAAAATTTTGAGTATCCCATCTTGTGCGCACTGGAATGCGTCAAAAATACCTTATTTCTAAATATTAATATTACCATTGTGTAGCCCTTGAAAAGAGCTTTCAGAAAATGTATAACACTAATAGTTTAAACTCAAAGACAAGGGAGTTACAGACGCGCGAAATGACGATCGTTTTTCAAATATGATATTTCATTGTCCAGTACTGTAGTTCCAAAAACTTTGAATTTGGAACTATAGACTTGAAGTGTCTTTTTAATAATACCATTTAGGATACGCCCCATTCCCCTCGATAATGATGTCATTACATTCAACCGTTTCCACAATCGTTTTGCTGTTTTCCTATGATCCGTACAGAAATTACACTCGCAACTTGCTTTGCAGTCTTTTCCGAAAAAGAATCATCCAAAACCCGACTGAAAGCGAACAAACGAATAATTGGTCAGCAACGCCAGTCAAAAATAAAATTTGTGTCCACGTAATAAATGCTTAGTCCTTGCAGTTGATGTAAGAGCTTGAACGAACATTTATCGAACGTTATGGGTTCTTTGATGGGTTAAAATATTTGCAGTCGTGATCAATGCATTCATAATGACCTTGCGATGAAACTCCACAATTGGCCACAGTATCATAAATCAGCTAGAATAAGATTTGATATTAGAATTGAAACCAAAATTTCTCATCCCTGGTTTCCTTCAATCCCAGCAAACAAAGCGAAAATCAAGATGATCAGAAAAGAGAGCTGCATTTTGAAAATGTGTAGACACCTATCCATTGTTTTAAAGTTAATCATCAAAATAATAAACCAGTTTGAATTTGGCTTTAGATTAGCATTTGAGTTATATCCTGCAATCATTCATTTCTATTGGGTTGGTGAATTGAAAACTGCGGGCTATTGTCATATGTGACAGTTTGAGCACTTTCTTCAAAAGAAACCCATTTTGGTGTCAATAGAAAAGTTGTAGAGAATCAAAAATCAAGCTTATATCCAAGTTTTCAGAACGATTCAAAAACTGGTTTTCAAGAAATGCCAAATTTACGAATTTTCACAAAACTTGCATTTAAGCGAAACTACTAAGTGTATCTTTTTGGAAATTTGGCTATAAGCCTAATTTTTGATTCTCTACAACATCTCCATTGACACCAAAATGGGTTTCTTTTGAAGAAAGTGCTCAAATGCTCAAACTGGGACATCTCCAGTCCTCCATTTTTGAGTCTCACACTTGTCTCACACACAAACCAAAATCCTACTACGAAAGAGGAATCCGCAAATTGCCTGTAAAATGGGCAGAAGTCGTCAATAATAATGGAAATTATTTGGAATGAATTGATGGTTTTATGTTGAATAAATTTTAGTTCAAAGTCCTGCAGTTTTCACCAACCCAATAGATCTCAATAGATTTCAATTCACCAACCCAATAAATCTGTTTATGTGATCTGTCAAAGGAAACGATATCGAAAGAATGCGATTGTCGTTGCTACTTTGTCTTAAGTAATTCCAACAAGAACAGTGATAAATAAAGAAATATAGATCTTTAAAGAACAAAGTAAAACAAAGCATTGCAAAACAAGGGAATATTACTGCCTTAAAACTGAATAGCTTTACTCTGTCGTGGTTTTTAATCTTGCAAAAGTCTTTTCGATGTGTATCGTACTGTTTTCGTAGCTTTTTTGGACATTTGATGCCCATTTGATGCCCTAATCCAATTTTTGGAAACTAATAGGAAAATATTATCCTTTTACAGACTTCTTCTCTTATCGCCCTTTTCTCTTAAAGAGAAATCATTGATTGGTGAATAGAAACAAACAAACCATTTTCTGAGATCTTTGCATGAAATTCCGTCTCTTTATTGGAGTTTTATTAGCTATTTTCCTTGCATGGGTAATTTTGAAAGCACTTTTTAAAAACAATTTTTAGACTGTAACTTATTTCTTTGGAACAGGCTTTGAACCAAATGAAATTGCGTCAAAATCAATAAAAACACCACCAAATCCTGACTTGGCTTTGAAAAAGAAAGAAAAACAGATTGAAGGTTTGATAAATCAAAATTCCAAGCTCAAATTTGTTTAGAAAAGCTTTTTGGTGTACGGGTGATTGATAAAATTTGTGACCAGGAGAAGAAATGCTTTGAGATTAAAGATGTTGGTTCGCTTGATGAACGAGGGAAGTTGGTTGAATTCTAACTTTCAAATTTCAAACCTTAAGCATTTCTAACGTTTGTAAATGCTCAATTTTCCATTTTTCAGTTTCTTTGTCGCTCGCAAAATCATCCCAACGAATCTCCAAGATACAGCCGTCACACTAGCGCAACTTCAGAAGCCAAAAGGTTTGAGTTAGACTAAGAGAGTTAGCTTAGTTAAGCTATTGAATTAGCTATTGAATTAGCTATTGAATTAGCTATTGGAATAGCTACTGAATTAGCTATTGAATTAACTATTGAATTCCTGTCATCTTTCTGCAATTTAGAACTGACATGGCAAAATTTCAACACCAAGACTTGGCCTGTTCAAAATGATCGTCTTTTTAGCGTTTACAATCAAGTGCAAGTTGGATCAATCTTGCTGGGACAGGTAAAAGTTGCAGGATTTTAAAAAAGCTTTTCAAATTTAGACTTCTACTTTACCAAACCCTGATTCACTCCGTGTACTATTGATTGGACTCGGCGGAGGAGCTGTGTTCAATTTTCTGTCAAACGTAGAAAAAGTCAAGGTTTCTTTCTCCCAAGTTCTTTGCTCGCAAGCTAAACATTCCAAAGACATTTAGATCCAAACAACAGCAATCGAAATCAACCCAACATTTGTTGAAATCTCGAAGAAGTGGTTTAATTTAGCTGAAAACGCTCAAAGCCAGATTTTGGTGGAAGATGGACTGATTTACGTGAAAAATGCTGTTGAGAAAAGTTTGCTCTTTTTGAATCTTTAATAATTACTCTAGATGCAAAATTTGATTCGATTCTTTTGGATGCATGCTATGATGATCAGAAAAGACCAATAATTTGTCCTGTTAATGGATTTTTGGCAAAGAAATCGATCGAAAATTTATATCAATTGCTGGATGAAGAGGGTGAGAAGTTCAATTTTGTACACAAAATTCATCTAATCATTCCAAATCATGGTTCCCTATCTCTTTAAATTTGGTTCCAATATGGTTCGCATACAGTTCCAATATGCTTCCAATATGGTTCCAATATGGTTCCAATATGGTTCCAATATGGTTCCAAGGTGGTTCCAATATGGTTCCAATATGATTCCAATATGGTTCCAATATGATTCCAATATGGTTCGCATACAGTTCCAATATGGTTCCAAGGTGGTTCCAATATGGTTCCAATATGATTCCAATATGGTTCGCATACAGTTCCAATATGCTTCCAATATGGTTCCAATATGGTTCCAATATGGTTCGGATACGGTTCCAATATGGTTCCAATATGGTTCCAATGTGGTTCGGATACGGTTCCAATATGGTTCCAATATGGTTCCTATCTCTCTAAATTTGGTTCCCTATCCCTTGAAATTTCAAAATTCTTTAAAGTTGTGTCTGCTTTTTCTCTTCAATATAGTTGCCTCAAGTTTACCTTGTTTACTTACTTTGATCCCTTTTTCAGGAACTCTAACTGTAAACCTTTACACTGGACAAGATCAAGCTGTTAATGAGGAAAAGGTTTTCGATGAATTTGCTGCAGTTTTTAAGTCATGCATTTTGCTCAACTATGACCCAAGAAGGGTGAGTTTTTTTGGTCAAAATTAGAATTAGAGCTTTCAACAATTTAGATGTTGATCTGTTTCAAAGATCAAAAACTTTCTCTTTCAACAGATCGACAGGAAATTCTCGATAGATTCAAAAGAGCTGATGCTGTCTTTGACTTCTCTTTACTTGAAAGATTGTCAGAGCTGAATAAATAGATTCTGGATTTGCAATGATTGAACTCATAAACTGATAACAACATGATACACTTTACTTGGACAACCATTCAAAGTCAAACAGGACGAATTTGTTAAGTCAAACAGGACAAATTTGTTAAGAATGATTCACTTGAACCCTTCACTTGAAACAAATTCACCTGAAAGACTGTCAGAGCTGAATAAATAACTTAGAGACCTTGAATTCACTAAAATTGCACTCATAAACTGATATCAATGATATGCTTTAAAATTTGCTGTTGCTCAAGTTACTCAAAGATATGCACAAAGATATACTTTTTATAGTGAAGCCATAGAGAATCAAATAGGACCAATTTGATAAGAATGATTCACTTGAACACTTGTTTGATAAAAGAACTAAAAAAACGGCAAGGGCTAAAGATCGCTAGGTTCACAATGGTATTTGAGGTGACAGTGTTCGCTTATCACATATTATTCTTTTTTGGAGTTGAAATAAAATTGAAATTTAAGATTGAGCACTTCCCAGAAGAATAAACGAAATAAAGACAAAAAAGAAAATCTGCAGGAATTTCATTTTGTTGGTTTTTTTGCAATCCATTTTATACAAAGATCCATAAACTAATAAATATGCCATTGAAACGAAATTGAGTTTTAATTGGACATTCCCCTCATATAGCCAACATTCCATTGACAAACTGTAATAACCAACAATAAAGCAATTTTGAAACAATGAAGAAGAAATATAGAAGACTTTATTACTGTTAGCTTGGACTTAGTGTATAAAAAAATTTTATAGAAACTTGACTGATAGCAATTTTCTAATGAATGATGTGCTTTGCGATTTCTTTTATTTTATTGATTTTACTTTTTGAAAAATGTTTATTCATTTCACCGTTCGGTTTTCAACTCAATTCAAATTTACAACTCAAAAGCATCGTCTTTGTCCAAAAAGCATTCGTCCAGGTCTCAGTGGCAGCATCATCATGCGGATTGGCTGAAAATTGTTTTGAACTTTAATAAATAAAATATTACTTTAACTGGGAGTCCTGGCCCCGATCCTGAACATCGGAAAGGTTCTTGCATTCGGAAGTTTGGTGGTGGAGGCTAAAAATAAACATTTTGAGTTCCTGGTTGTTTCTAGGAGCTTTTTCCGGACAAAGACCTTGTCTTTGACCTGCCCATCAAGTTTGTTATTACTGAAACCAAAGCTGGTCTCCATCAAAATCAAAAACTTAAAGCTTAAATAATAAGTTTGATTCTAAACCCTAATCGTGAGCTAAAGCTTAAAAAATATTAAACATGGCCAATGGCTTTGAAAAGGTCTGATCTTGAATGGTTTTACCAAGGGATTTGGCTTCTGAAATTATCCTGATAAGCATAAGTTATAATATAATTTGGAAAAGTTGTCTGTTGGTTTGTGTGGTTTGTTACCACGCTTTAGCCTTACCAGTACCGAATTACTCTAATTGTTGGGTATGATTGGAAGTTATAATTCGAAGCTAGCTTTACTTACGGGTATGAATGGTTTCGACTTTATGGGTTTTGGCTTGATGTTGGAACTCTCGATAGAAGTAGAAGAAATGTCCTGAAAATTAATAAGCTAATTTAATGGCTTAAAGAGCTGACTTCAAATGAAAAGCTTCAGTTAAATCTAAAGTATTGCATATTTTCAAATTTCCATAAAGAGTTCCACAATTTTTGAGACTTACGTCCTAAGAAGTTGCCCAGATCTAACCCTTTAACACATTTTTTCACTAAAATTCCATCCGATATTAAAAACAAACGTTTCTTTTGGCAACTTTAATTGACATCTTTTTGTAGTTGCTTTGTAAAGTTGAACTTGATCCAAAATTCTTTTCTTGGTCCTTCCAATTTACATCTAAATGTAACAATAAAACTTCTTCTTTCAACTTCATTGTTTGAAGAAAACAGGCATTTTGCCTAATATCCAAGATGCCTAATAATATTATCTGCCTAATATCTAAAATCTAATCAGATCCGAACCCAGCTGGGTTCGATGGGTTTGAGAAAGAGGGGAGGCCTCTTCGACCCACCCCCGCCCCGTCCCCTTCATTTTTCTAATTGTTGACCCTTCAATTTCGCAACTTCTGCTTACCACTATCAAATGACATCATCGAAACAAAATCGAGTTCATCTTGTGCTTTTTCCTCACTTACAATGCCCAACTCTTTGAGGACATCACCAATGGCCGACATCCATTTTCTAAAGTCTACCTTCTTAATCTCATAAAAGCAAGCCAACTTCATCATCTTTTCGTTCTCAAAACGCAGCCAGTGTATTTGGTTGACATCTTTTAAACCCATTTCAAGGTTCGTTGACATTTTTGAGGACACTTTTGGATATAGATTGTCTTTTGCTCGATCTTCTGGGATTCCAAGGAAAAATTCAGTGATTTCTTGGAGTTGAATGACTTGGTGAAGCTGTTGGCTGTTGTTCTAAACACTACTAACAGATAAAAGCTTAAACTTTGAGCTTAAACTAGAATATCAAGCCTCAAGTCTCAAACCAAATAACTTATGTTAGCCAAAGATAAGGTCTGCTTGTGGCTCTTTACTATTAGGTTGGTAAAAAAGAAATGAGCGTCGTGTTTGTTGATTTGTATTTTATTCACAGTAAAAGATTTTTTAAATAGTTTATTCTATTGGAAAGAGCGTGTTCTTGCGCATCGTTTGATATATAATTTGTCTATGTTTACTTTGGACCGCGTGGACCAGGCACGGCGACGTCAAGGTGTGGATACGGCGTCGACAAAATTCCTCCACGACAACGCTCGGCCGCATGTCGCAAAAATCACCCAGCAGAAAATTGAAGAAATGGGCTGTGAAGTCCTGCCTCATCCGCCATACAGCCCAGACTTGACGCCTTCCGACTACCATCTGTTCCGATCAATGCACCACTCCTTGGCCGAGAAAAAGTTCAAGAACCGCGACGAGGTCCAAATTTGGGTGTCCAACTTCTTCGAGTCGTAGCCGGTCGAGTTCTTCAAGAAGGGCATCCATTCTCTGCGTGAACGTTGGCGACAAGTCATTGATGCAGATGGCGAATACCTTTTGGATTAATGTATTGTTATCTTGTTTTTATAATAAAATAAACTTTTAACGAAAGCGCGCATTTCTTTTTTACCAACCTAATAATTCAAGTCTAAATTTAAGCTTATAAAACAAATTGCTTAACAATATTAAACATTTGGTTCCAAATAACATACCGGGTTTTTATAAATATAAATTTCTCCAGTTGATTGTAGCTCACAGTATCGTTCTTTCCATTTGCCTTTCAAAAATAAACCTCCATCAGCCTTGTACACTTTAATACCTCGATCTTTGACCATAACAAAAGCTAAAAAAATGAAACAATCATTTTACTAGCATCAAATAAGTGAACTTTACCCATATTTAAATCAAATACTGAAGGATTTAGAGATAATGAAATTATTTTGGCAAGTATATGGCAATCAATACTGAAATCAGGAGCTCGATTTCTTATCAGTGTTTTTCATTTCCTTTTCATTTTCTGTTTACAATTAGATTTTTGCGTGTACAGATGAGGACAAGCGGAGTAAAGAGTAAAGTTAAAAGTTTTTGACTTTACTTTAACTATTCTTGCCTAGGTACCAAAGACAAATTGACGTTAAATCAATTCAGCCCCAAAATACCAATTAAAAATATTTTGATAGGGGAAATATGTAGTTGTAGCTGATAAAAGCAAAATAAAAACAAAGGCTTTTAATTTTCAAAAAGTGATACTAAAAGTGCTTATTTTGATGATTGTTTTTAGAAAATGACAAAAAGAATTTCTGACTCTGAAAGAAAGAAAGAACTGTGTCATGATTCAAATTTACTCGGCTGTACGGCTGGCAAGGGTAGCTTTGAGCCTCATCCAGGAAGGCGTTGGTGACATCATTTTTGCCATGTCAGCCTTAAGTGCCTCTGGCTGCTTCAGTGCCTCAGACTGTCAGCCATGCATTTGGCTATATCAGTTTGTCTTCTTATTTAAAGTAGAAATTGAGAAGAATTTCAACAATTCCGCCCAAAAAACAAAATTGGTTCTCTTAGGGGGCTTTGCAACTTGGCGTTCGTATGGGGCGCTGATTCTCGGTTTTGGCTTAAAATATGAAAGCCACGAGTCCAAAGGGCAACAAAGTGGAAAGACCGGGAAAATACAGAAACTCTAAAACTTTAACAATCTTACTTAGTTAGAAGAAACAGGGAAGGAGGGGTGGAAACAATAAAAGGAGGAGGGAAATTTTAAAATTTAACAAACCGAATTTAAAAAGGGATAGAGAAAGGGAACATACACAGAAGACACGACGCAAGCGCCGGGCAAGACGACGATTCTTCAAAAGAATGCATTTTGGATGGATGGTACTTCCTTTTATAGGGGAAGGAAGAGGGAAAGAAGGGAGACTCCGTCTCGAGTACGGTAGCTTAGGCGTATTTTAGAATTTAGGGTTGGAAAATTTCAAACCCGTACTCGAACCATAGCATTGGTACAATGGCTAGCACTGAAGGGGGAATTAATTCCCAAATAGGAATGGCCTGTGGGGGAAAGGGAAAGGGGGAAAATTGGTGCCTCGATTGTATTCAACGAACTACGGGAATTGGTGGTTTTACTTCAATTATAAACTGATCAAAAAACGTAGCCGGTTGTGAGCAGATTGTCAGCTCAAAAAACTATGTTGGATTTAGGGTTGGAAAGTTGTCAACCCGTGCTCGAATTGCGGGAATTGGGTTTTTAATTTTAATCAAAAATAATGAGAGCACAAAGATTTTAATCAATTCATTTTTTAATATTAAGATCTTGTATTTTAAACCCAATAGAAATTCTGTACATAATTCAGATCTAAAGATCTCTGCTTTTGGAAAAGCTAAACAAAACGTTGTGGATGATCGATTCGAAGTCTATAATGGATTAAATTAAAATTGTTTCTATAATATTTGATGGTTTCTAGATTTTTTCTGATTGGTTTTCCTAACTTATTTATTGAGTTTTGCGTTGATTTGTTGCTTTGATAGCTCCTTTTTTTACAGCTACCCATTGGAAAACTTGACTTGACAAAGAATTCAATTGGGACATTCAATTGGGACATTCAATTGGAACATTCAATTGGGACATTCAATTGGGACATGCAATTGGAACATTCAATTGGAACAATCAATTAGAACATTCAATTGGAACATTCAATTGGAACATTGGGACATTCAATTGGAACATTCAATTGGAACAATCAATTGGAACATCAATTGGAACATCAATTGGAACATTCAATTAGAACATTCAATTGGAGCATTCAATTGGAACATTCTATTGGAACATTCAATTGGAACATTGTTGTTCATTTTGTTCAAGTACATAAGCGCTTTCCAAAGCATCCAATAGCAGAAATACAAGAAAAAATCTAATTTCCGCAAAAATCTTTTTATTTAAACTGCTAATTTTAATTTTTAAGCGACGAGACAAGTATCGATTTCCCTCTAACTCGTCGTTTCGGAGTCCAAAAGCAATACATTGAGATAAGGCTGAACATTTGAAATGATAGAAATGATAGAATTATGGAATTTATGAAACTGTACCAACCTGTTCACAAAAAAGAACAAAAATATTCGAATAAGTAATAATATCTGTTGAAGAAATGAGAGAAAATTCGGCCCGTAAAATATGTGAAAGATTTCGACGAGACCGTCGGAAACGATCGTGGTTGTTAGGTTGAAGATGCAATTGGCGATCATCTAGAGGAAGGTCAAAGAATGGTTTCAACTTTACGTCCAAATTTAACTTTGATTAAATTCAAGTTAAGCTTAAAGGGGGATATTAATCGCGGGCGGGCTTAGGCTTAGGCTCAGGCTCAGGCTTAGGCTTGGACTTAGTGCGAAGGCTAGCGGCTAGCGCCTAGCACTAAGTCTATTTGGGTTTGTTAGGCTTAGGCTTAGGGCTTAGGCTTAGGCTCAGGCTCAGGCTTAGGCTTAGGCTTAGGCTTAGGCTTAGGCTTAGGCTCAGGCTCAGGGTCAGGCTCAGGCTTAGGCTCAGGCTTAGGCTCAGGCTCAAATTAATCTTAATCAAAGTTAAATTTTTAAGCCAACCACCTGTTTTTATATTTTAATATTGCTAGTTTTGCTATAAAAAGAATAAAAATCACCCAGCTAGAGTGATTTGATGGGTTTACAAATTTTTTGAGGCGTTTCAAAGCTTGGAGAAAAGCAGGATCCTCACTCATGACAGCAATCATCAGGCACAAATGATTGCTGTCATGTTCAATCCATTTGTTGTCCATTCAATCTTTCTTTCTTGTCTTTTTCGAAGTTTTCCACAATCTGGGCATCTTTATATTAGTTTCTCCAATTGATCCAATTGATTAAAAGGCTCGCGAAAAGCCAGCGTCTGTTATTGTTGAATTCATCTACAAGGTAAGCGTGAAAGTAAAGTAAAAGCACTCCGCATCCCGCACTATATTTACTTTTTTTTTCTCTAGACTTCTGATCTATATTTTTGGTTTTTTTCCTCATCATAAAATGTATTTTTAGGGTTCCTAAACAAAATGGAGGAAGAGCTAATCGAAAAGCCAGCGTTTGTTATTGTTGAATTCACTCAATTGGAGAAACTATTATAAAGATGCCCAGATTGTGGAAAAAATTTGGTCAAAAAACAAGACAAGAAAGAAAGATTGAATGGACAACAAATGGATCAAACATAGCAGCAATCATTCGTGCCTGATGAGTGACGATCTTGCTTTTCTCCAAGCCTTGCAACGCCTCAAAATTTTTTTAAACCCATCAAATCACTCTAGCCGGGTGATTTTTATTCTTTTTATAGAAAGTTAGCAATATAAAAACAGGTGGCTGGCTTAAAAATTTAACTTTGATCAAGTTAAATTTAAGTTAAGTTAAGTTAAGCTTAAAGGGGATATTAATCGCGGCCGGGTGATCTTTCGGGGATTTTTATGGTCACCCGGTCTCTATTAATACCCTATTAATATTTAAGCCTTCAATTTACCTGTATCATCAGCATCGACTCGGCTCGAGTCACTCGATCGCTTTTTTGGGACTGAAATTGGGTTTGCTTAAAATACGTATGTCAAGTAAAGGCACAGTTAAAGGTATTTTATGAAGAAACTGAAAATCTTGCCTAGGATTTACTCACTAGCTTCATTGGCTCATTTCCCCAACCTTTTTCCTCATGTTCCAATTCGTCATAAAGTCCAGGCCGCACATCAAAAAATAAGGGATAGTGTTGTAGTCGGTACTTGCATAAAAATCAAAGACATTTTTAGCGAAAACACTCAGATAGGTGATGAAAACACCAAATAAATAAGGAAATAAAAGTTGAAGGAACGGATATTTGAGAGTGTATCGAAAATAGATCCCATCACAGGATAAGGCAAGGAAACGACTGGAAAGTTAACAACAAGGTAAACGTGATTCAAATTTCAAAGCAAACCTCAATGAGATAAGCAATTGACAGTACTGGGCGATGTTCGTTAAATCGAAAAAGATAGAATAGTCGTAAATATTCGAAAAGGCGAATCGAACCTGTTCGGAACATCTGAAAGAAAAGCTTAGACGGGAAAATTTGACTCAAACTGTATATTGGCGATCGGCAAATAGCAGCACTCGTTCAAAAAATACGACATCGAAAACGCGAGCTTGGTCAAATTCTCGGCGGTGGCAAGTAATCTGAAATTTACATTAAAACACTTTTTTCATTGAATTACCGTATCGGTAATGTTAATTGATCATTTGTGGCAACAAAGAAAGCAGCTAAACCAGTGGTGATGATGCTGAGGCCATAAGACTGAAAACAAGAGAGTCATCATCAAGAGATTCCATTTATCTCTAACTAGGGGAGGGCGTCCACTAAAGGTGGAGTTTTGGAACGAGACCTAGACCATCTTGCAGAGTTTTTCATGGGGAATCCGATGCTGCTTTTAGTTTTTCCTAAATAGCACACAAACACAAGTTATTTAGCAAAAACGCTTTCGGGCTATCTATTTGAGACGCGCACACGCCACGCTGCCACAAGCCGTGGTGGCCTAGTGGGTAGAAGCTTTGTCTCTAAAAGCTCTTTTTTGCGTGGGTTCAATTCCTTTTGCAGCAAAACCTTTTCCTTTTCATTTATCTTAATCTTTCAACTATCAATTTTGTTTTCTTTTCATTTTTGATGCTATATTTTAGCAAATTGAAGAGTTTCAGAACATTAAAAGGAAATTTTCTGATTTATTTGCGTATATCATAGGATGAATCTTCTGACGATCTGTAGTACAGTCATGGACAAAAGTCTTTTAACGTTGGTTTTTAGAAGTTTGTTCTTTGTATATCTTGATCCAAATCCGACCAAAAAGAGGAAATTTCTCGAAAAAACTGTGACGTTAAAAGACTTTTCAACTATTGGACCCCAAATTCTACGTTATCTGGTTGACAGCATGCCAAGGAGAATTCAAGCAGTAATTGCGGCTCGCGGAGGACCTACTAAGTATTGATTTTCATAATGTTTTTCTTACATGTTAAAAGACTTTTGTTCATCGATTTTTGGCTAAATTTTTGTTTTTTAAAAAGCCCATGATATATTATAAATCATTGAATCTATTGTTTTGCTAATGCTAAAACTAGTGATAATAAGCTCTTTAAATCTTTCGACCGTTTGCAAATTGGTCGAATTTGGACCAAGATATACGAAAAACAAACTTCGGAAAACCAACGTTAAAAGACTTTTGTCCATGACTGTATGGTTTTAAATAAAAAATAGAGTGCTTTTCTGTCAATTTGAATGTTTGTGAATAATTTTGATGTTTTATGACGAATATGACACAATTAAAAGTTGAAAAAGACCCAAAAAGACCCAAAAAGACGTGGTTACGTGTGGTTCAGGGAACCATTTCCGTTTAAGGTTCCGAAACAGGAGTAGGAATTTTTTTTGTTTGACACTTTTGTTCGCTCATCTTAATTATCGAGCTTGATCAGTAGATAAATTGACTTATTTTCAATCTGAAACAAATGGCCTTCGAAATTTTTGAGACTTTAAAAACTATAAGATCATGCTCTAAGTTTGAAATGGTTGAAAAATTGAAGAAATATGGTAATTGCTCTATGAGAAGTGAAAATTCTTTGATTTGGTAAAATGTCGCATCAAAAGTGAAAAGAAAACAAAATTGATAGATGAAACAACTACAACAAGCTAATTTACACTTGCTTGCCTATTTCTGACTAGAGAAGACCGTCCACTCAAGGTTGGAAAAACTAAAAACATCGGATTCCCCATGAAAAGCTGCACAAAATGTTCCAGGTCTTGTTCCGGAAACTCCACCTTTAGTGGACGGTTTTCCCTAGTAAGAAATATGCGAGCAAATATAAATTTAGCTTGTTGTAGTTGTATTCGATCTTCCTGCTAGTTATGCAAGTTATGGTGGAGTTTCAGTAATGGATACGTACTTTGTAAGTAGAGAGAAGTCTCCGATCTCCATTTTATTTCCCCCCTTAAACTCACCCAATCGGTTATTGTCAGCAAAACGAAGCTGGCATCACCGACGAATTTACCATCAATATCGGGTTGTGTGGGTGCAGCGAGTAGATCGAATGAGGCGAAGCTATAAATTCCGATCACCCAACTCGGCGAATAGATGTTATGGACGGGAATGTAGATGGCTGAAAATGAGTAGTTTTCAATGGTATTTCACTGTTAACACAATTGCTATATGTTAACAAAAAATTCCCCAACCTAGCAGCAAAATCGTGATGAAAAGAACACAGAAAAGGTCACCGAATTTTTGCCAGACACGCGAGTTTTCGATGCTTTTCGGCAACATCTAGACTTTCATTTAAAGAAGTTAAAAAAAGAATTAAATCAGATTAGATTGGAACCAAATTTAATCAAATCAGCGTTCAGAAATGAACGCTATGAGGTATTCATTTCACAGCTTTCACAGCTGTCAGCTTGCATAGCTGCCAGCTTACATAGCTGTCAGCTTACATAACTGTCAGCTTACATAGCTGTCAGCTATTAGAGCTAGAGTTGAGAGCTAGTAGTTATGTGGCTTTTGCTGAGCCCAAAGAGATGTAAATAAAAGCATTACAGATTACTGTTTGTTCAAGAAAAGAAATAAATGTGTTAATTGTTGGAATCAAATTCTAGCGACCACAGGCTCTGATTTTTGAGGCGCAATTGTGATTGTCGGGTGCGTTTTTTCTAGAAATCAGAACCTGTACTTAACTTTTCAATTTTAACAAGAACTAGACGAGAAATCTAGACGTAAAAGTGTGTTCTCAATGCAAACAACTGAACATGCTATTAAATCTGCCTATAATGGAGTATTTGATTGGACAAAAAGTCTCAAAAGTACATCAACATCATGGTGATGAAAGAAATGATGAAAGTTCGATAAAAGGTGATAGTTTTGGTACCAATTCGTGTTCGTTTAGATAAACTTTTCGTAAGAACAAAGAAAAGCGTTTGATGAACAATAAAAAGTAATGAGTCGATGCGTTTAGCGCAAGAAAAAATTTCTAAGAAAACTATTTTTGAGTCGAATGAAAGTGAGAAATCTCTTGTAGAGCCGTAAACTGTGATCAACTTTTTGATTAAACTTTTCCCAAAAGATTTGAGTTCTTTTTTATAATAAATCGGCGTGTAATGCAATTACTGGTCACACTAGTCATTATCGTTCCAGTACACATAAAGTACATCGAGGAAATAAACTGAAACAGAACAAATAAACCAATAAATGTAGAAAATCTGATAATTATTATGTAAAAACTTCAGAGCGATTGGGTAATTACAAAAAATTTTATAACCCTTCAAAGTTGAACTCAAATTTTCTCAATTTCAGTTTTTTTTCAACCAAGAATGCTTTATTTTGCATTGGTCAAGTTCGTGCAAAAGAAACTGCCGATTTGACGATAAATTCAAAAAAAAGATGGCGTTCGATGGTGACATGATCACAATGGAATATTTTCGCAAGATCTCGAGCAGATTGGCATGGATCGGCCTGAATAACGTCCCCCAGCTTGGCTTCTTTCACGACTTCTGGCCTCGAACCGTGCTCGTAATCTTCCAAAGTCTCGTCTCCCTCTCGGAATCGTTGAAACCAAGTCTGATACTGCCTGAGAGACAAACTACCATCTCCGAAAGCAGCACAGAACGATGCGAGCACAGAACGATGCGAGCACAGAACGATGCGAGCACAGAACGATGCGAGCACAGAACGATGCGATTCGGCAGCAGACTTTCCAATGTTGAAGTTAAACAGCAATGCTGCTCGTAGCACAAACTTTTTCTCGACCATGATCTAAATAAAAAATATAAGCATTTTTAAATAAAATAAAAAACAACCAAAAAATTCAAATGTCGAAATAAATAGCAAACAAATATGCGAACAAACCATAAAAAAAATACTACCGTTAGCATCGCTCGTTTCTGATAAATGAGAGCTGATACCCATCGGCAGTTTCTTTTGCACCACCCTAATATTATCATTTAACGCAAAATTTAATTCTGAATCAAATGGTATATGGGTTTATCATAAAAAAACCAACTGAACACTTAGGAAAACGACTTTTCTAAAGAACACCTCACTTTAACCTCTTCTAGCCTTTGTTTTGCAGAATCTTCGCGTAAATTGTAACTTTTATGGTTATCTATGCCACTTTTTATAATAAATCTATATACCATTCGATGCGGAATTAAATTTTACATCGAATGGTAATAAAATCAGCTTGATCAATTTAATATAAAGCATTCTAGGGCGCAGGCCAGACAAAGTTTTCAAATTTAGTGAAAATTATAGGTAAGACAGACAGTCCTGAGAAGCAAAAGCCGAAAAACTCAAGGTTCTATAGAAACAAATTGATTACGAAAGCATTCAACTAATGTAAAATGTGTTTCGGCAAATTTGGATCGGTTTCTAGTGAGAAACTCAGATCTTCGGTGAGCCGTGTCATCGCTAATGTGCTAAACACTCAAAATCCACAAACAAACCTTCTCCCAAAAGCAGAAATAAACTCGAAAATGTGTTTAATCAAATTGTTTTTCAAGCTTCGCATTTACATATTCTTTCTCGGAAGTGTACCCGAATATAATAGAAATCCGGAATAGAAAAATCTATTCGATAAAACATGTAAACAATTTTGAAAATAGATTTCGGAAAGAGATAACTAAATGTGATGTTGTTGTGTTCAAATTCTTAAAGTTTACTTTGTGCTACGAAGAGCACAAAGTAAACTACGAAGTAAACTACGAAGAGCACAAAGCACAAAGTTTGTGTTCACTCTATCCACATCAAAATGATGTGATCAAAATTTTGTGAAACTGCATAGATATGCCAACATTTATTGACAACATCGAGTTTTTTATTTGGAAAACTAAAATCTATCGTAGAATCAACGTCTAATGCTTATTGTAATTCAATAAATCGGTAACAAAACGCTTGTTCCACAAAAAAGAAGCAAATCAATCGGCTCTTTGGGGGGAAAAAAAAAAAAAAAAAAAAAAAGGAAAAAGAAAAAAGAAACAAAGGTCAAAAAGGGAGAGCGTCAAAAAGAAAGAAAAAAACAAAAAGGGGGGGGGGGGGATAAAAGGAAAAAAAAAAAACGAAGATAAATTGCTAAAAAAAAAGAGAAAGGAGAAAAGTTCCCTTTTAAAACCAAAGAGGGAGAGTAAGAAAGAAAGGTGAGGTTTTGTTTTGGTGAGGGGGTTCATTCACTAGAGAGGGGTTGGTTTTGGGGTGTGGGGGGTTGGTAAGTTTATAGATAAAGGAAGTATTTCGAAAAAGCAGAATCTGAAGAAAAATGAGGTTTTGAATTCAATGAATGAGCACTTTTGAAGTATCGAGATGACATTTCTGCTTAGACATGTTTCTGGTCGAGTTTTTAAAACAACATAAACAGTTATCATTTTTCTTTCACTTATTTTGTTACAAGTTAGGGGCAATAGAATTTAATCACCCATAAGGGAGCGAATTTTGAAAAAATAGGGTCATAAAATCACCTAAATAAAACTAAATCACCCCAATCTCCAAAAGCGTCCAGTGAATGTTAATAGAGAACTTTTTGGTGTTGCTCTTGATGCTGTTGCATCCAGCCATTAAGTTTCACTTCCCCACTCGCCTACGTGTCACTTGTCCTTCGATGACAGTTCCATTGTTGTCAACTTCAACAATAACAACAACGTCAACAACAAGAACCGTCCCGAATCCCGAATAAAACTCTGCAAAATCTGCAACAATACATAGGCATTAAAATTCTTTGCAAGCCTTAATATGAAAATACATCTTTTAGGGGATGATTCGAAGAACTATGAAGAAGGGATCGATCTTGTTTCAACATATTTAAGGTCGTTTTTGTTCCCTTCAAGGCATTGCTACTTTCAGCGGAAATTCAAATTCATTTGGTTTAAAAATCAAAAGCATAAAAACGTTCTTTTATGAGCTTCCTTCTAACTAGAAACTTTATTTGAATAAGCCTGAGCCTAAGCCTGAGCCTAAGCCTAAGCCTGAGCCTAAGCCTAAGCCTGAGCCTCAGCCTAAGCCTAAGCCTGAGCCTAAGCCTGAGCCTAAGCCTAAACCTTATTTCTGTATAATCGATGATGAGATATAAATGAGTGAAGTTTGACCTTATAGCTTAAAAATGTTATTAAATCTGCATTAAATCTGAATTAAATCTGCATTAAATCATCAGTTTTTGATCTTTCAAAACACATTTTTTTATTAGCTTTTATTCTGTGTATTCCTCGATTGATGGCTGCAAAATTTTGGAGTTGAACTCTTTTATGAACACAAGAATATTATAGTTCCTATGTGAACTCTGATGAATACAAACACGCGAAATGAAATTTGAAAATGTAAACGACCAATATAATCAGCCAAACGTTCAAAAAATTTATTTGACAAATTTCGGGAATGCTGACATTTTTGAGTTTATTTCTGCTTTTGGGAGAAGGTTTGTTTGTGGATTTTGAGTGTTTAGCACATTCGCGATTACACGGCTCACCGGTGATCTGAGTTTCTCACTAAATACCGATCCAAATTTGCCGAAACACATTTTACATTAGTTGAATCCTTTCGTAATCAATTTGTTTCTTTAGAACCTTGAGTTTTTCGGCTTTTGCTTCTCAGGACTGTCTGTCTTACCTATAATTTTCACTAAATTTGAAAACTTTGTCTGGCTTGCGCCCTAGAATGCTTCATATTAAATTGATCTGGTTTTATTACCATTCAATTGAGCTGATTTTATTACCATTCGATGTAAAATTTAATTCCGCATCGAATGGTATATAGATTTATTATAAAAAGTGGCATAGATAACTATAAAAGTTACAATTTACGCAAAGATTCTGCAAAACAAAGGGTTGTGGTTTGTGGATTTTGAGTATTTAACACATTCGCGATGACACGGCTCACCAGTGATCACTCGATCAGAGTTTCTCACTAAATACCGATCCAAATTTACTGAAATTTTGCATACGCCAGTTTTCAGGGTCGAGGAATTCGAATCCAATGTTAGTTTTAACCTAAAGTAACCCCAAATACTCGAAATAAGAGTGCAAGCCTCGGCCATCTTAAGGAGTCCTCAACTTCGACATTGAAGAAACTTTTCCGATTTGACCAATTTGGTGCTTTTGATATTAAAGGATTTCCTGAGATCTCTTCTAATAAAAAGTGTACAAAGATCGCTAAAATGTTGAAAAATAACAAAGTTATTAATTTTCCTATGAAAAAATCTCGGTTATTTGGAAAAACTTCTACTGCGAGGGCGCGCGTTTATGCAAAAATTCAAATTTTCAGGTTTACGTAATCGTGCGGCTTCTGGTACAGGGTTTTGATTGAACTTGAAACATAAAACGCTTTTCATCATTTTAATCACATTTGCTTTAATTACCCAGCATTGCTTTAGCAACATAAAATGTAGTGTTTTCGTAGGTATTTCGCATCAATATTTCGGTTGCATTCGGTTTTTCCACCCCAGAAAAGCTTAGAACAAGCTTTTCCGGGGTTGGAAATAGGTTAGAACAACCTATTTTCTTGTTCTAGCTTTTTCTAGCCAATTTACGTGCTACTACTATTTCCGGTCTTTGAGGTTATTGTAGTTGACAACTAAAACCGGACTCGAATTCCCCACTCCAGAAAACCCTAGATAAACATTTCAGATCTGCAGCTAGCATAGAATTCTGTCTTCCGAATGGTCAGTTAAGCGAAAAATGGCTTCGTCACGAACGCGTTAAAACCTGAATATAATTATATTGACCTAAAATCTTATAAAAATGTTTTAAATGTTGTTAAATGTTAGTTAAAACCATTATTTCTATTTTTGTTTACTTATTAAGAAAAAAAAAAATTAAAAACAAAAACGACTTTCATTATAATCCGTTCAGTCTATTCCGGAATCACTCTACTTGAGTCAAATTACTTCACTTCAGCCGAACAGACAGCCATTCTGAATGTAAGTATAGCTTGAAAGAACTAATTCTTTGAAATTTTTAGTCCCACAACACATTCCGCTCGAAATTGGCTTTGGGTAAGTACAAGTCGGCTACTGGAGTCACCTTCGCCAAGGCCACAAACATGAGACAATTGGTGAGACATTGATATTTCGCTTAAATTGTAGGAATGAACCTCTTCTGACCTGTTTAGTCCTGATTTGGTTATGGCCCGATTGCCTAGATTAATTAAGGATTAATATTTCCAAAGACAGATCAATGACATTTAAATAAACATTGCTTTGGCATTGATGTTTGTATTAAACTACCTTGCTATAATCGACTTTTAGACCTGGGACTTGAACCAAGCAACCCAATCATGGTACTATGTAGGTCACTGCCCAATGACCCCCTCCACGTACAAGGGACAAAACTTCTACAAAGGAGTGAACGTCTCAAAGACCGGATGTGGTGAGTCGATTAAAGCTAACTGAACGATTAAAGCTAACCATAAAAGCAGCAAAACTAGCATTCTACTGGACTACAGGGTGCTTCATGCTTACCCGGACTCACTTTCAATATCCAAGAATGGCTAAAACGTACCCGATTTCCTTGCATTTTCTGGAGATGAATTTTGATATGGTCTTCTATAGCGTTGCCAATTTGATAGTCGATTAGAGTTCTCAACTTTTTTATATGAGCTTCCAAAGTTGAGAGTCGCGTTTCTTCTGGCAAGCTATACATTTTAGGGGTTTATAACTTTCTCCTCGGCACAAATCCTTAGGATCTGTTTTTTTCTTGAGAAAAATATCATTTTATCAAAACATTTAACCGAGAGAAAGACTAAAAAATGATAAAATTTACTGGATTGTGAAAAAAACATTGATACAGATAAAAGAACTGTTTGCGAACTCGAGAAAAGGTCGGTAAACACGATTCTTTTGAGGCTTGGAAGCATTTAATTCTTCATGATTTAACAAAAAGTTTTGGCAAATACAGAAAATATAAAGTTTTCAACGAGAAAACAAGTCTCACAAAAACAAAACCCTGAAAGTGAGTAGCCAGAAGAGTGAGTAGCGACTCTCAACTTTGGAAGCTTATATAAAAAAGTTGAGAGCTCTAATTGATTATCAAATTGGCAAACGCTACAGGAGACCATATCAAACTTGATCTCCAGAAAATGCAGGGAGATCGGGTTCGTTTTGGCCATTCTAGAATATTGAAAGTGAGTTCGGGTAAGTCTGACACACCTTGTATATACCGTCGGCTGAAAAAATGAAGCGGACAAGTAAGGATAAGTTTTTTTAGGCACAAGAGCTTGCAGTGCTTGGTCGGCTCAGTTTCACGCGTTTGGACCCAGGGGATACGTAATGACAGCTGACACAAAACAGTCCACACAAGTAAAAAGTTTACATTTTATGGTTCGCATGCAGTTCCAATATGGTTCCAATATGGTTCCAATATGGTTCCAATATGATTCCAATATGGTTCGCATACAGTTTCAATATGGTTCCAATATGATTCCAATATTCCAGCAAAAAAACAATGCTTCAGATGGCCTGGGCCACATCTCAATCGGTCGGCTGTGCGTGGGCGGTGTGCAAAAATGGAGTGGACAATGTGACGATCGTTGTTTGTCGATATACACCAGGGTGAGAATGAAAACTATAAAGATTTTGAAAGAAAGATTTAAAAAGTACTTGCCTAAGAGCCGTTTTTGATTTCTAGATTTAATCATCATCAGATTATATTCGCTGGTGATTCCAGGGGAAACACGGCTGGAATGAAAGCCTATGTCCAAGGGCCAACAACTTGTTCGGCTTGCCCTCCAACTACAGCTCCTTGTGACAAAACAACTGGGCTTTGTAGTTGGTTTATTGAACTTGTTTTATATTAGATACAGTATTTTAAAATATTCAGTCTTTTTTAAAATTTTAAATTCAAATTTTCAGCACAACCACCAGCTTACAAGCTTTTCCCAGCCACTGATCAGGTCTACTTTTTAAATGTGAGTTCTGGCTGATTGCTGATTGATGGCTGACCACTGATTTATATTTATTTCTCAATTTAAAGCTATTTTTATTTTGTTTTATGTTCAGTTCAATATCCAAACTCTAAATATTACAGAAATTCAACACAATCCGCTCGCAAATGGCTCTCGGAAAAGTGACATGGAATAATAGGAGTTGGGCTGAAGAGCACGACTATCCAGTGGGCTGAAAAGATTGGAAAATGAAATGGCAAAATCTCATTTCAGTATATTGATCAAGCAAACGAGACGATTCACTGGCCAGCATCAAAAGCCACATATCAATTGGTTGGAAATATAAGACCTATGGAAAAGATTAAATTTGTAATTGTAGAACTTTCCACGTAGATATGTATTCTATCATTTTTCAAGATACCGTATTTATTCTATTAGTACTGCGCCTCTAATAGTACTGCAAGCAAATTTACATTTATCCAACGTTAATTTCCATTTTTGGGTATTTAGTAGCCCACTTCTTTGCTAATTAAGTAAATGTGTTCCAGCTTGTAGGCTAAATATCTTTTAATTTCCTACATCAATTTTTTCGAAGCTGGGCTACGTTCTCGGCTCACAAAAGTGAGACAACGAAAAAGAAACTCGAGGAGCTTCAGGTCGATTCAATTCTTGTGCCCGGTGGATGCACTAAATCCATTCAATGTTGTTGTTCTTTCGAATGCACCGTTTAAGGCCAAAGTTCGATCATTTTACGAGCATTGGATGGCGAATTGACCAAAACCAGCGACTCGAAATGGAAACCCGGCTCTTCCACCAATGGAAACATCTCGATTGGGTTTGGACGGCTTGGGATCGTTGCCAAAGAACACGATCATTCATGCTTTCAAAAATTGTGCAATTACGACGGCTTTGGATGGATCAGAAGATACTCTCATTCACGGTTTCAAGAAAGAGGGTCCAGTTCCAGAAGGAGCAAAACAATTCGTCGAAGCTCGACTTGAACAAGCCGTCAATGGGGTAAATGATCGTGTTGGAAACATTGTTTTTTATGGTTCGGATGTTTCAGTCTTTGATCTATAATTGTTACTTTCTATGTTTGCTGTTATCTTAATAGAATTAAAACAATATTTTCCTGAATTTTTAAAAGAAATATCATTTCTTTGCGTTTGAAGTTTTTACTTTTTACATGAATCTTCATTTATTTAGGAAGTAAGTTTGCTTTGTTTAGTCAAACAAATAGTGCTGCACCTCTAATAGTACTGCGGTCTGAGCCGTCACGAAAAAAAATAGAGTAAATACGGTACTCAGTCAATAGTTCAAAGCCCTATCACTTTACAAGACATTCAGTCGATTTCTACTGTAACCAGCTTCCTATCTAGTTTCCTTATTGGTAAGGATGCACTCAACTTTAGATCTCAAGTCAATCGACTGATTTTGGCTTTATAAAACCCCTAGTTGCCTAGTTAAAGTTTTCCACAAACTAAAAACCCGTTAGATTTCCAGAAATGGGACACAGGACTGGCTCTGTCTGCTGGCAAAAAGCTTGGGTCGCTGAAATATGTTGGAGACTCTGGAGTGAGCTTTGTCTTAAACGGGAGTGTCGGTCTATTTGGTTACAATCTCATGTCTTGTTGTATGTCGGGGAGACAAGAGACCGAGAAGACCTTGCAGCAAATGAGTAAGTCTTTGGTTTTGGTTTGTTGTTTTTGACCCCGTAAACCATATGTATAGCAAAACGGTGTTTTCCAGTCAATGGTGCCTGGTTCTCCTCTTGGTACGGCTGGTTGTCAACGTATGGAACTCTCAAAGCCGCCTATCATACTGTAACCGATAACACAAATTTCATAGAAGTTCAAGAGGATTACGGATATACGGTATTCAAATTTGAGCTGTTTTCTGTAAAGCTGTAAAAAATTTTCAGTACTTGGCGGGAAGTGCCCGAAAAATTGGATGCGCTTATCGAAATGACACCGACTATTGGGCGATTTTGTGCTACACGTGGCCAAAGTGGGAGGTTTTATAAAGTGAAATGCATTTTTTTGACGACTTTAGCTTTTGGCTAAAGCATAGATGTAAATTTCAGAGGTCTAACGGTGAATTCGGCTTTCTACCCATCGGGAACCCCGCTTGCGCCTCTTGTCCAACGGCCACCGCCCCGTGCACAAAGACCACTGGGCTCTGTGTCCTTAAATGATTTACAGCTTGTAAAGTTATTGTAATCCAATCACGATCACAGTATGATGATTTTTTTGATAAATTTTTAGCCAATGCCTGTCTTACTTTATCTTAATTGAAATGAATTCTTGATTATCCTTAATTGTCAAAATTCCCCACCCAAACACCAGCCTTGTAATACGCTTTTTTTATGTAGAGACTAGAGTTTTTCATGTTTTCTTAAAAACACTTCAGTTAGTTCCTCGAGAATTTAAAATTTCTTTGAAATCATGAAATAAAAACAATGATATTTTCTTGATATTCAATGATCTTCAATTTTTTTGGGCTAGTAAACCAAATTTCATAATTTTCGCCATTTCAGAGACTTTCTTGAGCAATCTTCGATGAGAAATCTACCATCGATTTTCGACGGAAAAACATCGAAATGTATCATTGTCAAGTTTATATTTGTAATGTTGAATAAGCTCTTCATTCGATTATATCAACTCAATAAATTCTATTGGGTTGGTGAATTGAAAACTGCGGGACTTTGAACTAAAATTTATTCAACATAAAAGCATAAATTCATTCCAAATAATTTCCATTATTATTGACGACTTCTGCCCATTTTACAGGCAATTTGCGGATTCCTCTTTCGTTTTTTTTCGTTTCGGATTTTGGTTTGTGTGTGAGACAAGTGTGAGACTCAAAAATGGAGGACTGGAGATGTCCCAGTTTGAGCACTTTCTTCAAAAGAAACCCATTTTGGTGTCAATTGAAAAGTTGTAGAGAATCAAAAATTGGGCTTATAGCCAAATTTCCAAAAAGATACACTTAGTAGTTTCGCTTAAAATGCAAGTCTTGTCAAAATTCGTAAATTTGGCATTTCTTGAAAACCAGTTTTTGAATCGTTCTGAAAATTTGGATATAAGCTTGATTTTTGATTCTCTACAACTTTTCCATTGACACCAAAATGGGTTTCTTTTGAAGAAAGTACTCAAACTGTGACATATGACAATCGCCCGCAGTTTTCAATTCACCAACCCAATATGATTAACTCATTCCTAAAAACAAAAATATTTCAAAACTACAGCTTTAAACCAAAAATAGTAAACAGCGAGATGAAAAAGACAACAATTTCAACCTCTACTTCTTCTTGTTTCTAAAAAGTAGAGGTTGAAATTATTGTCTGTTTCTAGTCAGGAAATCATGGTTTATTCCTTTTTTCCATTTTTTAGATAAGCCGCAACAATTTTTTATGACAAGGCCCTCAAATAAAAAATTTAGTCTAAAAGCTGAATGTTCAATGATTAACCAAAAAAAATCAGTTCAACTAACCAAAAAAACCTTTGAAAAATTATTTTATAAAAACTTTATCTCATTATCAAACGAAAACGACAATGAAACAAGCAAAAAACTTTGCTTTAATACTTTTTATTGTACTATAAGCCACTCAAAATTTGAAAATCTGTTTTAAAAAGTATTGTACAAGTAATAGATAACTACATTTTCTTGCTAGTGCTTTTATTTATGGTCATTTATTGAGTCCTAGCATCAGAAACCCGTCGAGTCTTTTTCAGAGACTTATCTTGCCAACATAATTTTTTATGGAGACAACCTGCTTTATGGAAAAATTCCTGATATAATGCATCTGGGAACGCAAAAAAGTCACGACCACGCACTCAGTCTCAAGAATGCTTCCATTGATTGGTGGACTGATCGCCTTGTCGGCTGTCCGAGTTGTGATCGGTGATGGATGTGCCTGTCCCCAGGGATTTGACAGTGTCTCCACATTGGGCTTATGTGTTGGATCTCCAGAACTCACAGGTTGGACAACAATATCGGAAAAGACAGCAATTTTTAGGTGGCGGCTGGGACTCAAATCAGCGCTCGTGTAAGACTCTCGGAGGGGATCTGGTCATAATCAACAGCGGCTTCTACAACACCCTTGTCGGAGCTATTGCCCTTCAGAGTTGGTTGTTTGTGGGAAACGGATTTAAAATTAGAAACTAGTTAGTAAAATAATTTATAACTTTTTTTTACAGACTTTGCCCAGTCTTTGGTGATGATCGGCGCCAAGAGAGTTGATGGGACAGCCGATTGGGTATGGCCCGACGGCTCCGCAACTGATTATAAAAACTGGGCACCAGGCAAGGATCAGAAATTTTTAGTTATTAATCTCAAAACTGTTTTTTACTACATTTTACAAAATTTTACGAAGAAACCTTAACAAACTTCAACCAAATTTCTTCAAGGAAACCCACCAGCGGACCCGGCCATGAACTGTGCTTATATAAATGGTAATGACAACACATGGTTTGCCCAACCGTGCTCAAACAAAAACCCCTACCTTTGTCAGTTTGGTGCTTCAATCAGTGAGTTGTTTTTGATTTAAGTAGTTCATTGCATTTTCAGATAAATGTCTTCAAGGATGGACGTACAATCCACAAACTGATAGCTGTTATTATGTAGGAGAATCGATTTAAAGAGCTTGTTTTAATGTTGAGCTAGTCCTAATTGTTTAACAATGTACCACTTTAACTTTTCAGCTCGGTCACGACCTTTCATTTGTCGATGCTCAAGCGTGGTGCATCAAGAACTCGAAAAAGGAACACCCCGGATGTTTGGCTTCGATTCACGACTATGCCGAGAACAAATTTATTCAAAGTTTATTTCAGTAGCTAGCTAACAACTTAAAAATACATATTTACAAAACAAAAATACCAATATGGGTTTCAAAAAATTGATCACTTTCCAGCTCTTGCTCAAGACAACTCATGCTCGGGGAAGTTCCCCATTTACGCGGGCAGCACTTTGGTCGGCGGGGTCTATACAGGTGAGCCTTATAAAAATACAAAAATTTATTAAAATTAAAACTTTTTCAACTAATGTTTAAGGTTCGAGGCTAAATTATTGGCTAGACGGGACCCCGGATGACTATAACAATTTCTGCAATGTTAGTGTGGCTCTGGACAACTCCGTGATGCTGGTAAGTGTTGTAGCTGACCTTGAGAACCTAAACTTTACCTTTTAAAAAGATTATTTCAATTTCATTATGTTCTACGTCTAAAGTTTCTAAACCTTTCTAGTTACGAGCCGTCGGATCACAGTGCAGCACAGGGTGTGGTGATGGCAGTTGGTGGGCTGGAATCGATTCGATTCAATCCGATCAAACGTATCCATCATTTGTATGCAAATCGAAACCCTTGTGTGCATAAGTGGATTTTTTGCAGTAAACATGTGTTAATCTTCAAAAAAAGCACAGGTTTTTCATGGCTATCACAAAAACAAGAAAATTTTGATGTTTTTATTGGAAATTTTTCAAAAGAAAGTAGTTAATCTAGCCCGTTTTGTTCCTCCACGCCTTTGCGGGTTACAGTCTACTCTAGCGGGTTTAAAGGATCGACAGGTTTCTCAGTACAAAAGTGTTCATTATAAACTTTATTGTAGAATTGTAGACTATAGGTTAACCGTTTTTGGAGCACTGCTATTAAAGCTGAGGAAAAAATAAGCTGTAAAAACGAGAGTGCGGCACCGACGCTCCAAAGCAACGATGTTTTTGTGTATTAAATGTAACAAAAATGATTTATTTAATAAAAACACAAGAAGAAGCAAAAAAGCAAAAGAAGAAAGTTTAAAAAATGATTAACTTATTGCAAATAACGAGCGTTTTTATTGAGAGACGCCTGTGGCAAATATCTGGTCATTTTCTTTTTCTGGTCATGTCGTATTACGGGATTGCAATTTGATACAAATTTTGATTCAAAAATCAATTTATAAATAAGGTTAACACATTGACTAATAAGATAGGGTGTTCCGAAGTGGTATTACCGAGTCAAATTTGCTATTTTGACTCGGTTAAGGGATTTTTGGCCGAGGAACTACGGGTAATCCTCTTTACACGTCGAGTAAATTGAATATCTTTACATTTGAAGCGAGTTTGCCACCAAATCAGTTAAACAGCTGAATATCTTTAAAAGAAAACGTATATAAGTCGGCGTTCGTGATTTTTTCGCGCCAAGATCGTCTGAATCCAAAAGATTTGGAGCTAGTTTAAAGCGTTTGTAATGCTCATGGGGCAGCATTGTGGGACTGTTGACCGCACATCTTGTTAGCCAAAAATTTGGAAAAGTATTGCGGAAACCTTGCGCTTCATCCTATTTCGCGCCCCAAATCATTTAGCTGTAGCTTGTTAGCTGAATATCTTGTGTTAAAGCCATATAAGGCAACTGTTGTTCATTCGATGCGTTTTACTTTTTCCCCTTCCTTTCATCGGGGGAAGTTGTGTCCTAGTCCTTAGGACGAAATTGTTTCTGTTTTTATCGTTGCGGGGGGGGGGGGGGTGGGGTATTGAATGTAATGTCTTAGTTCAAGTGAGATCAGATATCTCACTTGAACTAAGACACTTGAACTCACTTGAACTAAGACAAAGTCAGAGGTTCGAAGGCGATTAGATACCGCCGTAGTTCTGACCGTAAACGATACCATCTAGCGATCCGGTGGTGGTTTTACCGCCTTGCCGGGGAGCTTCCCGGAAACGAAAGACTTCCGGTTCCGGGGGTAGTATGGTTGCAAAGTTGAAACTTAAAGGAATTGACGGAATCGCATCACCAGGAATGGAGCCTGCGGCTTAATTTGACTCAACACGGGAAAACTCACCCGGCCCGGACACTGTAAGGATTGACAGACTGAGAGCTCTTTCTTGATTCGGTGGTTGGTGGTGCATGGCCGTTCTTAGTTGGTGGAGCGATTTGTCTGGTTTATTCCGATAACGAGCGAGACGCACCCCTACTTAATACACCGCGAATAATTTCGTTCGCAGGTGTTCTTAGAGGAATTGGCGGTATCGAACCGCATATCTCGAAACAAGAAATAACGTGGCTTGAGTGAAGAGTACCAAGCACGCAAGGAATATTTCTTTACAACGCCTTTTTGAAGAAGATTTCTGATTTCTGAATAAAAAAGTTCCCTATTCAAATTACCATTTAAAAGTCAAAAATCATGTTATTTTTTTAGAAAATAATGGATTGCATAAAAATTTATGTGTTTATATAAGTACTGTTGAAGGAAAAGTTTTCCTTTTCAAAAAATAAAATCATTTCAAAAAAGATGGGGAAAAGATGCTATACTTTTTGATGTTTGCTGGTTGTTCAAATTTTTGCGTAAGGGATTTTTTTTGAATAGGCAATTAAGTAGTAAAACTTTCAAACGGTAGCTTTTTTTGCTTACGCTCAAAAATCCTAGAGAATCGAAGATTTTCCAGAACCGAAAATCTTTTATTTGAAGAGATTCCAACAATTCCTGCAATGTTAGTGACAACTCCGTGAGTTAGTAAACTCTGGACAACTCCGTGATGTTGGTAAGTGTTATAGCTGATCTTGAGATTAATTGAAAAGCTAAGGAATTAATTTTTTAGACGTTCTAGAGCTATAGTTTCTAAACTTTTCTATTTGCGAGCTGCAGTGGTGGCAGCAGTTGATGAGCTGAAATCGATTCGATTCAATCCGATCAAACGTTCAGTCGTCTTCAGTTTTAAAATGTTTATTGCGAAAAAGTTAATTAATACTTTCAATGAACTAAAGTATCTGGATGTGAGAGGAAAGGGGTTTTATGTTGTCGAAGAATAAAAAGAAGAGGCATAATGTTACCAGATAAATGTCGTAGTGTAACGGAATACAAACTTGATAAACTTCATGTAACTTTGTACTTTCTGTTCTCAATTTTCTTTCAATCCAGCTTGAATTTCCAATAGAAATACTTTCTCGATTTTTTTCAATCCGGACGCTGTCATATGACATTGATTATCGAAATATGAGAGTGATGTCTTCGGATCATAAGTGAGTACGAGATTTCGTTTTGAATCTGAAAATAAACAAGATTAAACTGAAAAGAAACATTGGTTTAGCTGTTTTTTCTTGGGCTTAAAACGTACCAACAAAAGCATCAGTTATATCGATTAAGTGGCATTTCTTGCATCGTTCCATGATCACTTTCAAACGTTGGTGTACGACCGAGTTGTAGTAATCAGTTTTCTGTAAGATTGGTGTTTAGCTTGGAAGCTAGGTTTAGCCAGATAATTGTAGACACAACTCACATTAAATGGTTGATTGAATGTTTCAAGATCCTTCGTCTTCTGTAATCCATCCAAAAAACGATTCAGAAAGTCATTGTTCTTTGCCAAACATCCGAAAGGTTGATGTGTTTGGATGAAGAGTTTCTTCGTGTGTTCGCTAAATTGAATTAATTAGATGCTTTGAGTAGTTATTTGTAGATAAAGCTAACCTGATCTTCTCGATTCCTTCCCAATAAGTCTCCATCACTTTATCACCTGGACCTTCATACGGTTCAAGGTCTCCAGCTTTCCAATTATATCTAAATGCTACCGTAAATACTGTAATAGTACCCCACGCCCATAATGACGATGCGGAGTGTTGCGTAGTCTAGCTTTGAACGTGTTTTTCTCGACACTGGTTTATGCTACAATGCGCGCTTAGGTATCAAAAGAAATAGCTGAAATTCAGGGCTATTTTTTGATACCTAAGCGCGCATTGTAGCATAAACCAGTGTCGATAAAAACTCGTTCAAAGCTAGACTACGCAACACTCCGCACCGTCATTATGGGGGTGTGGTACTATTACAGTATTTACGGTAATGATTCTTCGTCAACTTCTCGAATTGTCTCAAGGATATCAAGGAAACATACGTATACAACAGTTATCGTAAATACTGTAATAGCACCCCAACCCCATAATGACGGTGCGGAGTGTTGCGTAGTCTAGCTTTGAACGAGTTTTTCACGACACTGGTTTATGCTACAATGCGCGCTTAGGTATCAAAAAAAAGCTGAAATTCAGGGCTAATTTTTGATACCAAAGACACATTTTTTGAAAGTACGGGCGCTTTGAAAAAAATGAAATACTAAAAAACTTTTGCGACTACGCGACTGTACGACGAGGGTGGGGTACTATTACAGTATTTACGGTAATATTTCAAGCTAAATTTCTAAAACTGCTCACCTCAACAGTAGAAAAACGTAATCTGGCTGAAGTTTCTTCAAGAAGTTTAGCAAAAATGGAGTGTGTTCTAGAATTTGCATTAAACTTATCAATAAGTTGATGTTACTTTTTATTTCATCGTTCATTCCGTGTAATCCAAAAGCTGCACTTGATTGGGTAAAAAGATGCATTTCGGCGGTTTCATTTTTGGGGAAAAACTTTCGCACTAGCTGAAAATGATTGCAAATGATCAACTTTTGATGTTGTTAACTTACATGCGCTTCTTGAGCCGCCCAAGAATTTCCCATAATCACTATTTTTAGTTTCCCAGTGTTGCCCTGAAAAAAAGAAGTTTCTTTACTTTTCATCCAATTCTACCTCATAAACATAATGCCCAAATGGCCGTCTCTGATCGGCGAAACCTTCGTCGACAAAATGTGCACCGTTAAGTCGATAAAGAGATGTCTTGAACTTTGAATTCTCAGCTACTGCCATCGATGGGACTGAAAATGGTTTGATGATAGGAGTGACTTGATTCTCAAGTGTTATATTTGCTGTTATTCGTTCGGACTAAAGAGTGACAGTTCTATTGGGTTGTCCAGTTATGAATGCGCGTTTTTACTATTTTGTAAATTTCTCAAGATATCAAACAGATTTATATGAGTGTTATATATCATTCGAAAGCTGAAGATCTCCTCTACATTTGATATAAAAAGCTTTGGAATTTGTTCAGCTTTTGGGCAAATTGACTACACAAAGGTCGTTTTCGAAAAAACCCATTCCAGCTTAGCTATTCCTCAAGTTTTATGGTGTAAAATAACCGCCCAGAAAAGTAAAGATGCTCTGAAATTGTTATATTTAAAAAAAGTTGTATTGATATATCCTATTGGCCAAACATCAAACGGTTAACTCAATTTGAGCGGAGCCAAAACTTGATCCAAAGGCACCTTTCTATTTTTTGGTCACCTCTTCTTCTATGCAGTCAATTTGCCCAAAAGCTGAACAAATTCAAAAACTTTTTATATCAAAATGTAGAGGAGATCTTCAGCTTTCGAATAATATATATCTTTTTCTTGCTTTCGGTATCTTGAGAAATTTACAAAATAGTAAAAAACGCGCATTCATAACTGGACAACCCAATATTACGCTGTCCAGAAAGTCTTTTCGTTCCTTTTTGTACTTCCGTTTAAAACCAACAAATGCACCATTTGAACTACGGTTTGTTTCATTAGAAAGGCCAATTATTTTTTCTGCAAAATGCATTAAAACGGATTTAAAATGACTTATGTTTAGATCTTTTTAAGAGCGTGAAGTCGGGCAGTCAAAAAACGACTTGACGATGCGGTTTAGACACTTTAGCTATGGGAACCTATCTTTGTGTCAATAGATAAAAGATAGCGCATAAAAAGTTAGGTATATAGCTAGATTTTCAGAGAAATTGATTCAGCCAATTTCGAGGTTTTTATAGAATCAAAAAGAGCGACAACTCGATGATCAAACTGAACTAACCGCAATCTGATCGAACGATCACTTCCCATTTCCAGCAAACCAAAAGAGCCAACAATAAATATTTCAACGTTTGATGCACTATATCAAGACTTTTAGCTTTGAGCAGAGGTGCTTCGAATGAGTGATGAGCATAAATACTGAGAAGAAAAGTAATAAAAAGAGCCAGAAGAGACGCTAAAATACAACAATGCAACTTCTTTAGCAAATGATCCTTCTTACCATTTATTTCTTTCTCATGGTACTCCACAAGGTATTCGATAAAACGAAGTACCGGAAAATGAACCAAATATAATGCATAGGAGATCTTTGCAATGTACCCGAGTCGAAAATGAGACCAATGGGTTGTGCTGAAATTTGGATTGTATAGGAATTGGATTAACGCCAAGTTCTCAAGTCGTCCCAATGGATAGCTGATTACTAATCCGTTCTCAAAGTCTCAAAGTCGAAGTCTTCGAAGTTCTTAGACTTCTTAGACTTCTTAGACTTCTTAGACTTCTTTTGAGAGTTTCTGGAGAGTTTCTCAAAGAACATGAGAAATCACTAACCTTTTAGCACCAGTCAAAATGAATCCCGATGAAGAGATTGTGACTAAGAATTGGAGAAAACTTGGAGGAGTGACTTTGAAGAAATATGGGAAGAATATTAGAGAGGAAACACTGAGAAAAACACTTGAAAGAAGATTGGCTTGACGGGAAGTGAGTGCTAAAGTTGTGGATTCAATTTTCTTGGACAACTCAAAGCATTTCGAAATCAAGAACACAGTTTAATTTCTTTGGACAGAGTCAAGATTTTAAGTCCAGCTTGCTTACCCGTTTTCGTCCTTTCCGTATACAATGAAGCCAACATTCCGCACAAAAATTGCCACATTCTGCCAAAAGGATGATAAAACGAAGTGATTGCAAGAGTGTTGCAGTAAAAATAAAGTGAGATTAGAAGAGCTCCGATTAGGATAAGATGGCCAGATTTGTTTTCTAAAAAAGAACGGCACTTTTCAATTATACCTCCACAAAAATTTACAGTGCATCAATTCAAATAAACCCCCACGAAAAATTTCTTCACGGTTCAACACGAACAAGGCAACCATTGTGCATGGATTTCCTCCAAAATCCAATTGTAAATGCTTTCCTTTTCGGATTTCGGTGCTAACTATAAAGTCAACCAGATAACTCGAAAGGTAGTGTGTGAATCCTGACTGCGAATAGTGACTGCGAATCCAGACTGTTAACAAAGCCGAATCCTGCTGCGAATTCTGACTGCGAATCCCGACTGCGAATCCTGACACGATGCTGCAATGTTTCTTATTTTTCCATTTAGCGAATCCCCACAAGCGCTCGATTGTTTGAGTGTTAATCAATGGATGATCTGGGTTTAGAAAGTTCAGAAAGTATTTGTGATTCAGTCGATCTATCGAGAACCTCAACCAAAAAGCACTCCTCGCGGCATGTCCCGTCAAAAATGCACATCTATAGCAAGACACGACCACAATTCGCCTTTCGCTTTCAAACTGAGGCCAAATTAAAATGCAGATTTTGTGGGACTTTATTTGAATTGATGCATGGCAGCTTTTGTGGGGGTAGAGTTGAATAAAACCAAAAGAACTTTACAACATTCATTGCTTCAACTTACTTGAGTCAATTTTCGATACATAAAAGAAAATTGGAGCCACAAGATAGAACTGCATCTCGACACCGAGTGACCATGTATGCAAGAAAGGCATTTTCTCGGTCGTCTAAATCTTTGAATCTATTCCAGCCCTTAAAACTGAACTAATAAAGATCATTGACTAATAAAGAACTATTAAAGAACTAAGAAAGAACTAATAAAGACCTATTAAAGACTCAGTATTTTATTCCAATCACTCACATCAGAGAAATAGTCTCCTTCAGTTTGAAGAAGCTCAAGATTTGAATAAAAAAAGATGGCTCCAAAATAGAAAGGAAAATAACGTTGTGCCCAAATCGATGTATAAATAAAAGGCATTGAAGAACCTGAAAAGAATCGTTTTTTTTGTGCTAGACAAATCTTGATCACCTATTAAAAAGATAGCCACATAATAAAGCGGTACAATCAATTCTTTTCACGCGACGATAGTAAAAATCGATAAAAACTCGATCGGGTCGATCTCTCGAGCGTTGCAAGATTGACATAATTAAATAACCCGAAAGAATAAAGAAGCTAAAATTTAGATTTGACATCAAGATTTTTGTCTTACACATCCCAGTGGGAAAATTCTTGGCCAGAAATGGTATCCAAGAACGGCTAAAATGGCCAAAGCACGGAGAAGAGCGATATCCTCGCGGAATTTTTGATCTAGAAATATTGAGATATTAGGTTGGCAAGTTATAAACGATCGTTTTTGGGTAATGTGTTTTCTGAAATGGCTTATCCAATCAAAAAACGGTTTGCTTGATTCAAAAGCCCTATCCTTAATCTACCAAATGGCTTTTTTGAATTTTTGAAAAATGTTTTATTTTAGAAATTTTTCAGGCATTTTAATGTAAGAGCACGTGTGGCTGACTGGTTAAGTGTCTTTTATCTTAATCGGAAGGTCGAGGGTTCGAACCCCACATGCGACATGGTCACCCCCTTCGGATTTCCTTTCCCTTCGGGTTGAGAGGTTTTCTGGAGGGCAGTCTGGTGGTTGTGGCCCCAGTTCTTTAAAGTGACAAGCCACTCCTTCATCGTCATCTTCCCTTCACCACCAAAAAAGCTATTTAGTTCCCCATTGAGCTTAGGGTTAGGGAGCCGTCTGTCATGACGTGGGTTAAGTTAAGATATAGCCTAGTATTGTGTGTGTATTGTGTATTGTGATTGATATATTTCGTGTATGCGATAAATTCACCACTGGTAGCCCCAGTCGGTATTTTTTTAAGAGTTCAAAATTCTGATTTCTAGCATTCATGAGCTAATATATTTTTGAGTGATACTTTTTAAAATAAAACATTTCATCGATTATATAGTTTCCCAAAATTTCAGAACAATCCAATCGATCGAACCGTTTTCTTTCTTTTAATCTTTTTTTTAAAAATCTCGTTTAAATTCAAACGAAAATGGATTAAATTAGCACAAAAGTGCATTTTGAGCCTAATTTGAAAATCAACCTTCCGAAGATTGGATTGTTCTGAAATTTTGGGAAACTATGTAATCGATGAAGCATTTTATTTTAAAAAGTATGCAATGACTCAAAAAATATATTAGCTCACGAATGCTAGAAATCAAGCTTTTCAACTCTTACATTAAAATGCCTGAAAAAGTTCTAAAATAAAACATTTTTCAAAAATTCAAAAAAGCCATTTTGTAAATTAAGGATAGGGCTTTTGAATCAAGCAAACCGTTTTTTGATTGGATAAGCCGTTTTTTCGTATCAGCTCCATTTTTCATGTTTAATGATGTTTCATTTGTCTCGACGCGTTTCACAAATAAGTGTCAGGATTCTGTCAAAAATCTTTGTAACCAACAGTTCTGGATCTCTTCCAAGTGATCAGAAATCTTCGTAAAAGTAAAAGTTATTCTTGCAATAACTCTTTTTCCAACCATTCTCAAAAAAGTTCCTTGTTTTTCTTTTTTTTTTCAAAAATTCAAAAAAGCCATTTTGTAGATTAAGGATAGGGCTTTTGAATGAAGCAAACCGTTTTTTGATTGGATAAGCCGTTTTTTTTCAAAAAACACATTACCCAAAAACGATCGTTTATAAATTGCCAACCTAATAATAAAAATATTAATATTTCAACGTTTTAATGCACTATATTAATGAATGCTTTGTTGTATTGCAAATATCATTTACATAATAGAATTGTAGAACTTAGAATTTTACAAACCAGCACTGGAATTCCTCGAATTTCCTTCCAAATCACGAGCAGATCTTGTTGGCATTCTTTGTCAGGAAAAAAAGTAACTGTATAAGGTCAAAGAATTTTGAAAATAAACGCTGAGTTCAGATATAAATGGGAAACATTCTGCAAACCATAACTCCTCCCTTCCTTTCCTCCTTTCCTTTTCTTTTTCGTTATCTATCGAATTTCTTTGGATTGGATAGTATGAGTCAAGAAAGGGCAAAAGAAAGCTTTTCCCCATATCAGACAAGAAATATGTCATTCAATAAGAAAAGCTATTTAACAGCTAAAGTTTGACCATTTTGTGCTTAATACAGAAAAATTCCAACGTTGGGCGTTGACAAGTTACTACTTGAATAATTCGTCTTTTCAGAGACACATGGAATTCGGGATTTCATAGACTATTTCCAGAGATAATGATAAAGTATAGGTACAGATTTGGCTACATTTGTATGGAGCTCATTGATGGATGTTTATATAACTTTGGGAATTGCTAAAAGACAAAATGCGACTCCTCTTTCTTTCTTTTCAAACATTTTGTTGTTAGAAAGCATTTGCGGCGCCTGAATCACTGTTCCCAATGTGAAACATTGCACTAAAGCTGTACAGAGAGCTGCCAAAGTTTGTTCTTGATTCAAATAGTTCTAAACCTTTTGAGCCTAACGTACATTCGAGTTGTGCCTTCAAACGATTTCCCACAATGCGATTTCAACCGTTCGTTGAGCTACTTTTTGTGTTCTCAATAGTAACAACTAATAGTAAGGTTTGTTAATGGAAAAAAAGGTTTGTTAATAATTAAAAACCAGTTTGTCACTCAAATATAGCCTCAAGATGCGATTCCGAATCTTCAAATTCTAGAGATGCGAGCAAAAAGACTGTCATCCCTACCATTGTTTGATTCTTTCTGATTTATTGAGCCGGAATGGTCCTTATATTTGCACTAAAGATCCGGTAGGTACAACTCTTTAGAACCAACATTAAAATAGTACAATTATTGCGTCTTGCTTCTTTCTAGAATTGCGGCCCATCAGCACAGAACTATTGTTACTCAATGATTCTTAATGGACGGCCTCAAATGTGTCAAGCGATTGATGGAATGTCATATTGTTATTAGATTTTGAAAGTCAATTTAGCAATAAGACATTTTTATTGAAAAGAATTGTATTTATATAAAGTTTCCGTGATTTTGAGACCAATCAACATCTCATGTCGTTGAAGATTTTGATGGAATCGTTTCCCTTGTTCCTTGAGATCCCAATTGAAACGATGAGAACAGATAAGAAGCTAATTTTTATTTTGTTTAACTTACCGTAAATACTGTAATAGTACCCCACCCCCCTCGTACAGTCGCGTAGTCGCAAAAGTTTTTAGTATTTCATTTTTTTCAAAGGGCCCGTACTTTCAAAAAATGCGTCTTTGGTATCAAAAAATAGCTGAAATTCCGGGCTATTTTTTGATACCTAAACGCGCATTGTAGCATAAACCAGTGTCGAGAAAAACTCGTTCAAAGCTAGACTACGCAACACTCCGCATCGTCATTATGGGGGTGGGGTACTATTACAGTATTTACGATATAATTATAAAATTACCCTTTGCTCAGCCGAGTATCTCATCAGAAAACAACTTGCGAATTCTCTGGAAAAAGCAAAAAGAATCTAAATTTTGGTTTTTCTACGTGAGTCTGTGCAGTTTTCCATTTCTGAAAGAAATCCCACCTTTTCTTCATTCTCATACACCTTTTTGACGGCGTAAATGTTGACTACTAGCCCACCTAAAGACTTAATTTAAAACTTGATCTGAATGAAACCATTCGGCTTTACAAGTTCAGCCATTGTCGAGATAATTTCCGGTTCTCTGAATTGTTCAATCGGACAAACGACTTCTTTTGTGTGATCACTAGAAGAAGCGTCCAAAATAATGAAATCAAAAGATTCACCTAAAATTTTAGATTAAGAATTGGCTCAAGATTAATCAGGATTAAGCAGCGAATATCCAGGATTCGGTACAAATCTCATTTCTGATTAAAACCTTTGTCTTTCAACTCTTTCGAATACTCAATCCCATCCGCAATAATGACTCGATTCGTATCAGTTGGTCGAAAACCGAAAAACCTTTGTCCAACCTCAGCAATGGTTGGATCAATTTCAACGGTTGTTATGTTGATCTAAATACATTATTTATTAAAAGTCTCTAAGTCTCTAAAAGTCGAAATCTCTTACAGTAAATTGATGTAATTCAGCGATGAAATTTTGCAAAGCACCTCCTCCTAAGCCAAAAGAGAGAATTCTGTTGTGATTGGGATCTTTCGTTTCTTCTTTTAGCACCTAAACTTTCATTTAATTTGCAGATTTGGAACGGAAATTCTCATCAATAGTAAATTTAAAGCTTTCTACTGATTTGGATTTCTATTATGAGAATTCTTTAGAGAATTTGCTTGATAGCTTTCAGTTTCAAGATGGATTTCTTAATCGAAAGAGCAATATGAGGATTTCTTAATCGAAAAGAGTACAATGATTGCTGATGAGCTGAAGGGGAAACATAGGAGAAAGGAAGAGCACAAAGAGCACAAAAAGTTTCAGGAATGAGCACAGTTTTAGGAATGGAATTAGGTATGTGACGACGATAAAGGATGAATCGGTTACCTCAAGCATGAATCCGCTCGCCAACATGTATTTGATCAATGGCATAGAGATCAATCTCTTGTTCACTTCCCATTTTGATGTGTCTCGATTTTGGTCATTTGACAAATCCTCTATACCCCATAATGATATAACTTCTGAAAAGATCTTACCTGGAATTTGAAGATGGACTCTAGTCAAAGCTCCATTGGGCAGAGTATCGGAAATGAAATCTCGTGACACTTCGAGTCTAAAAGACATCTATTAATGTGTTAATGATTACTAGCAAGATAATGACATCTATCTTGCTCAATTGTTACAGTTGCCAATTTAATTGCGCCAGCGTAGCAAGTCAAGTGCCCGGCAAGCTAGACATATTGAAGATGCAATGTATTAGGTTGGTGAATAAGTGTTTTCCGTCCTTTTCATACTTCTATTGTAAAATAACAAATTCACCAATTAACCTATTGTTTTCTCTAAATAAAAAGTGTTTATTGTTCAATTTCCCATCTTTTTAAGTCAATTTTGGTTCACTTTCAATCAAATTCGAGAGTGGATCTATAAAAACCTCTACAAAGAAACTGGCTGAATCAATTTCTTTGAAAATTTGACTATATATCAAACTTTTTGTGCTCTATCTTTTATCTATTGACATCAAGATAGGTTTCCTTAGTTAAAGTGTCATCGCATCATCGAGTCATCATTTTTTGATTACCCGACTTCAGGCTCTCAAAAAGATCTAGACATAAGACATTTTAAACTCGTCTTAATGTTATTTTGCAAAAAATAAATGACCTTTCAAATGCAACAAACTGTTGTTCAATTGATGTATCTGTTTGTTTTAAACGGAAGTACAAAAAGGAACGAAAAGACTTATTCACCAACCTAAAAATAGTCCCATAAAGTCAAAATTACCGATCACTTTTCGCATTCCTCCTCGCTACATCGGAAACATGATAACAATCTTTGAAAAGACCACAAAATCGGTGAATGACAATCGGACTTTTTGAGATTATCTTGTCTTCGTGTTGTCTAAATTTCCTTGATCTTTGAAGTGTTCGATATGTTAGCAAAACCTTCTCGAAGTTGTTGGCCCAGCATTAAGCAGAAAATATTGAACCTAAAGATAACTTTCCAAAGATAATTTCCTCTCTAAAATCAATCTTGTTAACTGAAATCTTACCGTGCAAAAGATAACGGCAAAAACGAATAGAAATTTATAAAATGACCATAATCGACAAATTTTCGCAAAAGAAAACATTCAAGAGATAACTAGGATCAATGTTTGTTCATTTTATGATAGACTTTTTGAAAGCGAAAGTTCTTTTCTCGACTAAATTGATATTTTCTGTTCCTTTTAGCAAATTTGTAAAAGAAAAATGAACAAAGATATCGAAACGAACGAAAATTCTCCATTTTCTCTTTTTTTTCAGTTAATATCGGAATAGAGAAACTTTTTATATCTTTCAGCTTTAAGAACATGTCATATCTTGTACAGAAATTGACTAAATGTAATGTTTTGTGTAAAATTTCATTATTGTTTTCCATCCTACGGTTCAAAATGTTTATTGATTGCCCTGGAGATGGGAAAAGTTCTTTATAAATGAAAAGATATGTCAAAATTTCGATTCTACGCCCTAAAATTACCTAGAAAAACAACATTGGGAATAGAAATTGGTTTCCTCTTTCGCAATAGGATTTTGGTTTGTGTGTGAGACAAGTGTGAGACTCAAAATGGAGGACTGGAGATCCCAGTTTGAGCACTTTCTTCCAAAGAAACCCATTTTGGTGTCAATGGAAAAGTTGTAGAGAATCAAAAATTAGGCTTATAGCCAAATTTCCAAAAAGATACACTTAGTAGTTTCGCTTAAAAGGCTAGCTTAAAATGCAAGTCTTGTGAAAATTCGTAAATTTGGCATTTTACAGGCAATTTGCGGATTCCTCTTTCGTAGTAGGATTTTGGTTTGTGTGTGAGACAAGTGTGAGACTCAAAAAATGGAGGACTGGAGATGTCCCAGTTTGAGCATTTGAGCACTTTCTTCAAAATAAACCCATTTTGGTGTCAATGGAGATGTTGTAGAGAATCAAAAATTAGGCTTATAGCCAAATTTCCCAAAAAGATACACTTAGTAGTTTCGCTTAAATGCAAGTTTTGTGAAAATTCGTAAATTTGGCATTTCTTGAAAACCAGTTTTTGAATCGTTCTGAAAATTTGGATATAAGCTTGATTTTTAATTCTCTACAACTTTTCCATTGACACCAAAATGGGTTTCTTTTGAAGAAAGTGCTCAAACTGTCACATATGACAATAGCCCGCAGTTTCCAATTCACCAACCAAATACTTAATGCTTTTTTTAGTAATGTAAAATAAAAGTATTCAAGTTCTTCTCCATAAAAGCATCTCAAAAATATAAGCCGACCGACATCATAAATCTTCAACGGCTTTCATTGTAGGGAAACAATAAATAACAATAGGGAATTTACAGAACATTGCTACAAGCTATTTTTCATGTTGTCAAAGTTGATCCATGTCCAATGTCAAAACAATAAATTTTCATGAAATTAAAGATGTAATGCGATGTAGTTATGGCCAGGAATTCATTTTCGTTTCCAAACTATTTATCGTAAAACATTATCAAAAGAAATGGAGCTCATGCAATATCGCAGCTCAAACTTGTCACTACGAGGACACGTCCAAGCACCGATGTCTGAAATGTAAATGATTTCACATAAATTTTAAATTCATCTCATACTAGAGTTGCCTATGAATCCTTTCAAATTTTGGTTATTTTTAAGTTTAATAGATTTCTAATCTCTGTTTGAATAAATTGTTTATTTTTCGAAACCCACAGTCCACATTGTATCCTCATTGCAGAAAAGCAAAATCGACAATCGCTCCTCGCCGCTTAAAGTACCGCCCTGACCGCTATTGAACTGAAAAGGCAACAATTGCTTTGCAAAAAAGTGACTCAAGTTATTACTTTGGTAATCGAATTTTGAAACTTGTACTACCTCTAAGATAACCACTGGATGTTCTTCGTTTCCATGACATGTAAGCGTTGCTAGAATGCACCCCTTTGTGTCCCATTCAACCTATGGAAAGCCAATCTTTTAGGTCAAAAACTAAAATGAAGCCTACGTTTTCAAAGGTGAAATTTCCAGAGATTGAATTTGGGCTTTTTAATATCACCGGAGCATCGCACGAATCACAAGCTAAACGAACAGAAGTGTATGATGATAAATCATCAATAAATAAGAGCTTACACAATTGAGCAGAGCTGAATTCAGCAATAGTTGATAGGAATGAAAGAAGGATTGCCACTAACATCAATCAGAAATGAATAAAAAGCAATAACAGATCAGATCTCACTCTCACTTTTTGCAGGTTGTGAATCAGAGTTGTTTTTAGTTTCACGGGCTCAAGAAGCAATAGTTAGCCTGGTAGATGAAGTATGACAATTCAATCCTTTTCTAATGGCAAGAGATTCAATGAATTCATTGAATCAATGAATTGAATGAATTCAATAAATTGCTGACCCTGTTTGTTTCAAATTTAGAACACAAGACACAACTTTTAAACCATCTCAACGATTCAGTCAATTTTGTTTTTTTGTGTCGACAGCTATGCCAACAATTAAAACTGATTTCAGGAATCAAGAATTGTATTCTCTTTCTTTTCAGCCCACGTTTCATAGAGTTTGTTCAGATCGACTTCTCAAATTTCGAACAGGAAACAAAAGTTTTTGTGTTCGGGTTTAGTTTTAAAGTTTTAAGAAGTAAAAACCTTAAAAAAAGTGTAAATATTAGATTGACAACTTGAAAGTTGATACACGCTCGGCCAAGACCTAAGAAGTACGGATATGCGCCAGCTCTCTGGACTCAGAGATCCAGTGGAAGTGATTGAGAGAAAAAGACTCAGATGGGCCGGTCACGTAGCCAGAAGAACAGACGACAGATGGACGATACGGATCACAGAGTGGCTACCACGAGACCAGAAGAGGCCCATCGGAAGACCAGCAACGAGGCGGAGCACAAAAGTGGCAGAGACGGTCAGAGAAAGGATGGCTAGAGTGCAACCACCACCAGCACCAGCAAGTCGAAGACTTCGAACCAGGAAAAATCAAGCTAGGAAACACTGGATAACAATAGCAAGGGATAGAGAAATGTGGAAGCAGGTTGTGATCTGCGCAAATGGGAACACCTGAGTGCGAAGACAAATAAAAAAAAGTTGTTACACTTCTTCGTATTCTCCATAAAACATATTTAATAAATCAATTGAATTCAAATTTTCTAAATAAAAGTTATATATTATCTAATTTAAGACAAGCTTAAGCAAATTTGGGGAACTTTTGAAACGAAATTGAGCAAAAATTCAAGTTTTTCTGAAAATTCTTCAAATGGAACTATAACAAAAAGGATTGATTATATCTAGCTGAAAATTTGGCCATTTATCTAACTTGTTATGCTCTCTTTGGTTTTTATTGACACTAAAATAGGTTTATGTGGAAGAAAGTGCTGACATGCTTCATCGAGTGTTCATCATTTTTGTTTCCTCAACTTCTTACTCCCTAGAAACTTACAAAACCGAAGCTTTTCTAAATCTGTCAAAAGCCTGTTTTTGAGCATAAATGGCCCTTTTTATTAGTAAAAACTGTAGATTAATTGGTGCACTAGTTATTTCTAAAAAGTGCAATGAATAAGTGTACCAACTTTCAAGTTGCCAATCTAATAAATATAAGTGAAAACCTAATGAGTTATCACTTTAAAGTTGCAACGATTATATGTTGTATCCGATTTGGATTTTTATCCGATTTGGATTGAACTCACCGTGGATATCCGATTTGGATTTCAATCCAAATCGGATATCTAATTTGGTTTGAAACATTATTTCACAGTAGGGTGTCATGTTTTTAAAAGGTTTTAATCATTTTCTAGAAATTTTATAGAGGTTTAACTCTGGCAACCTAGAACAGTCCGTTAGCACCACCTTTGCCCAAAAAAGTAGTTTATCTACGCGTTTTGACATGCTTCTGGATTTTTTAATGTCTTTATGCTGTTTACCTTATTTTACGTTGTCACAATTACATTTTGTTTAGTTACATTGTTTTTATCGTTTGTTTCAAGGTGTAGTTTCATCAATTGGCTTACTTCACCAGTTATTTTATTGTTTTTGATTATTTTCATTTACGTTAAAGTTGCCGCTAATTAAATAAAGGGTTTTGAATTGAATTCACATTAAAATACAGGAAAGCCTTTTTTGGGCAAAGGTCGTGCTAACAGACTGTTCTAGGTTGCCAGACTTAAACCTATATAAAATTTCTAGAAAATGATGAAAACCTTTTAAAAACATGATACCCTACTGTGAAATAATGTTTCAATCCAAATCGGATATCCGCGGAGAGTTCAATCCACATCGGATATCCGATTTGGATTCAATATATTTAATATTCAAATCGGATACAACATATACAGGGTGCGGCAGAATTATAGGTGCAGAGAAGTTCCATTGGAAATGACCAAAAACGAAAAATGCCACAAAAACAGTTAACATATTTATTGAACTAAATTAACAACTTTATTGACATATTCGAATCTTCCTCCTTTGGCCGAGCAGACTTGAGCGCTTGGGAAGGCGTCGACCGGGCGACCAAGAGGCGGCGTCCAGACCCTCCCAGGCTTTCAAGAGAGATTTCTTCAAACTTTCGAGGTTTTTGTGAGGTTTCTGACAGGCCTCGGCTTCAAGAACAGACCAGACCGAGAAATCCAATGGATTGAGGTCTGGGGAGCTTGGGGGCCACTCGTTGAATGCAATGAAGTCGGGAAAAGTCGCTTTGCAGAAATCCTGAACAATCTTGGCTTGTGAGCGAGAGCACCATCTTGCTGGAAGGTCCAGATGCGATTTTGGAAGTGATTTTGAGCCCAGGGAACAAGTTCTTTCTTTAGCAATCCAAGACGGTTCGCATTAAATTTGACTCCTTGTGGCACAAAAATCAGTGGTGTCTTGCCGGAAGCCGTCACACCGCCAAAAACCATGACTGAAGCTGGGTGGCCGCTGCGACCGACGGAACATTTGGTTGAGTTTTCGACCAAACTCGACTCTGCTTGTTCAGAATTCCTTCAATCGAAAAATTTTCTCATCGGTGAACAAAATGTTCCTGTGGTCGATTCCGTTGAAAGAAGACGAAGGCTTCACACGATCCTTTCTCTTCAATTTGGCGTCTGCCGAAAGCAGAGCGGATTTGTTCTTCTTGTAGGGCTTGAACTTGAGCTTGTCCTTGATAATTCGACGGATTGATCGATCGGATACAACCAATGTTTGGCAATTCTTCGAGCGGACTGATTGGGCTTCTTTCGCAGGGACCCTGACCTTCTTGATGTTGCCTTCGTCACCACAGATGGACGAACACCTCCTCGCGGCCGATCAGACATTGATCCCAACTCGTTGTAGCGGAATGGCTCGGTTAACAACGTGAGCACTTCCAACTTCTTCCGATCGCGGTCGCCGATTCGCCCTTCCGATGAAGTTCCACGATCAATTGTCGATGCGGGGAAGGCGAACCATAGCCGAAACTCAAAGTTATAAAATTATAATTTACAAATACAAATTCAACATAAAATAACACAAAAACATATTCGAGTGCAAAATCAAGCGAAGGTTCGTTTTCCGTCTTTATGTCATGCACCTATAATTCTGCCAAGCCCTGTACATCACTTCAGCACATTCTACATCCATTAATAAAATCTTTACATCTTTATATCCACTCGTGAGTTAAAATTCTCTCCACTCTCCACACTTCTCATCAAAAATTTCAAAAAGATTTGAATTCTAAAAAGCTCATAAATAGGCGTAATTTCATGGGTTTTTCATCAAGTGTCGATGGGCGTGAAGCTTGAAAAAAGGAAGAGAAAGGGAAAAAGTTTGTGGGGTAATTTCGGCAACTCTTTTCATCTGATCACCCAGTGATAGCATCACTCAAACACTTTGATTTTGGACAAAATTTCAAGAAAACTCCGTTATGATTTGCAAAATTTCATTATTTAGTTATTCTTTTCATTATGGAATTCGATCCACATCTTGTTCCAATTAAAAATTGCGTAAAAATTTCAAAGTTATATAATCAAGTTAGATATATAACCAAATTTTCTAGAGTCACAGAGAAATCTAAGCTTTTTGCAAACAATAAACTGAACAATGCACTCTTTGAGGAATAATCAAGTGAAGATAATCAATTTCGAAATTATTTAACTCATTTAGAGCTTTGAACCAGACAACATCTTCTTTTACGACTTCCTCATTTTTCTTTTCCTTTCTGTCTCCCCAAATTGTTTAACACCCGCTCGTTTAGTGATTTTGCCGATATGCGAACATTTTTCTACTTCTCTTTTTTCACCGCGATTTTCGCACAAGATATCTGGTACAAATGCGTGAAAACGGATCTCGATTTTGAAATTGTGAGTTTGGTAGTAGTAGGTACATACAATATTAACAACCTGATAGTAAGATTACCCTAAAGTCGCGAGTATAAGTTCTGTTTGGTTTTCGCATGCAAATTGACGGCTGTCTCCGGTGCGGTGTGTCGAGGGTTCGAACCCCGCTGCAGCAAACTTTTTGCTTTAAGAACAATAATAGAAATAAATTATTGAGGGTTATAGCAATTTTATGCTGTTATTTGTTGCTCCGGGGTGGCTCGGCGCTCCGCCCTGCCCTCTCCGGTGCTCAGTCTTATGGACCCTCCCTGGCCTCTTCATCCGGCCAAAGCCACGTCGACGGCGAAAGATGCTTCCAGCGCTTCTCAACACTACGTCTGGAGTATCCAGACATAAAAGCAATGGGAGGCTGTCACCCTGAGTACCCGCGCCCAAGAACAATAATAATTTATATAACAATAATGTATAAAACCCAAAAAAAAACAGCAAGGTGTAATTAGGCAACTTACTGAGACTTTAGGGTAAGTTAAAAGAAGAAGTAAGATTAAGTCAAAAGCCTCTTTTAGTCGTTGTTGACTGCAACCTTTAAAACCAAAAAGTAACCAATGTTGTAACCAAAAAGTAACCAAAGCAACCAAATAGCTCCTTCGATTTTTACCTATTCAGAGACGATTCAATTTGGCCATTGGGATCAATGAGACCTACTCTTACAATTCGGGTGATGTCAACATGGTCTATCAAGCTGTTTTTGCCGCTTTTCGTCAAGACATTCCAGGAGTTTGTAGGTGAGAAAAATCAAGTTTTAGCTAAAGAAACCTATCTTCGTCTCAATAGATAAAAGATAGACCATAAAAAGTTAGATATATAACCAAATTTTTAAAGAAATTGATTCAAACCAAT